CCGGTGCTCCATAGGGTTCAGATCCGGACTGCACGCTGACCATGGCCTACTGATGAAGAAACTCGACAACAGCTCTTGATCTGTGCGGTTGAACGTTAGCGTCCATGTACACAGGTCGAGTCTTAAGAGATGGTTGTCGACATGTGGCACTACGTTTGGATCAAGAATGCCATTGCGATATTTCTTCCCGTTGAGCGTGCCGGGTACTGTCATAAGGACCAGTTTGCAAGCATATGAACCACGCCCCACGCCCCACGCCCCACGCCCCACGCCCCATATCATCACCGATTCCCCCACTACCTTGAAGGGTAGTCGGGCCGAATCGCCTCTGATCTGGTCTCCATAAACGAACTCTGCCATCGGTAACAGGCAATAGCACCCTTCGCTTATCAGACCTATGAATACCACGCCAGGAAGCCAATTTCAAACCCGCTCATGCCCAGCACCAGATCAGGTGTTCACGGATATGTATGTCATTCAAACATTGACGTTTGACTGGTCTACGAGTTCGTTATCCCGCCGCCTTGCTAACCGTCATGACTGAAAGTAGTCTGTGAGTATGCCATTGGTTCCTTAATGCAGGGTACATTCACAGGGTAAGGGGACACGCCTTACACGTTTCAGCATTGCTCGGTCATCAGGGTTACACATTTGTCTTGGTGTTCCGGATTTTGAACGGTGTTTGATGTTATTAGTGTGGGCATGAGTCTGTACCAATCTGGTGATAACGACATGAGTGAGTGAGTGAGTGAGTTGGGTTTAACCCCGCTTTTTAACAGTACTACAGTTATATCACGGCGTGTCAGCTTTATGTGGGAGGAAACCCCGAAGTGATGCAGGTCTCAGACGTTTAATACTTCGGTGAAACCAACGAGCACGGGTATGGTGCTGCCAAACCTAGTAACATAATCGGGGCGAACCGGGATTCGAACCCACAATCATAGGTTTCTGGCGAACCCAAGGGACGCAACTCTGCACAGCGAATCGCGGCTCCTTAGACGACTGGGCCACTCGTGTCCCGATAACGCAATGATGTCACCCTAGCTATCTGACATGACTGTGCATGACACACCACCAATGATCTTTCCAATTTTCTTCATCTTTCACTTGTAGACAATCAGCACCTCGCCATTCCTCAATGACACCTGACAATATAGTGTACTCTCAAATACATCAACTGCGACAGGAAAGTATATAATTGTTGGTTATCACCTTGCACGACCCCGGTATTCCCGGGCAGCAAACGGGACGTAAGCAACGTGCATGACGACTGATCAAATAAATCTATGGAATACTGCTTGTGTTATCAGGTTAGTCACTTTCAAACTTTCATACATTCTAACCAAACTTCTACACACATCTAATTTTACTGGTGTAATTTTACTGGTGTATATATTTGTTTCAATGTTCGTAATAGACTCGTTGATACAATGCCCTTGTCGTTAAAGTTGTGGATTGAAACGCAAAGTCACTATATAATGTATAAATGAAACTAAATATTCGGACGTTTTCGGACGCTTAAGGAACACTCGTATTGTTCTCTTTATTCACGTGAACAACTGTAATACATCTCATTAACTTATGAAAGACAACTTTCTAGTCGAGAAGTCTTGTGAGCCGAGCTTGTCGAATCCTGTCCCACTCCTGCTATGCGTGTAACAGTTGCTGAAGCGTTGACGTTGACGTTGACGTACCTGTCTATCGAGATCATCCCACAATTGTTCTCTGGTATTAACATCTGGCGATTTGAAAGGTCATAGGGTAAGTAAACGTTCTCGTTATGTAGATAGTCAACCGTGTCACATGCAGTATGCGACCTTGCATCATCTAGACCATTTCCCTCTGACGGTCACTCAACCGCTGTTCTTACCACCTATACGTTTCTTTTTGGGAGAGTGTAGTTGGGACATAGCAGAGTGCAGCGATGAAAAAACAAACCATAACGTTAACGAAACAACACATATTTCAACTTTCTGCTTCCTTGCGACATTATAGTATTTCACATAAAATACAATAAAACATCGCTTGACAAAACCGAAACACGGACATCTGAAATGCCCCAAAAGGCTTTACACGTCACACAGAAACTTCAGCCTGGCTCAGTGTCTGACAAAATTACGACAAAGGGTAAAATACGGCTGCGAGGCAATGGTCGGGATTGTAAAACCTGAGGGTGGCAGGGACCGAGGTTTTACTAGCCAGATCACTGCTACCCAACTTATGAACCCTAAATATACACAATGTGAAACCAATAGCTGTGTGCATTCGATACATGGTGTAATATTGGTGAGGTTAATGTCACGTGATAAGTCGCCCATGGCATTTCAAGCTACGTTCTGATATAATATAAGGCAGTCACTCAGAATCTCCGACGACAAGGGTAATCATTTCGGAGCTTAAAAATGCTTATACGATTGACAGAGTTCTGTATTGGTATATTTTCAAATTCAAAGTAGATAAAGTTTACACAGATCATTGTTCCCATTGCATCTTTCGTAGGGTCTGACAACGAATGATTTAGGCCCAAACTTTGATGTGACATTATACACCTCTAAAACAAGACTCGTTGTAAAGTATAACGGTTATTGTACAGTTTACTTAATTTGGGTGTCCAAGCAGAAATGTCTCGAATCAAAACAATATTATTACACACGATTAAGGCACAAACACGTTATTTCATTAAGTACACCCGTGCTACTTTCTGACGACTGTTATTATCAAGCACATCACTGACACGCCTTTATTAAACAACTAACGCTCTGCTAAAACTGCATTTATCCCTTTGCACAAAGCCTTCGAATTTTGACCTTTTTCTCCGAACAAAGAAAGTAATATTTTCTTATCGACCTGACACATTTTAATACGTCTCCGACACATGTTATCTGCAGTATATACACAAGTACCAATCCGATGACTTAACAACACCAGTCCCCTTTCTGTTGACAGGATGATGAAAATAACTCTTGATATGCATCTTACCTGCAGATATGTGGGCGGCCATGACGGTGAAGACAGACCCACACGGTACACCTAATATAACACTGCTGATAAGTCAGCGACCCTGCCCACCCCTGTCTACTTCCTTATCGGCAGGAAATTTATAGCATGTGTCAAATGAGCGTGTATTGATTATTTTGCACTGTGCGTCCTGCTCTACGCTCCAGACGAGGGGGCGGTCGGGTAGCCTCTTGGTTAAAGCGTTCGCACGTCACGCCGAGGAGGTTCGATTCCCGACATGAGTACAATGTGGGAAGCCCATTTCTGGTATCCCCCGCCGTGATATTGCTGGAATATTGCTAAAAGCGGCTTAAAATCAAACTCACTCACTCACCCCAGACGAGGGGATAACTTTTGACATGCATGTTGCCTGTCAGAACAGCCATCGTAAAAATGAAACGTTCTGGTATGCATCGTTCTGACATCATACGTCTGCTCATCGGGCTTGCCTTCTTTGCTATAATCATATCATAAAACGTAATCCCAAAGTCCTACGCAATTGTGATACCATGCCATGCATCAACCAAGTCAGCGAACCTGACCACCCGATCCCGTGAGTCGCATCTTACGACAAACATAATCGCCAAATTATGACAAAAATAGATTGCTGCAGACCTATTATAATCAGGATCTTCACGAGTCTAATCCCCAGTGTAGATACATGTGCATGTTTTAATTTGTCATACACAACCACGGCAATACATTTGTAACGAGTTCTGTAAAGCCGGTTTTTCAGTTGTACCACAACGTGTGATCTTCCCCCATTTAATAGAGGGATCCTAAGTGACGTATCACACGATCGTTCCATTATATATTGCGACTTGTTTTTTTGCAAAATTTGAATATATGATAACATACATTAGTACCACAAATGACCCCGCAGTTGTTGACGAAAATAGAAAATGCAGCTGGTGTCAAATGCATGAACCTGCAGTTGTTACACCTTCGGTTGATGTCACATGTATGGTGTATGGTGTCGGATGTATGAAATTGCAGCTGGTGTCAGAGGTATGAAACTGCAGCAGTTGTCAGAGGTATGAAACTGCAGTTGTTACACCTTCAGCTGATGTCACATGTATGGTGTATGGTGTCGGATGTATGAAACTGCAGCTGGTGTCAGAGGTATGAAACTGCAGTTGTTACACCTTCAGCTGATGTCACATGTAAGGTGTATGGTGTCAGATGTATGAAACTGCAGCTGGTGTCAGAGGTATGAAACTGCAGTTGTTACACCTTCAGCTGATGTCACATGTATGGTGTATGGTGTCGGATGTATGAAACTGCAGCTGGTGTCAGAGGTATGAACCTGCAGCAGTTGTCAGAGGTATGAAACTGCAGTTGTTACACCTTCAGCTGATGTCACATGTATGGTGTATTGTGTCGGATGTATGAAACTGCAGCTGGTGTCAGAGGTATGAAACTGCAGTTGTTACACCTTCAGCTGATGTCACATGTATGGTGTATGGTGTCGGATGTATGAAACTGCAGCTGGTGTCAGAGGTATGAAACTGCAGCTTGTGTCAGATGTTTGGATCTGCAGCTGGTGTTAGAAATATGAAACTGCAGGTGTTTCAGAGGTATGGACCTGCAAGTGGTGTCGGATGTATGAAACTGCAGCTGGTGTGTGATGTATGAAGTGCAGCTGTTCCAGAGGTATGGACATGCAGTTTGCGTCAGATGTGTGCATCTGAAGCTGGTGTCAGATATATGAAACTGCAGCTACTATCAGATGTATGGACCTTCAGCTGGTGTGTGATGTATAAACCAGCAGCTGTTCTCATGTGCAAGGGGTTGCAACTGGTATGAGATGTACCAACATGCACCTCGTATCAAATATATGAACGGTTTGTTGACGTCAGCTACATTGGCCTGAAATCAGTCATAGATTGAAGCAAATGTTTTTATTGTTTTATGAGAACTTATTATGCCTTGTGTAGAAGACATTGTGACCAACATCTGTACAGATAAGTCCAATACAACATAGTCCATAGGTCTTCAATCAAACACGTAAGCCCAATGATAGTACATGCATGACTTCATACATAGTTTATTGTGAAAAGTACCAGTATATGCGCTGGGGCCTTGACGTATAACTGCCATTAATGATAATCTCATTTGGAGCATTTCAGAAGCATGATTATTTAAAGTGTGTACATAAGGAAACATACACGAACGAGGGAATCTGGATGATAAATAATATATTTCGTAAAGGAAGTCCATCAACTGTGAGCCCAACTTTCTATCAATTAGAGAATGCTAATAACATCTTACAATGACATGTCATTCAAAGAAATGTTAAGATTTGAGGCTCTTTCCAAAACGGCGAAAGCACGTGTAGGTTATGGTCCCTTTGATCAGACATCATGTGTATGACGGTTTGTCATTTAAATGTATGAGGAAATCCCCATGTGAGGTATGTATGTGATAAACGTTTATTACAAATATATGAATATAGGTGTGTCTATGAGTGTGTCTTGCAAGTAATGTCACATTTCTCCCCGCATTAAGTATACTATAATCACGTATGTTGTCACGAATATGTCAGCAAATGTTATTGCCCCAAGCAAAGCAAATAATTTATTGTCCCATTAACGCAGGTTGTCCAGGTTGTTGCAAGTTGCGTGTCCTTCAGTGCTTGCCCCAGCACATCTTATGAGCGAGCTCAATTTATGTTAGGTACGGAATGCAGACAGTTAACAAGTGTCCCCAATTTCAGAGCCCATCCCGTAATTGAATTGAAAACAAGTAATAAAAAAAACTGTAGGACTGATTTGTTAAACGTCTTATCTGGTGAGTTCTTAGCTCATCTATTAATCTCAATCGGTTCGACGTCCGTTGGCTTCCTTGGTATGTCAAAAACATCACCTGACAAGGGATAAATCATATACTTAGGATTTTTTGCACGGTAAGCTTAACCTACATGTATGCTAGTGCATCAATAAAGTTGGAACACATGCAAATGATATATAACTCTTCAACATCACCAATATTACAATGTCTCAACGGCTTCGCTGAAGATCATAATATCTTCTAAGCTACTCAACCGTAGATCGATCTTGATGTAGCTGTAGAAAAATTCAGGCGCCTGAAACATTTAAAATAAGGCGGAATCATACATTGTATAAACTAACATTATAAAAATTCCAACCCTACAGAAAGTTCATATATTAATTGTGATCAATATGCCAACTATACCGAGGCAATGGAAATGTACACCCATGACTTCCTCCAAGCACCTATGTTGGTTTTTCGTTACTGTACATGTCGTAACATCGTTCGATCCCCTGCCGTGTCATACCAAAAGACGTTAAAAGATGGTACTTGATGTTACGCTGTCTGGCGCGTGGCATTAAGGGAATAAAACAAGGACTGGTCGGCTCGGAGTCAGTATACTGTGTCCAAGGGGGGTATTCATGTTAAACTGCGGTATGGTATCTCAGTGTGCTAGCACTATAAATCGGCATCAGTCCGGACTAGTACAAGCAGCAACACACACATACACACACAAATACATGCACATTGCTATATAAGTGCAATATCTTGGACGAGACGTTAAACCCCATTTCACCTCACCTCGCCTCACCTCTAACATCTTTGAATCGTCCTGAGAGTGGTCTAGGCTGTACCAGTAAATACAAGATGTTGACAGTGAGTAACGAACAACACGCAAAATCCCTAGATTCCCATTGTAATTGGCCCTTGAGGGAGTACTGTAAACTCGTTTTAACATTTCACAATTATTGGTGTTTGCAACTGACCATGTAAGTTTAATTTAACTCCAATGTAAAAAAAATATAGGTGCCGTTTTCGACAGGTGACGTTTTGTTGAGGTGCCGTTTTAGCTATAACCCAATCTGCCACAAAGCCCCTACAGGAGTAGACAGCCTCAAAAATATTTCCCAGCTATTTCACGTCGGTTTGTATCTAACTGAGTGTGTATCAGGAACACTTTGCCAGTGACTGAAAGTATGAGCAACGAGACACGTGACCGGGGCTCGATGACACACCTCCAAGTCACAGAGCCGGACCACCCACTTTCGGCTACTACAAAAGGTACTGGGGGACCCACGAGATCCATCCAAACGTGATCACACATACATGTACGCGAGGTATGAATATGTCAAACCACTGAATCGGTGCTTTGATATCCTTTTCGTTTATTTCCGCGATTTTTTGTTCAAATTGCCAAAATACAGATTTAACATGTATTTTACATCATACTGTTAACATTATGCAAAAGTCGAGGGAAGGCTTCAAATAGAATCCTGAACGTTCCGATGATCACCCCTGCCACATACATATTTTAGGCATATTCACCTTGTGTAGGACCTTCCGAAGAAATAGTATTTGCTGTCCAGTAAGGTTCTTCAACATACATTGACTGAAAGAAAATCAGCAACATGATCATTTCAGTCATTTTCACATAAGAGTGAGAGAGTTACATCATGGCATGTCAGCTTAATGTGGGAGGAAAGCCCGAATTGATGCAGGTCTCAGACGTTTATCACTCTTGTGAAACCCAAAAGCAAGGGTGTGGTGCTGTCAAACCAAGAAACAAAATCGAGTGCAACCGAGATTCGAACCTACGGTGTTCCCACAGCGAGTTACGGCGCCATAGACGACTGGACCCCCAATGCCACCTGGCCCTGCCCCTGACCCATTTCAGATTAGAGTGTGTGAGTGAGTATGGTTTTACGCCGCTTTTAGCAATGTCACGGCGGGGGGCACCAGAAATGGGCTTCACACATTGTACCCATGTCGGGAATCAAACCCGGGTCTTCGGCGTGACGAGCGAACGCTTTAACCACTAGGCTACACGACCGCCCCTCAGATTAGAACGTACATACATATATGGTATGGAACTCGTTGGTGAAATATTAGTCTTTAGCTCACCAGTGACCAAAAGACATACTTTGTATCCGGATCAGCTGGGACTTACCTTTCTAAGCCAATCTCACAGAGCCACTTCTGGACATCAGCATCAGACCAACTGGCAACATTGGAGTGTACGGAAGCTGAACAGAGGCCGACAGACTGAACTTTCTCCAACGAACTTGACTCACACTGACGAAATTAAACATTACGTAAAAGTAATGTACATGTAGCTACGTCTCACCCATACCTGATAAAACTGCAACAATATTCGTAGGACATAAGATGGAGTGTAATGGAATATAGTGTATCCGGTATTTTCTAGCATTCTAGTATTTCTAGTATTCTAGCATTATCTCGACATGCAATATAAACGAATGGACATTACATGTTGTTCCAATGAGAAGGGGGTGAAGATAAATTAAATACAACGAAACCCCGTTAATCTGAACGGTATCGTTCCCGTTACAATGATCCGGATTAACAAACGTCAAATCCAGCTGCATATACGTGCAAGCGTCAATAGCTGTAATCTTCCACAATGTAGGGTTTTCTGATTAACGGGATTCGGTCTAACGAGGTTGTACGATTTAGCGGACTAGACTAGAACGAAAATAAAGCCAAAATCGGATGAATATGTTTTGGAGATATATATATATAAATATTTTTGTACAAAATATTAATTACTTGCAATGGAGGTGTCAAGGATATTGTATTAGCTTTGTAATGCATAAAGCAAAATGAAACCAAACACTTGCTTCTGCTTAATAACGTCACGCCAGTATCTTATTTGCTGTGGTCCTCTTTACTTAAGATTAGATCTGTGGTCGTTTTACTTCTGTCAGCAGTCGTGGTGTTTAACATTCAAAGGGACATTACTCTGTCGGTCTTCTCGGCATACTACTCTCAAGTCGATTATAATGCATGTGCAGTTGTACATGTATTTCCCCGGTCATCCATTTGTATTTCCTTGTATTCACGTCAACCATATCACGAATATCTCAATTCAAAGCAAATATAACTTTAACGACAGTTTACACAAATGAATTAAAATTCAATCTTTATTTTTAGATGACAGTCCTATATTAAAAGTAAACATTGACAGATTCATGTGGTGAGAAAATGCAATTAACCATCGGAACGTTCATGTGAACAATATATATTCTTCGTAACTCTCAAACCAGTATTGTTTACAGCCTCGTACCTGGAACGGGCGCGTGCTGGTGGCTGTGAATGTATGTTATCTGGTTTCGGTCATTCTTTCGAAAAACTTGAAAGTGAATAGAGCATTGAGAACAGCCACATGCTCGTCGTTAAGACGTATTTGGCAACGCAACATGCTGTACAGAGTGCGACCTTCAACAGTGTGCCGGCGTCGTCTTGTAGTATTTCGAACACAGTATTAACACTGTTTATTATTATTCTCGACAATACTCTTCTCTTCTTTGGTGACAACAAAGTGGTTAATGTCCACAGCCTCCATCACTTACGGACACGTAATCTTCATCATCAATTATTAATTTTATAGTTATAGTTATATCTCACATTAATCATGGTATACAATTCTCTCCAACATCCGCAGGGATGCTTCTACATTGAATAATATGTTACTCAACTGTGTCCAGAGGTACTTGTCCACGCTTGCCAAGCTCTTTCACCAAATCCGTTATCTTCTGGTCGTAAGGATATTTTCCACTGAATTCAAAGTAGAGCTTTGTGCCTTTGATGAAGCCAAGCCACCCGTCAGGCTTGTAGTCTCTCTGCATCATTAGCGGAACTATGGGTTTACGTAGGTTGAATGCATATTCAGCTTCTGCAAGTGACAAGATATGATGAGACCACAGCATCTGCATAATTAATCAAATTAGGAAACTTTTAGAAAAAGCCATGAAAGCAGATCTGCTCACAAAAATGTAAATAAGACCCTGCTTTCTTGCACCTTTGCATTTGCGATTATTTTATCCGTTCTCTTATTTGAATTGATAATGTCGGAAGTCCAACACCTGCAAATGTAAGAAAGGTAAAGCCAGTTGTCAAACATCTAACTTTATACGTAGGACATTTCCAATGGCCCAAAATGACCCAGATCCTACATCGTCCTTTAAGAGAGTAACGTTTGATATTTCTTCCCATGTTTAAATTTAAAACTATTTAAGATTACTTGTGACGGTTGGTGGCACAGTAGCTGGAGACTATATGTGTTCTACATTTACCGTTATTTCGTCCTTTGGCCTCTGTTGCATTTTATGTTCATAGAATGCCTTGCTCATCTTATCATGATTCAAAATTCTGGCCAGCACTTTTATACAGATGGTAGGCTGATAATAAAAGCTTTGATCCCACCACATGAACAACAGAGAATAGGACCTTAACAAACTGATGACTTGACATAAGATGGCCACATAGATAATATAACGTGAGTGAGTATTGTTTTACGCCGCCTTTAGCAATATTCCAGCAATATCACGATGGGGGACACCAGAAATGGGCTTCTAACATATGGGGAATTGAACCCGGGGCTTCAGCGTGACGAGCGAATGCTTTAACTTCAAGGCTACAGCACCGCTCCTTACAATAAGAGGTGGCACGGATGGCCCAGTCGTCTAAGTCACCGCGATTCGCCGTGCAGTGTTACGTCTCTTGGGCACGCCAGAAACCTATGATTGTGGGTTCGAATGCCGGTTCGCCCCGATTTTGTTTCTAGGTTTGTCAGCACCATACCCGTGCTCGTGGATTTCACCGAAGTTGTAAACGTCTAAGACCTGCATCACTTCAGGCTTTCCTCCCACATTAAGCTGACACGCCTCGATTTAACTAGAATACTGTTAAGAGCGGCGTATGATGCTGACGAAACTGCCTGTGGGATATCAGCCTTGTAATAATGTGACATAATGCAGTGAGGCTCTGTCGCAGGTTCGGGATGAGGTATTGACATCTTACGTCAATCGTGTACATTCATGCACCTACCTGATCTGCAGTTCTGGCTCAGCTTGTATCTCTCCGACATACACACCAACACCACAGACGCATTCTGCACGGCCTCCGCCATCGCCTGCAATGTGGAGCCCTCCATGTCGTCGATGTCCATCCAGATGTTGTAACCTCTTTGGCGCAGTGACTCCTTCACCTTCAATTTCAGTGTTTGAATTAACTTAGGTGTATTATATATGGATTGTAGATAGGTCTCTATGTAGAGAAAGACTTATTCATAGGATGGCTAAGTACACCTCTTAAAAGGAAATCACTAATTTATTTTGAGTTTAGGCAATATACACACTGCGCTGTTAATGGTTTCAATGCTATGTCCCTCATTCCATTACCAACGTTAATTTTGACGGTTCTACGCTTTCAGCAATACTCCAGCAATACCACACCAGGAACTGGAATCACATAGGCTAACTCATCGCTTCCACTAATACAGGACCAACCATTTCATCTTTGTCGGATTGTTATAATGTTGTTCAACGCCACAGTCAGCAATGTTCCAGCTACATGTATTTTATGGAGGGCTGTAAATATTGAAGTTTCGACCAGGTAGACGAATCACAAACAGCATAAACAACTTACCTCGGCATCAGTCATATTGAGTGAGTGAATGATTATTGTTTTACACCGCTTTTAGCAATATTCCAGCAATATAACGGCGGGGGGCACCAGAAACGGGCTTCACACATAGTACCTATGTGGGGAAACGAAACTGGGTCTTCGACGTGACGACCGAACAGAATAACCCCTAGGCTATCCGCATCAATCATAGAGCCTGACCATCTGGTCGTACTTTTCAACACGAAAACAGTGAATCCCCACGTGCTACTGTGCGTTCCAAACAGTTCATTTACCACACAGAAATGTGTTACTACAGGTTCAGAGTTTGGTGTTATACTTAATTAGTACACCTTGACCAATGTCTTCTGGTCTGCCCACTGATAGCTGATCATCAAGTGCCCTGTGATTCTTGGTTCCTCTTCCTTCAGGTCCGGACGAGGAACTGTAAACAATAACATAAGCACAGTACACACCACTCTGTTTAACACTAGTTATTGTTGGATGTAATTATAGACTCAAACCTTACACAGAGATTACACTGATGACATTTTAGCAACTACTTTCAGTGATGGATTCTTTTTAAAGAAGTCCAAGACACAAGGGAAATAACGCTTCAGCTCGTCCCGAAACATACAGCATTGGCGCTTTTATCTTCAGTTGACACAACACGCACATTATACCATCACAACAATAATTCCTGAATAAATTTTTTTTCATTTCAGTTTGATTTTATTCATTCGATGTATTTTCTATTTAAAGGATATTTCTCTTCTTCTATTGATCCATATATTAAGGAAATCATTGTTAACCAAATAGAAAAATGTGGTATCTACGTGGTGGTTTCTTTTCCGTTTGTGTGGTGGCCCACAAGGCTCCTTTGGCGATTCTGGATATGTGTTTATTAGCTGACTGCTTTAGATTTCGCAGGACTCCCATCAGCTGAGCATCAAGCTGTAAGATGTCAGAAATAAATCATATTAGAACCGTTGCAGTAGTTGTTCCATAACCATCGGACAATATTGGACGAAGATTATGTCTGTCGTATTTATAAAGTAGTTTTGTGGACAGATAATGTACTGATACTGATACGCCTGACGCCATATTGCATTGATTATATAAAATGTCATAGATCACATTAATATTTATCGTTTTGGTATCCTTGTTCATAATGAACGTCAAAGGTAATTATGCTTATAATAGACATCAGCTGTTTTATTATACCAGGAATATTTTCCGATTTTCCTTATTGAATGCAAGTTCCCAAACACATTTTGCAGCCTTCTCTCTCTCCTCATCTGAACCTTTCTGCATCACAGCCATTAACACAGAGATGGCCCCCTTCTCCGTGAGAAACTTCTTATTGTCGTCGTTCTTTGCTAGTCCAGTGAGTCCAACAATCAATTCGGACACGGAAAAACCCTCGCTCCGGTGATCTCGTTGTTCTAATGCAGTCTTGACCATTGTCAGCAGGGTGGTAAAGACTGTTTTGTCTGCCAGCATTGCCCGATTGTTCTCTTCGTCGATGATGTTAGCCAACAGTAACAACATTAGCACTTTAATTCCTGTGAATATTTATGTGTTATTAAAGTATTTGGTGACTATAATTGTCTCAAACAGATATGGTTTCAAGGAAAGTTCATCTCGAAGTAGTTGTTAGATCCTGGCCACAGTTATGCACACTTGCAATAATACCCATTTTATCTCGAATTCACAATAAGGTAAAACAAAATAATGTAACATTAGCTCCATTGTTTTGAGTTCATTGTGAGCTGATTTGAACTACAAGCCGTGTACATAATATAAAATGCAAACATATTTTTATTCATCTATCAAATTTGAGCTAGAATTAATATTGATATTTGATATTGTTTCGAAAAAAAATTGACTCAATATTACGGGACAAAATATGTGTTGTGAAACAAAGAATATTCGGCTTCTCTTTTCGCGTTCAAGATTATTGCATGCAAGGCAAATATATATATATCGCGTTCAAGATTATTGCATGCAAGGCAAATATATATATATATCGCGTTCAAGATTATTGCATGCAAGGCAAATATATATATATATATCGCGTTCAAGATTATTGCATGCAAGGCAAATATATATATATCGCGTTCAAGATTATTGCATGCAAGGCAAATATATACATATCGCGTTCAAGATTATTGCATGCAAGGCAAATATATACATATCGCGTTCAAGATTATTGCATGCAAGGCAAATATATACATATCGCGTTCAAGATTATTGCATGCAAGGCAAATATATATATATCGCGTTCAAGATTATTGCATGCAAGGCAAATATATATATATCGCGTTCAAGATTATTGCATGCAAGGCAAATATATACATATCGCGTTCAAGATTATTGCATGCAAGGCAAATATATACATATCGCGTTCAAGATTATTGCATGCAAGGCAAATATATATATATATCGCGTTCAAGATTATTGCATGCAAGGCAAATATATATATATCGCGTTCAAGATTATTGCATGCAAGGCAAATATATATATATCGCGTTCAAGATTATTGCATGCAAGGCAAATATATATATATCGCGTTCAAGATTATTGCATGCAAGGCAAATATATACATATCGCGTTCAAGATTATTGCATGCAAGGCAAATATATACATATCGCATTCAAGATTATTGCATGCAAGGCAAATATATACATATCGCGTTCAAGATTATTGCATGCAAGGCAAATATATATATATCGCGTTCAAGATTATTGCATGCAAGGCAAATATATATATATCGCGTTCAAGATTATTGCATGCAAGGCAAATATATATATATCGCGTTCAAGATTATTGCATGCAAGGCAAATATATATATATATCGCGTTCAAGATTATTGCATGCAAGGCAAATATATATATATCGCGTTCAAGATTATTGCATGCAAGGCAAATATATATATATTGCGTTCAAGATTATTGCATGCAAGGCAAATATATATATATCGCGTTCAAGATTATTGCATGCAAGGCAAATATATACATATCGCGTTCAAGATTATTGCATGCAAGGCAAATATATACATATCGCGTTCAAGATTATTGCATGCAAGGCAAATATATATATATCGCGTTCAAGATTATTGCATGCAAGGCAAATATATATATATCGCGTTCAAGATTATTGCATGCAAGGCAAATATTTATATATCGCGTTCAAGATTATTGCGTGCAAGGCAAATATATATATATATCGCGTTCAAGATTATTGCATGCAAGGCAAATATATATATATCGCGTTCAAAATTATTGCGTGCAAGGCAAATATATATATATCGCGTTCAAGATTATTGCGTGCAAGGCAAATATATATATATATATCGCGTTCAAGATTATTGCATGCAAGGCAAATATATATATATCGCGTTCAAGATTATTGCGTGCAAGGCAAATATATATATATCGTGTTCAAGATTATTGCATGCAAGGCAAATATATATATATCGCGTTCAAGATTATTGCGTGCAAGGCAAATATATATATATCGCGTTCAAGATTATTGCATGCAAGGCAAATATATATATATCGCGTTCAATATTATTGCATGCAAGGCAAATATATATATATCGCGTTCAAGATTATTGCATGCAAGGCAAATATATATATATCGTGTTCAAGATTATTGCGTGCAAGGCAAATATATATATATCGCGTTCAAGATTATTGCATGCAATGCTTATATACATACATACAAATATATATATATCGCGTTCAAGATTATTGCATGCAATGCTTATATACATACATACGTACGTACGTACATGCATACATACACACACACACACACACACACACACACACACACACACACACACACACACACACACACACACATACATACATACATACATACATACATACATACATACATACATACATACATACATACATATGACTCCGAGCCGACCAGTCCTTACCCTTAACCTTAAAGCCGATGGCCAGACTGAGTAACAACAATTTCTCTCTTTTAACGTCTTTTGGTATGACGGGGTCAGAAATCGAACCACCGACCTTCCGCTCTCCTTGCAGACACTGAGGCAGTTTCAGATTATAGAAACTGTATGGTTTTAAAGCACTGAGCTTAAACCTTATTCTGTGTAACACAAATTCCAGCCACTCCCCCGACCACCATAATTATATAGTCCCTAAACTTAATATTTCTTTTGATTCACGGATCTTGAGTACCAGTATCATGTTAGATACCAGGTGACAGTGTGATAACATTAAAACATTTACCACTCGAAGAATGTTTGATATATGCCAGGGCTACAGACACTGTCCCGAGCTCTCGAATAGGTTGACGGGTGATGGGGTTCTGGGAACAGTTGTGAAGGATGCCTCGTGCCGACCGAAAGAACGGATCTTTCAGAGATACCTGGCGTAAAAGATACACGTCCATACATACATTTGGAATTAGCAGATACTTGGTAACCAGATAGGAGACAATCGTGAAGAATCTCCCAGATGGACATGTGCAAATGTTGACGTTTGAATCATTACATCTCCACTCTAAAACACACCGTGATATAACTGAAGCACTGATATAAACGGTGTTACCACACTCCAATACTATAGGAGATGGCAAAGCCATTCCGTACGAAAGCCTAATGGTGCCACTTTGGTAGCATATATATTTTTTTTTAAATCGAAATTTTTCGTTATTTCAATTATGTGTTTACTTTCTCGTTTTTTCTCGTAATTTCGATATTTTTCTCGTTATTTCAACTATTTTCGAGAAAATAATCGAAATAACGAGAAAATAATGAAGTAACGAAAAAGAACTCGATATTACGAGAAAATAATTAAAAAAAGAGAAATTTGATTTACAATAAAAATAATACCACCAAAGTATTCGTAGTTCTAAGGGTAATTTATCTTATTATTTATCTTCCATTTTGTTTATACAAAGTAGTTGTGAATCCAGTTCTATATGGTGGAGGTGCATTATCATGCTTTTCAACAAAATTAAATATTAACAAGTAAAATAATCGTTATATAATAATTGGTCCATCAAAGAAGAAGACTTTCTATGTTTGAATATCTTCATCACTAGTTAAATTTATCAGATGCAATAGGATCTCAGAAATATTGATTTTATTCTCGAGGTAATGTAGGCTATATCATCGTTAATAATATTAATAATTATTGAGTCACGCTAAATCGTGGGTTGTCTTTCTCTCGTTCATAAATGTATGTCCACACAGTCCCGATGCTGACCCCGATCATTCACTGCTTATTTCATTCCTATTTCTCGTAGCTCGTTAGCTATTCATTAATGGCAAAGGTGTGCTTCGTGCTGATTTCATAAACTCAATTTGGGATAGTCTTGTGGTTAAAGCGTTCGCTCGTCCCGACTAAGCCCAGGGCTCGATTCACCACATTGCTCCACTATGTGAAGCCCACTTCTGGTGTCCCCCGCCATGATATTGCTGGAATGTTGCTAAAAACGGTGTAAACTCACCCATTCACATACACTTCTGAACAGATTTGTGATAACTTACATTTCTAGGAAGTCCCGAATCACTGAGAATAGCCTTCAAGTCCATTACAAAATACCGCAGGATTCCACTGCTGCACACCCTCTCCGAAAACAAGGAGCTCGCGTCTGTGTAGTTCCACAGCAACACTCGTAAATCAGAAAAGGTGCATGTCTCTGTCAAAAACTCTCCTGCTTTTTTCTCCGTAAGACCCTCAAGTCCCCTGTCTCTCAGAAACAGACTGTATGCAGTGAAGATTGAGTCAGCGGCTCTTGTATAGGACAAGTACTCCCCATATACACATCTTGTGGCTTCATCCTTTGTCCCAAAGTAACGGTCAACCACCTTTGTGGTAAGAACTCTAACGTTGTTTCCTTCATGCTCTAGTGATGGATTTCCTTCCAGCTCCTTTACAAAAGCATCAATTTCGTCAAAGCCATTCTTCAACTGGGGGTGTTTGGTGACTAACTGTTTGGCCAACCTTCGACAATCCTCATCATACGCGGGGATGTTCAAACTCATCACTGCAAGTCCCAAGTCCTCGAATACGATGCTAAGCTTTTTCCTCGGTGATCACCCTGTAAGTATCGATAGTGTAGTCTTTTTAACACACGGGTCCTCGAGACACCGAAACATACCCTTTTATCAATAGACAAAAGAAACACGGAGTATATACATTAGCCTATAACAGATGCTACATTTCCCCTAAATTATCTGAGATGATCACATTAAGCGCTATACCGGTAAAGTGAGATAAATGGGGTTTAACGTTGCGTTCAAACTTATATACTGCGTATTTGCACGTACATGGCGACGTACAATCACTTTTGTGTGGCTGCTTGTACTAGTTCGGACTAAAGCCGGTTTTATAGAGCTAGTCAACAGAGATATCACACTCAGACACACGATACCGACTCCGAGCCGGCCAGTCCGTGTTTTGTTCCGTAATGTCAGATGTTACAAAACTATTAACATATTACAGTTTTTCACATAATCAAGAAAAAAACTGAATATCTCCGAAAATGCATTTAACTGGAACATACACTGTGCATTAAAGCCCCGTCAACTCAATTTCCTGAGGAGCACGGGAAGTATATCGATTTATCTGTACTTCTAGACACGATTCGATATAAGACCACAAAGGTGATATCTTGACGATACACTGACAACATCTCCAATGATATATCAAGTCAGATTTAACTGTGAACAACTGTCATTTTCAAATGACTGATAGAAACACCTGATTATAGCGATAATGGTACAATATATATGATTACATTAAATTAACAATAATTATTACAGTAATCGTAATAGTAATAGTAATAATAATAGTTCATTTATATTGCGCATAACCATCATTCAAATCGGTAGCCGAAACACATATGTACTTACGTTTGAAGTTTGTTCAGGCTAAATAAAGCCGTCCAATGTCTATCTGACTACGTTCAACAGTTCCGACTTCGAGTTATTTCCGGGTGTATTGTAAGGCCGCATAAACAACATACATGTTTCTCAACACCGACGGTTACATTCATTCCCATCCTATTTGAATTAGCGTGAACTTCAAATGAGTTTGGAGCACGGGCGACCAATATCCTCTAAAGCGCCGCGATTCGCTGCACACCGGCGTGTCCCATAGGAGTGCACGAAACCTATGATCGTGGGTTTGAATCTCTATTCATCTGATGTTTCTTGGTTTGTCAGCACCGTATCCGTGATCGGAGATTTACAACAGTGACGAAAACCTATGTGAACTCGGACTTCCATCCAACATGAAGCTGAAACGTCATGGAATGCTGTTCAAAGCGGCGTAAAAACGCACTCACTTATATATTTTGACATCTCTAAAACCATAGGACCGTGAAGCTGACTCTTCCCATGGTTGATCAAAGAAACTCCTCTCTGGCACAGGCATCCGATTCGATTATGAACCACGGCAGATATTCTGACAAGATCGCATTTGCACAATACTTTGCCATACTTACGTGTATTGTTGGTACGCTTGATACAGCCGGCGTGGAGTAGGAACATCAGTTTAATCTACATACTTTTGGTCTTCGTATTGTACACTCGTTCATCTCAAATAGCTTTACGGCAGTTTTCATCCGCAGCATGCAGCTGAAGTTTTGGGATGCGTGATTCCAGCAATAGCATATCTCTATAAACCGTTCTGAAAGACTTTCAATCTGAGTTGAAAGAAGAACCAATAATAGCTATATCGAAAATGCAAATTCTTCAGTCACAAGATATAAGGTCAAAGAACCTTCTTTCTTTTGTCTTTCCTTAATATAATTGTGATATTCAGTAGGTATGTGGCATGCTAAATAGCAAGTGTATATTGAATATTAAACATCGCCCCCCACGCACCACTACGGGGGCCATGCTAGTCATGTTGAACGTGGAATAATACCCTGTACCCAGCCAGTTATTCATGCAGTGGTGAAGTATGTTAGGGGGAAATATTTTCGTGTTTACCCTGATATGATTTAATATCCACAAATAATTCAGGTGAGCTATAGACCCGCGTGGGATTATTATTTTGTCATTCAAGTTAATTTATTTCGCATCCCAATCTTATTTTAGTTGGTCACGATATGTGTATATATTGCTGCTGTTTTACGTGAGAGCATGATCACCGTTGCACTCGCATGGTGTTTACAGTCAAGTGAGTCAGATTTAATACTGCTTTGAACAGTATCCAGTTATACCACAGCGTGTCAGCTTACTGTGGGCGATAAGCCCGAAGTGATGCAGGTCTCCGACGTTTACCACTTTAGAGAAACCCACGAGCACGGGTATGGTGCTGACAAACCTCGAAACATAATCGAGGCGAATAGGGATTCGAACTCAAGATATTAGGTTTTCTGTCAGCAAATTGCGGTGCCTTAGAGGACTGGGTCACCTGTGCCCTGTTGGTGATTAGACAGAGAATATATCACGTGGCCTGACCCATAAGGTCACAGGAGGAAGTACACGCAGGAAAATGTATCCTTCATATGAAATGAATTCGAATGCGCCGTCCATTGACTGAGTTATCAAAATTGCCACTGCATATAAACTGTTTTGTCAAACACGGAAATACAGTTTCAGTAAGTTGTGTAAACCGACTTTCTGTTTCGATACATTCATAAATGGGATCACGAGTCCACCCACGCGACGTGTTATATGCAAGGGAAATTTTAAAGCCTGACCTTTACTTCACGATTAGCCTGGTTGCTATGGGAATGTTTTATCAAACGTATTATGTTATTGCAACCGTCCTTTGTCGTCCAAACAGCTGAACATTTTTGTAGACAGTTGGATGCTCTTGGAATGGAGAAATATCAATATATTTACATGTGGTAATATTTAAAGAAAGACAACAGTGGGCTGAGTTAATCCTGTGTAATTTATCCCGGTAGCAGTAGTTTACTGTCCCTCGTATCATCACCGTCACGGATCCAGGCAGTTCGGGGAGGGGCAGTGCACACCTCTTCATTATCGCTGTGTTTTCAGATATATTATGTTTACTGCACCTGTACAGTGTTTTGTGTATAGAGGGTCCGTACCAGTTTTGTGTGACAGTAATACACCCTACGGCAGCGTTCACGACGTCTAAGGGACACAGGTGGCCCAGGCGCCTGGGGGTCGCCGCAATTCGCTGTGAAGAGTTGTCCCCATTGGGCACACCAGAAACCTATGATTGTGGGTTCGAATCCCGTATTCAACGAATTATGTTTCAATATCTTTCAGCACTATACCCGTGCTCGGGGATTTACAACAGTGATAAATATTTAAGACCCGCATCAGTTTGGGTTTTCCTCCAACATCAAGCTGGCACGCTGTGGTAGAACTGGAACACTGTTCAAAGCGGCGTCAAACTTAACTCACTTACCCACCTAAAATACTCACCACTCGTGACGTCAACGTTTCATGTAACCTACAAGATTGATATATAGACTTATAAAAATATACGTGGATTCTAAGCTCGTGATAATGTGCTGTCTATTTTTCCTAAATGGATCCGCGCGCCTGTAGGAGATACAACAGCTTATGTATTCATACATACCAGATAGCATAACTAAAGTACACAGTCGGATCAATGCATATATGTCAACATAATGACAAGTCTGACAGCAATATATGTTGACAAGTATTTGAGAATGGACACATTTCAAAATATTGACAGTTATTATACAATTATTCTTAAAGTGCAACCGCTGCACCTTAATATGCTGCTCTTATTATTTATTTTAGTTAAAATGCTAATCTGTGGTATCAAATGAAAGTTTCTTAAAAACACACTGAAAAGCCTTAGTCGGCCACTTGGGGTGACAGTCTATCTGAGCGAAGGCCGCTTACTACGACGTCCGCGCTTTTTCACCCCTCCCGTATGTAAGTTTTATTAATATATTTCAGTTCATATCGCAGTGTAGGTGTCCCCAACGTATATATTTGTAATACCCTCTTTGTATTTAGATCGGGTCAGCTGTGTATTGTAACTGACAAGCTTACTATCAGTGCTACTAACTTGAGTCGACCATTTAATTGCCTCCCTAAGATTTAGCGTTATTGTATAGTGGCCATAAAAAATACCAGTTGTTTATCTTAGTCAGTGTGACTTAATGCAGTCATAATAAGCAGTAACAGTAGTAGTATGTTGTACATGTCCATAATAAGTAGTAACAGTAGTAGTATGTTGTACATGTCCATAATAAGTAGTAACAGTAGTAGTATGTTGTACATGTCCATAATAAGTAGTAACAGTAGTAGTATGTTGTACATGTCCATAATAAGTAGTAACAGTAGTAGTATGTTGTACATGTCCATAATAAGTAGTAACAGTAGTAGTATGTTGTACATGTCCATAATAAGTAGTAACAGTAGTAGTATGGTGTACATGTCCATAATAAGTAGTAACAGTAGTAGTATGTTGTACATGTCCATAATAAGAAGTAACAGTAGTAGTATGTTGTACATGTCCATAATAAGTAGTAACAGTATTAGTATGTTGTACATGTCCATAATAAGTAGTAACAGTAGTAGTATGTTGTACATGTCCATAATAAGTAGTAACAGTAGTAGTATGGTGTACATGTCCATAATAAGAAGTAACAGTAGTAGTATGTTGTACATGTCCATAATAAGTAGTAACAGTAGTAGTATGGTGTACATGTCCATAATAAGTAGTAACAGCAGTAGTATGTCCATAATGAAATCTTTGATAGGCATTTACAAGTTGGAAGAACAGAAATGCGTGACACTTTGTATGGATAATAACTTCTTTATTCTTTGACACTGCGTTTCAGGGATACTTCTTGTCCCTCCATCAGGTGAATACTGAGTAGGCGCAGAGAGGTTTATAACAAATATTATTAATGTACAAAGATAACAACAATGAGGAATTCAATGAGATGTTCCGAAAGGGCTCGTGCATGAGGCATATATCTACCCATGTTATAAATGGCTATATGGGCTTGGACGGATTGAAAATTGCCCAGTGGAAAAGTGTCCTTGGTCAATGGTTGACAGTAAAATGTGTTGTAAGATCTGTTACAAGTTCTTCACAGCATCACTGAAGGTCACCAGATCTTTCAAATTGCTCAACTGCAGGTCATTCCGGACATAATTGTAGAAGAAATCTGGTGTCTGTGAATCAAAGAGGTTTATAATTTAGCTATAATTAACCCATATGAAATATTTTTGTCATGTTTGGTGACTTGTTTGACAGAGTGGCGATGTACCACAACGACGTAGATCATTGCTCGTGATACGTATCACTGGAATGTCTGGTCCAGACTCGATTGTTTCCATGCCGCCGTCATCTGGCTAGTGTATTGCCGGGTGCGGCGTTGGGCAACACGCTTTCTCTTTACTGATTTTCAGTGATCCCTTAACATAATTTTCATCACTTTTTTATTTTTACACCCTTTGGAATTTGTTTCGGCAGATAATCGAGTCTGATTATCATATACCGTTGACGTTACAACTCATATAATTAATAATCATAATGAAACAGACACGACTGTGTTACAGAATTTAACATGTAGCAGAAAGTCACATCACAATGTTCCTTCCCAATGGCTTTACAACGTCTGCGCATCTCAAAAGGGTATTAAAAATACAGATGTACAATGTAACCTTAACTTGCGTGAATAACACAATGATAACAATTCTTGGAAAGCGTATAGTGTCCATCTTTACTACATTAAAGATCAATTTACCTTACATATTCACAGATCATGTGTAAATGTGTAAAATGCGAAATATGAAATTGTATTTAATTGTAAGGATTTCTCAGATTTGATAGAACACATCTGTAGGAAGAGCGTATAACGAAACGTTATATTTTAACTGATCCTGTTCTTTTCTATGATAGCCACTTAGAAGTGTTCAGCTATTCACCTCGTTTGATATCCTACGGAGAAACGTCAACTGCTTTACGTCGAGACTTTTCAAAGATGAGTGTCTGAAAACAAAATAGTTATCTTTGAACGAGTAATCCAAGTACTGAATAACAGAGCAGAAACATTCTGAAACATAGACATGTATCCAACACACATTATACACATACATTTATCTCAGTGATCTTTGACACACCTTAGCATAGATGCAACTACAATGAGTCCAATTCCTTGATCAGGGATGCCAATAGCATAGTGAACGTGTGAGCTGGGTGCCTTGAACAGCACTGTGGTAAGAAAGTTCGATATGACGTTTAGCACTTTGATGAACCCAACACATCACATCCTGGCACAACCAAGGAATGCAAATCTGCGCTGCATTAAATCAACATTACCTTGAATAGATCGCTTCATATTAAGCATTCGTCAACGGAGAGGACGTCTATAGGTATCTTTGCAATTTCATTAAAATCAGATCTTAATGCTCGCTACCGCTCCACACTGATCTGAGGACATCCTATTACAGGTCACTGCGACCTTCCGCGAATTTTGACCGATTAAGTTCACATTAGCCAATCAGATAGCAGCTTTCTCGACATTTACGGCGCAACTTTCAAACTGGCGACTTCCATTCCAGGCCAGACTTGAAAAATATTATGACAGAGTTCTCAAAACATGAGAACTAAAAACAAGGGTATTCTGGAATGTGTAATATATAGATGGCCGAGCTTGTATGGCAGTACTTCACACGTGCTATGGAAAGCATAATGAAATGTTTATCGCATTGAAGCGAGAGGTAGACGAAGATGTTGATGTTCAATATACCCCGCGTCATAACCATTTCAAGGTTGTATGAATAGAAAACACATACCGACTGTCCCGATCTGGTAAGCGACGCGCTGATTGGTTGGAAGAAAGGTCATTCTGGTGTGACTCGTAATGGGATGTCCTCAGATCTTTGTTTAGCGGTAGCAAGAACAAAGATCTGATTTTGATGAGATTGTGTTAAAATGGATAATAATTGTGAAGAATGTATCAACTACTTACTTTTCCAAGCCCAGTTTACAAAGCCACTTCTGAACATCTTTGTCTGACCATTTGGCCATACCACCAGCACCCCGGCCAGCATCAGCTGGTTTAGACTTCACAACTGCAGATGTCGCTCCCTAATAAGAGGGTGGGTAAAATCAGTTGTAAACCAAAAAGAAGGTGAGGATAGGGAAAACAGGTTTATCCGAAAGGCACTGTTCCAGGAAAGTGTCCTGATTAATCAATATCTGGCTTAACAAAATCATTGTTTTAGAGTAATATTCTTTGTATTATCGTCCTAAAAAATGCCTCCTGACTAACGAGATTCGCTGTATCAATTTTTTGACAATCTCTAATGCTTATCAGCTGGATGCAGGCCCCTTTGTCAGGGAAAGGTACGGATGCAGTGTAAGTCAAGCTCACAAGTACCGCAATCATGATCATTCTTAAACGAAACCCTTTTACTGACGAGTACTGTGGTATTTTTCATTATTCTGAACTGTGCATATTTCCATTTCCTTCAGGGAGCAGTTCAAAAGTTCTTATGTTGAAAACACCTGAGCTTTGAGATATACCCACCCCTGTCCCAAAAATAACACCCAAAAAGCGAATCCTACTTCAGACTTATTTATGTAAAGCAGGCGATGAAGCAGAGCTTTCGGGTACGACAATGCTTTTCCCCACACTTCATTATTAAACCTGTGTGTGGGATGTTCATTGCAGGGTAAACTATAACGACTAGCGCTCTTATTCATTGATATGATCGTTTAATCCCCTGAAAAGTTTATTTGACGAAGGAAAACACACCTGTTGGGCATCCAAACGTAAGGAAATATGAGTTTAAGACAAAATAATAATTAGTCAAAGCGTCCTCACGTCAGTGCTGTCGGTTGACGATCCTGTCTTGCCTCGAATACCTAGTTCTTTTATCAACTCCGATGCTTTCTGGTCAAAAGGGTATTTTCCGCTGAAGTCGAAGTAGAGTTTTGTCCCTTTAATTATTCCCATCCAACCATTAGGTTTGTAGTCTCTCTGTAGAATGAGAGGTATGATGGGTTTCCGGAGGTCAAAGGCATACTCAGCTTCTGTAATGTGAAATCGTTTGTTTCAGATTTGATGCAATAAAATGTTATCATATATGCATGAACTTATTTGTGCTGTAGTTTTTTCAACTTGGACACATAGTAGTGAGTGAGTGAGTGAGTGAGTTGGGTTTAACGCCGCTTTTAACAGTATTCCAGTTATATCACGGCGAGTCAGCTTAATGTGGGAGGAAAGCCCGAAATGATGCAGGTCTCAGACGTTTACCACTTCGGTGAAACCCACGAGCACGGGTATGGTGCTGACAAACCTAGAAAAATAATCGGGGCGAACCGGGATTCGAACCCACAATCATAGATTTCTGGCGTGCCCAAGGGACGCAACTCTGCACAGCGAATCGCGGCGCCTTAGACGACTGGGCCACCCGTGCCCCCGGACACATAGTAGCATCTGCGACTTAAAGGCATTGCTGTAAATAAGTTTAACGTAACTGTCCCTTCGGTGATTAGGCCGGAAGTAACCACACCTTCAAGGATTGATGCGGAACTAATTGTTCCCCAAGGATTGGAACGAAATATACTGTCTCTTCAAGGATTAACCGAAAGTAACTATGCCTTCAAGTATTACACCGGAAGTAAATGTCCTTACAAAAATCACACCTTTGGTCAGCTGTACCAAGACGAAAAAACACGGGTACTGTGCTGATAAACCTAGAAACACATAATTGGAGCGACACTTGATTCGAACCCATGATTATAGCTTCCTGATGTGCCCAAGGGACGCTACTCTAGACAGTAAATTGCTGTGCCTCACACGACTGGTTCACCCGTGTCACCCTGATCACTAGACATAACACTAAAACACCACAACACTAGTTGTCCTGCCTACCTGATCTGCAGTTCTGGCTCAGCTTGTATCTCTCCGACATACACACCACCACCACAGACGCGCCCTCCACGGCCTCCGCCATCGCCTGCAGTGTGGAGCCCTCCATGTTGTCGATGTCCATCCAGACTTTAAATTTGTGTTTTTTCAAAAGTTCCTTCACCTTGAACAAATAAATAAAATTTACAAGAATGAGCTAATGAAGTCATGATAAGTCGATGTTCTTTCGTGATTGTTCAGCTTCTAACGGGATGAAAAGGTTGTTTCAAGCACGTTTTTATATAATGTGGGAGGGGGAGTTTGGAACTATAGTTTCCCTTATAGGGAGCCGAACATGTGGGTGAGAGAGTGACTTTGATTGAACGCTGCTTTGAACAGTATTTCAGTGTCAGCTTGATGTGACTTAGAATCCAGGAGTCACGGGCATGATGCTGACAAACCTAGAAACTTAGTTAGGGCGAGCCCGGATACCAACCCAAAACCATAGTTTACTGGCACGCTAAAGGGACACAACTCTGCACATCAACTTACAGCGCCTTAGACGACTGGGCAAACCGTGCACCATATAGAAAGAAGCATGTTTTAGGCTGACAACATTGATGTAAATCGTAAGGTGATGATTATTTCATGAAGAAGAATAACAAGAAACATACCTTGACAAGCACTTCCTGATCCGCCCACTGATAACTGATCATAACGTGGCCTGCATCCTGCACAATTTCATCCTTCTTGACTGCATCTTTCTTCTTAAGTTCTGCTCGAAATGAAGGCGAATATATTCTTTATAACAATTGACGAATTTCAGCATCATTATTTCAGTAACACCAGGGTGACAGTGTAAATGTTGAGAAGAGCCCCATGTTAGGTAGGTCCTTTCCCACCTTATATTACACGAAAGTATATGCTGTCACGGGACGCACCATAAAACATTTTTCGGATAATTTTTTGGTTCACGCATGTTTTCTGTGGAAGGGACAGCCGAACATTTCAGTTTTATCTGGTCATCCAGCAATTTCTATTTTTAAAGTAACTGAGTACAAATTATATGTTCTGAGGGTATTTTTAGGGAAAAAATAATGTTTTCCAAAAGCAACAATAGGACACTCACACACACACACACACACACACACACACACACACGCGCACGCACGCACGCACGCACGCACGCACACACACACGCACACCTGCGGCAAAATGTGTTTCACATTACTTTCCAGGAAACAAAATATATTTTTTCCGAAATATGTCCGGATTGAAATATAGTCAATCCCTTACTCTGGTTCCCCCTTTTCTTCTCCGGTGTGATGGCCCACAAAGCGCCCCCAGAAACCTTGGAAAGCGTCTTATTTTTGGGTGATTCATTCATTTTCCTCAGTATCGCCATCAGTTGAACGTTTTCCTTGAAAAAAAAACAATTACTAAATGAACAGAAATAAATAACGTTATTGTAGTCAGTTATGGTAAAACATAATGTATCCGCCACGCCGAGGATTGGGTTCGATTCCCCACATGGGTAAACCAAGTTTTGTCCTCAACATCCGTAATATTTAGAATATTGCTAAAAGACGCTTAAAATATCCTTATCATAGCATTGAAATATGCATTCATAATAATCAGTGATTGGATCCTCGAGTGGTGTTTGACGTCGCTGGGAGAAATAGTACTGCCATATGATGACGGGCTGATTCAAGAAATTGGTTTCAGAATCTGAGATATCGAACCGGCACGAGCAACCGTTTCAACCACCAGGTTACACCACAACAATCATTAAACAACGTGCCATCCGTCTAACGAGAAAAGGAAAAGGCTTCATGTCTATATTAATAAATTGAAACTACTATTCAACATACGCTTAGTATATATTAAATAATACGCATAACCATAGACAAAATGACGATAAAACATTATAAACTTCCCTTTAACGACCTACCGAAAATATTCGCTGATTATTCTTGTCGAATGCAAGCTCCCAAACACACTGAACAGCCTTCTCTCGCTCGTCATCTGATCCTTCCTGCATGACAGTCATCAACACAGGGATCGCTCCCTTCTCTGTGAGGATCTTCTTATTGTCGTCGTTCTTCGCCAATCCAGTGAGTCCAACTATCAGCTCAGACGCGGAGAAGCCGTTGCAACGATGATTTTGATCTTTCCATGACAACTTGATCATGTTCAACATTATGGTAAAGACGGTACTGTCTGCTAGCAGAGCTTTATTGTCATCCTCGTCGATTATGTTCGCCAGCAGCAGGAGAAGCATCATTTTAATCCCTATGGAAATAGAAACGGTGGAAAGTTCAATGACAGACTTTGGAACATGTTTCTGGGTGATAGAAGGTGAGGTGGGGTTAAATGGGGTTTAATGTCGCGTCCAAAATTATTGAACTTATATAGCTACGTGCATGCCGAGCGCAGACAGGGTAACAACAAGTACCATCTTTTAACGTCTTTTGGTATGACGCGGCCGGGGATCCGAATCCCGGACCTTCCGCTTTCCGGGCGGACGCTCTACCACTAGACCACAGAGGCGGTCGGGTGATAGACGCAATTGAGGAACTTCCGACTGCCTCCGTGGTTTAGTGGTAGAACGTCCGCCCGGAGAGTGGAAGTTCGATCCCCGGCCGCGTCAAACCACACTTATACTTTTGTCAGAATAAGTAACGTCCAGTTCAATGAAAGGGTTCTTAGACAAAATTCTTGGTTAATACTAAGGTACATGTTCAGTAGTAACTACAAGCGATCCACCGGTGTCGAGGGGGACCTCTGTATAAGTATAACTTCCCCTAGCCCGAATGGGAACATCAACGCTTGTCGTCCGAGGAACCGGTGGAGAACGAGTTTATGTAACCACACACCTAATTAAATTGCAAGTCTGTCTTCTGCATGATGCTTTGGTCGGAATCAGTTAGTCAAAATATCGTTAAATACCCGGAGAATCTTACATCAATAATTCAAGATATAAAATTGCAGTTGGTATGTAACACAGAAATTTAAGTAATACATTTATTCCTGTTGATCCCACTCACCTGGGGCGTCACCTTTAAGATAGGCCATGGCTACAGACACTGTCCCCAGTTTCCTGATGGGTTGGCGGGTGACGGGGTTGTTAGAGCAGTTGTGGAGGACGCCCCTAGCAGACCGGAACATTGGGTCAGTTACTGACACCTGCAAAACAAGGATGAACAACAGACTGTCAACACAGATACACAACAGACCGTCAACACAGAGACACAACAGACTGTCAACACAGAGACACAACAGACCATCAACACAGATACACAACAGATTGTCAACACAGAGACACAACATATCATCAACACAGATACACAACAGACCGTCAACACAGATACACAACAGACCGTCAACACAGATACACAACAGACTGTCAACACAGAGACACAGCATACCATCAACACAGATACACAACAGACTGTCAACACAGAGACACAACATACCATCAACACAGATACACAACAGACCGTCAACACAGAGACACAACAGACTGTCAACACAGAGACACAACATACCATCAACACAGATACACAACAGACTGTCAACACAGAGACACAACATACCATCAACACAGATACACAACAGACTGTCAACACAGAGACACAACATACCATCAACACAGATGCACAACAGACTGTCAACACAGAGACACAACATACCATCAACACAGATACACAACAGACTGTCAACACAGAGACACACTAGACCGTCAACACAGAGACACAACATACAATCAACACAGATACACAACAGACTGTCAACACAGAGACACAACATACCATCAACACAAATACACAACAGACCGTCAACACAGAGACACAACATGCCATCAACACAGATACACAACAGACTGTCAACACAGAGACACAACATACCATCAAAACAGATACACAACAGACCGTCAACACAGAGACACAACATACCATCAACACAGATACACAACATACCATCAACACAGATACACAACAGACCGTCAACACAGAGACACAACATACCATCAACACAGATACACAACAGACTGTCAACACAGAGACACAGCATACCGTCAACACAGATACACAACAGACTGTCAACACAGAGACACAACAGACTGTCAACACAGATACACAACAGGCTGTCAACACAGAGACACAACAGACCGTCAACACAGAGGCACAACAGACTGTCAACACAGAGACAAAACATACCATCAACACAGATACACAACAGGCTGTCAACACAGAGACACAACAGACTGTCAACACAGAGACACAACAGGCTGTCAACACAGAGACACAACAGACCGTCAACACAGAGACACAACATACCATCAACACAGATACACAACAGACTGTCAACACAGAGACACAGCAGACTGTCAACACAGATACACAACAGACCGTCAATACTGATTAACAACATAGATTCACAATAGATCGTTAACAAAGGTGCACAACAGACTGTCAACACATAGATGCAAAACATTCCGTCAACACCGTTTCACAACAGATCGTTCAACAGAGATTCACAAGAGACCATGAACATTGATAAACAACAATCTGTCAAGTATAGTTTTATAAATATTCTTACTTCTGTTTGCTTGTCTTGTATTGTCTTGTTGTATTGTCTATAGGCTTACTTAGTTGTAGTTCAGTTAATGTAATATTTAACATTTTAATTGAACGTATATGTCAATTTACACCAACAAAGATAGCATACAATCTTACTTTAGGTTGACTACAGTCTCAATTGGTTTACTACAGTTTTACTACAATTGTGTACAACCTGAATACAATTATGTATTCTGTGAGATTGGTAGATATAAAATGTGAGATTATGTACCAATTTGATATTAGTTTGCAATGTACTTACTTTGGCAGGGCTACCGGCTTCCTTCAGAACAGCCTTCAGGTCCCCCACAAAATATCGAAGGAGGCCACTGCCGCACACCCTCTCGCCGAACTGGACACTGGCGTCAGTGTAGTTCCACAACAACCCCCTCATCTCCCGGATAAATTGGTAGCTGCTTTCTGGCGTCAGCTGTGCTTTTGATACTTTCTCCGTCAAGAACTCAAGTTTCCTGGCTTTAAGATACGAACTATACGTCTTGTACATGACATCAGCAGCGCGCGTGTAGGACAGGTAATCTGCAAATACGCGTCTGTGGGATTCATCCTTGTTCACGTATGAAAGTCCAATTGTCTTATGTGTGAGTATTCGGATCTGTTCCCCTTTTGACTCCAACCTTGGGTCTTCTTCGAGAGCATGTATGAAGGAGTTGATGTCATCGAACCCAGACTTTAACCGAGGGTATTTGGTGACTAACTGCTGAGCCATTTGCAAACAGTCCGTGTTTAAGGCAGGTATTTTCGAACTCATTGTGGAGGGCTTGGATGGAGTCTGATCAGATGGATTCGTAATGGCAGGTCGCCCGGGCTCTTCTGTGCACTGTCTCAACCGTAAGTGAAATGAACCTTTTACCAACTCCGTGTTATGGCTAGTTTGGACGGGTGTGAGCGTGTTCTCACTTGCCGGCAACGGTCGGTTGATTTCAAAGCTATAGTCTGTTCCACTCTTGATTAGTGTCATTAAAGGGGCACTGATCTAACGCAATTCCCCGGGACTGGTTGTTGCCTTTGTTATTGTTTTTCCCCAGTGAATACCCGGATGTATAGCAGAAATCTAGACTAGTTCGCGACCTCTGCTGCGCCATTCGTAAGCGCATTAGTCACTTTTATGGGTAGTAATAAGGGCGTATGGTCACATTGATCAACAAAATGAAATACAGTTTTCGAGATAATAAGGAAATGTAGGTATCTTTGTGAGTAGCATCGGTAATGGTGACGAAGTTTTGATAATTTGCCGATTATCGTTTACACTATTTTGACTTGCAACACAAAGTATATATTTCACCTGAGCATATGCTTTTTTATAGTGTGTATATTTTTTACTGTCAAATGTGTAACAAATTTATTAAACGTCTAAATATTCAGTTATTTTACAAAGTGACTGAAAAACATTTCCATCTGTATTATTATGACAACGAATTCCAAACATTTTGATGTTTAATGTCATCACCAAGAGACTGAAAATGTAACGTTGAAAAGTACATTTCTAAGTTGTTTGGCTTTTAATCCTACATAATAATCTGTTGTGATGTTTGTAGGCCCTTTTGATCGTCTTGATCAATCTGGACAGATTTTTTAGTCAAAATGACTGAAATATTTACACATTTTATAAATTGCCTGAGAGAATCACATTTTACAAATTGACAGTAATATATACACGCTTACAAAGGAAAAGACCTGTGACAACAACGTCTATCGCGCATTCAAGAATTTCCCAACCAAGACGTAGAGAAACAAGAACGAATCGGTTCAAATGAAGGAAAACAAAATGCAGATATCATAATTAGAGCCTACCAAATTTATGTGTATAAGTTTTAGGCAGCTTCCTTGTTCGAGGAATGTATCCGTGAATATCCACACAAAGGAACAATATCCCACTCGTCTGCAGCTGTACAAAGAAACTTAGTCGATGTCACGTGTCTCAGTAACAATCAAATATTTTAAAAGATATATATCGTTTCGGGATATTACAACCCGTGTTCGTTTCTCAACTGATCGCTTGGATTGTTTCAGGTGTTTTACATAGGTGTCAAGTCTCAATGGTCGGCTGAGAAAGCCCACGTGACAACTATTTTCATAGCGTCCACGGTTCCTAAAAATTCCATTGAGTGATAGATAACAATGATCAATCAATCAACGTATTATCAGTTAACCCTTTGAACAAAGTATGTTGTTTTTACATCGGCACTTCGCGCCATGATATGAGTGTATTCCCTTTGTTTTAGTAAACCTAGACATGTAAACACTCACTCTTGACATATCCACTGTGCAAGATAACAGTGATTAATCAATCAACGTATTTTCTGTTAATCCTTTGATGACTAGGAACGATCCGTTGATTTACAAAAAAAAGTAAATCAAGTGATCATTCATCTCTTGCTGGGCTGCCACGTGCATATTACATAACACACATTTCACCTCACTTCAAACCTGGATTTAGATTGAATAATTACCCCAGACACAATAAATGCCAAATGGGAACCTTTGTCAGGTAATATAAGTGGTGCTACCAAAAATTCATTAACTGAGCATCAAGTGAATGACGACAAATACACAAGTGTAGGGTTGGTTATACGAGAAAACGTGGATGACAACAAGGGAGTAGTAATCGTATTATCGACGCAAGCCGAAATCCGAAAATGCTTTTACTGCATGGATACTGTTTTTAGTATTAAAATATAACCATCTGGGGTATTTCCAAATGACGACGTCCGATGAGCTCCCTTGTTTTTTTTGTCTGTTTGTTTAGGCTGAAGAAATGAATTAACATGCGCCCTTTGTCGAAATCTTTATAGATCACAGTTAACCAATCAGTGTTCAAAAATGCGTAAAACAAATATTGCCTCCAGCCTCCAAGTTTATTTAGCTGTCCTTGCAGACGGTACCCCAGTCTCTGGTCACGCTCAGTTGCGTTGCGTATCATCCGGGTACTCAAGGGGGGGAAACCAATAACAAAGGCAACAACCAGTCCGTTAGATCAGTGCCCCTTTAACTCATGGTGATACGATCCAGCTAAGCCTCGTTAATTAGCAGTAAGTGAATTGTGTTTATTGTATAGCTTTAATTATTTATAATCTTCTGGTGATTTCTGGTTCCGAACAATACCTGTCGGGAATGTGAGAACATCCTGATGAAAATTACCTTTGATAAACATTTTGTGACATAACGCCATTGCCTGGGTAGGTTCTGTAATATGTTCATAAGTTGTGAATGTATTTTTGACCAGGAAACCTCGAGCATTTGGAAGGATATTTCTTGTATTACCAAGGTTTTACATTTGAATTTTATAAACAGTTTTTGATATAAATGTAATGTTGATTTCTGATTGGTTAAAATTCAGATATTTGTCACATGAAACTTCCATGACCGGCATCCACACATATCGTGACTAGTTTTGTAACCGACTGTTTCCCCACAAAGCCACCGAGACAGGTGATGAACGGGTGTTAAATCTTACATGTCATGACTTGAGTTGTGTGCATGCCACACTGGGTCATTCTCTCACACGCTTTCGTCTAAATTCTTTTACACCTCGTGGCACTGTATTGTTTCACAATATGGTATTCCGATGTCTTCTAATTTCTTCTGGTATTTCTTACATTAAGACGGTTCATAGGTTAAATAAAAACATTCTCGTCTACGGAAGCGTAGTAGGGCCACGGTGATTTTTTTTGTCTAAGTATATCTCCTATGTAGGACTTATTATCTTCTACTTAGGACTTACTATGTCCTACGTAGGACTTACTATCTCCTACGTAGGACTTACTATGTCCTACGTAGGACTTACTATCTCCTACGTAGGACTTAGTATGGCCTAGAATCACTATCTCCTACGTAGGACTTAATATCTCCTACGTAGGAATTATTATCTCCTACGTAGGATTTATTACCTCCTAAGTCCTACATAGCAGATAGGAAGTCCTACGTAGGAGATACTAAGTCCTACGTAGGAGATACTAAGTCTTACGTAGGAGATAGTAATTATAAGTCCTACGTAGGAGATACTTAGACAAAACAAATTCACCGTGGCCCTACTACGCTTCCGTACTCGTCGGCCTTAACTAAAATGTAAGCCCAGGGCATCGGGGTTATGATCGAGGCTTCCCTCTGCCCTGGACTTACAGTCTCAGTCAAGACCGAGGAGGAGGTTTTGATCATTTACTTCTCAACTCCAAGCAGGTAGCGAACAACGACCCAGAAAAGAGCAATACAGGATCCTCGATGATAACTGTGTAGTGCTGAAACATGTCACCCCAATAACATGTATTCCCCGGACCTGGTTGGCGATCCAGAGGAGTGAGTGAGTTAACATTAAACGTCGCATTGTGAATGAACATTCCATGTGATGTTGATGTGATTATTACTACCAATGTATACATGTGTATCTGCTATATGAAAAATCAATACTGCAAAATGTTATTGTATGAATTGGCTGCCAATCCAACAAAGAATGCAATTTAAACTACTCACTCTGGTTTACAAGGCAATGTATAGTTTGGCCCCTGCATACTTACAGCTACGAATAGTACCATACAAGCCTGCACGTTCTCTCCGTTCAAAAGATCCACATCTGCCAAAGTCACGTGCCAAAGCATATCGCGATAGGTCAATTCAACGTGCTGACCCATTGCCATGGAACAATCTGCCACAAGGAATCCGAGAAACTGAAAATCTGACAAACTTTAAAAAGACACTGAAAACCTGTCTCTTAAAGAGATCCTTAGATTAGATCAGTCATGGTGTAAGCGCATTTGAGCAGGTTTTAATTGGAAAATGCGCTGTACAAATTCTTAATTTGATTTGAATTTAATTCAATAAGTATTGACAAATGTATCATGCGTATCACGTTTTTGTCTGCATTATACCAAATTGAATGTAATACAGCGTTATTGTATCATGTTCTGTCATCGATGTATGTACAATGCAATAAACTCATACAGTTTTCCGAGCTTGTTCCTACACTGAACAAAAAAAACATATTTTTGGTGAAGTTATGTTCAGTCTTCACTACAAAAACATATCCCCCACGCATGATCCTTATCTCATTTTGTTCAGTATATATGTCGGACGCCTGATGTGACCAGACTAGGAACAGACTATAGCTTAATCCGCTATTGTTCAAGGAATTATCACACCCCAGAAGGTACAATTATACTACAACAATAGCGAAGGTACAATTATACTACAACAATAGCCTCCTCTAAAGTGTGAATCCGCCAGTTGAACTACACCCTACACCATCAAGCCAGTCCGAAATGAAACGTTCGATGTCACAGTTGCCATATGGATAGGGATAGGGATCTATTCATGAAACCTCAGTTAATCGACATAAAAGACTAATTGCCCCGTGAAGATCCAGGTGAGAGTAGGTCTTCAGCAACCCATGCTTGCTGTGAAAGGCGACTATGGTTGTAAGAATCGACGAACGGGATCGGGTAGTCAGGCTCGCTGACTTGGTTGATGCATGTCAGTGCATCCGTAGATTGCGTAGATGTCATTCACTGGATTGTCTGGTCTTTACTCGCTTATTTACAGACTGACGTCATATAGATGGATTAATGCTGAGCGCGGCGTCAAACAACAAACAAACAAAACAAAAGACTAATTAACATGTTGTAATTATATGTGTATATAAATCTCGAATAATTCAGTTGCGACTGATTGCAACAAGACGCTAATCTCCAGATTATCGAACTAAATGTTAAATTTTATTGTGCTGTATTATTATTATTATTATTATTATTTTTATTTTTATTTTTATTTTTTATTATTTTTATTATTTTTTTTATTTTATTTTTTTTATTTTTTATTATTATTTTTTTTTATTTTTTTTTTTATTTTTATTTTTTTTTTTTTTTTTTTTTTATTTTTTTTTTTTATTATTTGTATTATTTATTTTTTTTATTTTTTTTATTATTATTTTATTTTTATTTTTTTTTTTTTATTTTTTACAACTCTTGACATGTTGGATGATTTGAAAGAAATGTGTCATGAAAAAGTCCTTTAAATACAAGAAGTTTAATATATGCATATTTATGATAGCTGCTGGTCAATCCCACTTACAAGATAACCCACCAGGGACTCTACTGTAAAGTGTAAACGTTGTTTGTTGAATTATAAACCTATTGTGTCAATCCTAGTCTGTGTTTTCGAAATTCAAACAATAATTACACGATAGTTTGGATTTGACAAACAAGTGATTGATGGCATGAACAGCGATCCAGAGTGTCCCGATGCGTTGTTTAAGAACCCTGCAGCCCAACACAGTTCCACACAGAGATCATAGCATTAGGGGTAGATCTCTTGTGATTGCAGCTGTGCCAGTTTAGTTCAACGGGGCCCATGTACACAAATCATATTACTCACAGCTTACATACTTGCTTTCAACTAGAACTTACATAATTACTTTCAGCCTATTGACTTGTGGGAACTTGTTTTTTCAAAAGATCTACTTTGTAGACCTAAAATCTCTCTGCGGATCTGGGTAACATACAACTTTGACCTTGAGAGATCTTTGATAATAGCTGGAAATGTATCAATTATTATTGCGCTTGTTAAAGCAATTATATCATACTCAATTTACCCGTGAAAATTCGGGTTAGAATAGGTCTTCAGAAACCCATGCTCGTCGTAGGAAACGACTAATGGGTTCGCGTGGTCAGGCTTTCTGACTTGGTTGATGCATGTCCTGGCCCAGACACGATTATTAATATTGCTGAATGCAGCGTTAAACGACAAACAAACGTGCTAACCGATTCACAAATATTGTGTTGCATGTAACAAATTGTATACAACTTGTACCCCGTGAATGAGCCTTAGTTATTTGGTAGCCGTAGTGCTTGGTCCAAGTCACGCTTTGTAATTGTCCGGGGCCCAAGGACAAGCATTTATATACCCAGTACGACAATACTTGAAACCAGCTAAGACAGGCGAACACATGGCATACATTTTTAAACGTTATATGGCTCGTATATTTGTCAGTATATATCTGTTTATTTGAAATCATCATGGCGACAAGGCAGATAATCGGTCATGCAAGGACAACCTCCTCATAAACAGACCTTTTGTCCGCGCTTCATGCATCGGAGTGCCCAAGGTGTCTCGGGCTGGGGTGGAGCTTGCCTGCATGTTATTCGTGACACTCGTCATTCCGGCACAAGCCGAATGTTCTTGCAGGTTACGGAAAGGTTACGGAGTTGTGATGAATGGTCCGCATGTGTAAACTTTATTGAACAAGTTTTGCTGTCTAAATGTGCAGATGCGATAAGAGCACATTCGTTACCAGTCGACGCTTTCAAAGAAACTGCACGTTTTGGAATGACTCAAGTGACAACCGTGATAACTCTCACCCTTGAAATACAATGTAGACCCAAATTGTTTCAATGCCTATATTCATTCAGTAGGTTTAAGTCAGAAGATCATAGCTTTGCTTGCCCAAACATCATTAATGGATGTCGAGGGTCCTACGATTGGCAAGGGCGTGGATTATGTTGCATGTACATGTATAAGGTACTGTCTTTGGGGATTTTGTCACATGTGTCCATAAAGGTGCGTTGCATGTATGTATGTTGACTGTGTTGCATATATCCATATGATGAGGTCTGCATTTAGGTATGTGGATTGTGCTAATACCAATATCTGTGTATATGGCTTGTGTTGTATATTACGTAATCATGGCACTCCATATATGTCCTCCATTACAAACCGTCTCCGCGGTCTAGTGGTAGAGCGTCCGCCCGGAGAGCGGAAGGTCTAGGGCTCGATCTCCGGCCGCGTCATACCAAAAGACGTTAAAAGATGGTTCTTGTTGTTACCATGCCTGGCGCTCGGCATTAAGGGGATAAAATTAGGACTGGTCGGCTCGGAGTCAGTATACTGTGTCTGAGTGGTGTATTCATGTTAAACTGCGGCATGGCATCACAGTGGGCTAGCACTATAAAATCGGCATTAGTCCGGACTAGTACAAGCAGCGAAACACACACACACACGCACGCACGCACGCACGCACGCACGCACGCACGCACGCACGCGCGCGCGCGCGCGTGTGTTAGTGCAAGAATCTTAAACGCGACCTTAAACCCTACTTCACCTTGTCACACCTCACCAACTGGTGTCGTGTACATGAATACATCACTATGCACATTTAAGTATGGTGTATTTGTGTCATTTTTGCTTAAAGCCGCACCCATCACTTTTGCAGGTACATGTATATGACGCCGGTCTTTAAACCAGACCAGACAATCCACTGATTGATATTGTGAGCAACGATCCACGCCGATCAAACACAAACAACACAAGCACGAGTTTTACTACTTACGTCGAGGATGATCCTATAAAACATTCCCACATCATTATTACCAACAATAAGAAGAAGAAAAAGAAGAAGAAAATATTAATATGTTCTCGTTCATACCAGACTGTCACCTCGGAGTTAGCTCGAAGGCGAAAGACAACATCGGCTTCTACTTTCGATATAATTTATTTAATGTTAAACAATACAAACACAGACACAGAATGAGCGGAACGTCCCGCTTAGATGTAATGAGGGGGCTTTCTAGATCAGACACAAATGGGATGAGCGGAGCTCCCAAATAAACCTCCGGGTATTTGTGCTGTCGACCTAAACATGCGTCTAATATACCTGACTTTGGGATTTCCGCACTCAGCAATATTCCAGCTATATGACGGCGGTCTGTAAATATTCGAGCCTGGACAGACAATCCAGTGATTGACATCATGAGCATCGATCCACGCAACTGGGATACGATGACATGCAACAACCAAGTCAGCGAGCCCGACCACCCTATCCCGTTAGTCGCCTCTTACAACAAGTATGGGTTGATGAAGACCTATTCTAACCCGGGTCTACACGGGTCAGTATCAAATAGTGATGGTACTAGGTGTATACCCATTTACCACGCTGAGCCGGCTTAAGAGGATCGAGTGGTAAGGTCCGGTAATCAAACTTATCAAGTTTCATAGTTGATGGCGTTGGCCGCCGCTCATGCATTCAGTCACTGGCCTGTGAGTTCTAGATCTAGACTTAACTATGTACAGGCTGCCTTAATGTACATGTTGACGGTTATATCTGACTGTGTTATACAGGATAGTCATCAAGGCAGTTCCAGAAATGAGGCTTATATAATCGTGCTGTTATTGGCGCACGAAGGTTTCTACACAGACGTCCTTACTGGGGGTTTAAGCACTCTTGACCATGCCGCAGTTTATGATGGATACCGCGCTTTGTGTCGAGCGCCAGTCAGAGTAACACCATCTTTTGGTATGAGCGGCCAGGGGATGGAACCATTCACCTTCAACTTTCCGGGCAGACCCTCTTTCCACTATACCACGGAGGCGACCAGAAAAGAACAAACATTGCATTATGTCAGCCTTTGGCGAGCATAGTACCTGCTATTTATTCATCACACATGATATGTACGATACGGAAACACGAGAAAAATAAGAGTTTATAATATAATGACTGTCAATCTTACAGTGTAATAATAGTATTGTTTTACAAAAGTAACTTTATAAACCGCGTATGAATACAAGCATGCCTGAATGAACCGCACCATTCATTATATAGTGCCAAATGATTTGGAGCCGTGAAGGCTACATAAGCACCCACACATTGGGAAACGTCCATCTCAACGTTTTGAGGACAGAGGGCAATGGGGATGTTAGATAGTAGTCATCGCATCGATATTTGGAGCTAACTAAAAAAAGTTCCTGTAATTTGTGAGCTCATTTAAATATTTATCGGACTGGTTTACGCGTCGTTGACTTTATCCATGTATGATAAATCCTGGTACAATCTATATGCACCAAAGGAGAAACAAATGTTTAGTTTATCTGAAAGCACTTTGCACCTAGTACAAGCAGATCAAGCAAGTTATAACGACTAAACGTCAATCAAAAGGAAAAATTACGAAGCATTTTCTGACTCAGAGCCTCATCGTTCGGACAAACACACCAACACAACAGAGACGTCCCATACAGTCTCTGACGACGCCTGCAGCTATAACGTGCTTGTGCCCTTCGGTGAGCCATTACCGGTGTACTTTGTCTTGAACTTTAACAATTGGTGATATATGTGAACAACACATTACGCTTCATTACGTAGTAACCAACGTTAAGGTATTTAGTTTCTAGCGCAATAACTTCCCAAGGCTCTTCACAAGATCAGACATTTTCTGATCAAACAGGTATTTTCCCGTGAAGTCCATAAAGTTGAGTGTCCTTGCGATTAAACCCAGCCATCCATCTGGTTTATACGCCTTCTGGATCAGCAGAGGAACGATCGTCTTTCTCAAATCAAAAGCGTATTCAGCTTCTGAAACATAACAACAGAGCTCAATCAGTACAAAATGTAATATTTGGTTGAACACAAGTAACGAGAGTATATGGCTTCCTTAAACATTGACTTTGTGTGGACTCACTTACTAGAAGGGAGTCTAGCCTTTCAAAGTGAAAGTATATTTTTCGCAATGATGCATTGTACTCATCAGGAATGCCATGATCTGTTCCCTGTTCCTAAGCATAATATTTTCTAAAATGTTGGTGTGCTGGCGTGTTTTTTTGGCACAGACTATTTTAATCTTTCAGGGGATCAAGACAAATTTGTTCTCTGAAAGGAGGGGACAGACATATAATGTTTTGGGAACATGTGTAATACAAAATAATCCCAGGCGCGTGCAATCACGCACGCACGCACGCACGCACGCACGCACACCCGCAAAACACAATTGTAGTGACCAAATATGATATGATCATTGTTTTCAAATATGACGCTCACTGGTGAAATTAGTAGTGAATTATTTACTTACCTGACCTGCAGTTCGCCAAGCTCCTTCGCTAGATCAGTCAATTTCTGATCATATGGGTATTTTCCACTAAAGTCGAAGAAAAGTTTTGTCCCTTTAATCATACCCAACCACCCGTCTGGTTTATACGCCCTCTGCGTCAGTAGCGGGACAATCTTCTTCTTTAAGGAAAATGCATACTCAGCTTCTGGAATGCACCATAATAAATAGGTCAGTCTAGTCACGGGCGTGTACAGCTAAAGGTACAACGTTCACGTTTAGCAAGAACAAGAAACATCAGTTTATTAAATGGATTCGTGAAGTGTCATTTTCTGATACAGGCCTCACCTGATCTGCAGTTCTGGCTCAGCTTGTATCTCTCCGACATAAACACCAACACCACAGACGCGTTCTGAACGGCCTCCGCCATCGCCTGCAGTGTGGAGCCCTCCATGTTGTCGATGTCCATCCAGACTTTGTAACCTCTCTTGCGTAGTGAGTCAGCTACCTATTAATTGTGGATATATGATTTAGCTTAACATTGAAATGCGCGTCTTATATTCCACAACATAAATACATAATATGTACACTTCTTGCAGAACTATGTTTTTTCTATACCTTCAGTGCCACTTGCTGGTCAGCCCAGTGGTAACTTAACATCACAGATCCTTTCCGACCGCCCCCAGATCTGATCTCTGCACGACTTGAATCTGGAGAATAGATAATAAAGCTCAGCTACATAACACGTATTTTCGTTCAGGTATATTAATTTGTTATTTAACGCAACACTCAGTAATATTCCAGCTATATGACGGGTACAAAGACATGTCAAGAAACAGGTCACCGAGCCTGTCCATCCGATCTTTTAAGACACTTCGTAGGACACTCATGTGTTGCTAAGAATCTATTCTAACACGGAATATCTACGGGGATTTTAAGTAGAAACAAAGACAATTTTTACGAAATGGTATAGTTTGATATTTCGGCATATTCACCATTATCGAGCCCCTCCTCAGCCCCGATTTGCCACATAGCTCCATCCGCTGCCTTCGAAATGCTTTCTCGAGAGGATGATTGCAGTTCACCAAGCAACTGCCGCAACCGATTGTCGCCCTGTAGGAATATCATACCAAAGGTAAAAGAGAGAGTGAGTCATGTTTTACGCTGCTTTAAGAAATATCCCAGCACTATCAGAACAGAGACATCGGAAATGTCCTTCACACATAGTATCCATTGTTTCGGTCGCGAACACCTTAACCACCAGGCGACCGCAATGGTAAATGAAGTGTTTGATACAGGAAAGAACAAACAGAAGACCCCATTTCGCTAGCACATTATTTTATAACTTGGATAAGGGATCACATTATCTGTGATCGCAACATTGATTGAAAACAAACATGATACAAACAACACTGGTTGCCAAATTCTTTAGTAGAAGAAAACAACTTACTTTAAATTCCTCCTTAATAGATTTATCAAAAGACAGTTCCCAAATACATTTCACAGCGTGTTCCTTCTCCTCTTCATATCCATCTTTAATAATATCCATAAGAATTGTCGCAGCCCCCTTATTCATAAGCACTGTCTTGTTTTGGTCATTTTTGGCTAATCAAGTCATTCCACCAACAGAACCTTCAACGCTTAGTCCCAGGTATCGGTGCTCCTCGTCCTTCCATGCTTCTTTGACCATATCAAACAGGACGTCAAAGACGGTGCTGTCAGCCAAAAGGAGTTCATTTTCCGTGTCGTCCACGAGGTTGGCGAGAGTAAACAACGTCTGCAGCTTACCCACTGTAACACATCGTGTACATGTACTTTCGGAATGTTTGTTATGATGTGGTTCTTACATGTAGGCATATGAAACTACATTTAAAACGTCAAAGCCAGAGAATAGAACAGAGAATAGAAAGAGAAAACCAGATCCTATCATCAACACCAGAGAATGTAGCTCGTGCATTGTCTCAAGATCCTACCTTCTGACGTACACTTGAGATATGGCAGCAGGACTGGAACTGTCTTGAGCTCCCGGAGAGGTTGTCTGGTCGTAGGATTTCTGGAGCAGTTGTGAAGGATGGAGATTGACCCATCAAACGTCTCGTCAAGCTCCTATAAGGACATTAGAATACACACTCTTAATTATGTTTTAATGGTGTTATTATATACAAAAAAAGTTCTTCAGTCTAAATGTGTTTACTCTCGAATGATACAGACGTTATCTTTTACATCGGCATGATTTATTCAGTATATATGTGTTGACAGTGAAATATGCAAACAGGACATCGATCTGATAAAACATGTTTGTTTTAAAAGAGCAACAAAATACATTCGTATTTTGACCAGGAATGTGTAATCGCTTCACTTAATAATGTAGTAAACACGTTCACTATTTTTTTTTAATTATTTCTTTCAGCTTCTTTCTATAATGTTGCTGATAAAGTACTTACGCCATCTTCTTTAACAGCAAGCCCCACCTTCATCTGTGTCAGATCATGGACAAAATGTTTCAACATCCCGGAGTTACAAACTTTCTCTGCAAAAGCTAGACTTGCTTCAGTATTATTCCACAAAATATCGCGGAGCTTGTACATCCTTCTAAAAACCAGATCGCTGTCACTTAAGTAACTGCTTGCAGCTAGGCATTTCAACCCGAGGGAATTAAGGATAGTTTCATAAGCGCGTTTGATAAGTTCAGCAGCATCTGTCAGAGCAAACCAATCCCCAAGTTCCCGTCGGTCAACATCATTGTGCTCCTCAAACTGAAAATATATCAAGCTGTTCGGCGCTGAATAGTTTCCTTTGTCCAGACACGGATTATTTTTCAGTTCTTTTAGGAATAGATATATTCCATAAATCTCTTCTTGTAGTGGAGACATTGGTGGATTTGAAGCCCCATCTTGTCGCGCAGGCTTTGAAGTGCTGGAAGACTCAACTTTTCGTGGAGGGACTGCAGTACTTGAAGATCCAGCTTGTGTTCTTGCAACAGGGAGACAGCTCTGGACGCTGCTGCGATACATGTTGTCTGAAGAAAATAGTGAGTACATGATAAACTGCTCCTCATCTATTGCATACAATGCAATGTCTAAATTGTTTTACTCTGCGCGCACTATGACGATCCTATGGCAAGGAATTCAAGAGGGGACATTAATAGACTAAGTTCTTTTGTGGTATTATTGTGTTGTCACCCTCACAAACCAACACAACACGTCGGAAAATCAACCAAACAACTTCGAAACAATGCGACGCCGTTGTCGCGTTTTGAATAATATTTTAGTTTTGTTTTCTGTCAACTGTCAACAAATGTCACGTTGTCGAATTGTAGCCCCATCTAACAAAGGCGTTGCAACAGACCACAACGAGACAATGTCCATTTTAGGGTTCCTTACAAGGGAGCTTGGTGATGGATATACACCTCTAAAGAGCAGATTGTTTTTGTTTGTTGTAACAGCAATTACTGCACAAATGTCTTCCTGTGCCGTACTAAAATTACTGACTAATACAACATCATTAAATCTACTTTAATTTCCATATTCAAACCGGATTGACTCACTTACGAAATTGTGTGGGGATAATGCTTGGCATTAAAGGCCTGTGAAGATTCAGGTAGAGAATAGGTTTTCAGCAACCCATGCTTGTCATAAAAGATGAATATGCTTGTCGTAAGAGGGGACTAAAGGGATCGGGTGGTCAGGCTCGCTGACTTGGATGACGCATGTCATCGTATCTCAATTGCGTAGATCGATGTCCATGATGTCAATCACTGGATTGTCTGGTGCAGACTCGTCATATAACTTGAATATTGCTGAGTGCGGCGGAAAACAACAACCAAATAACCTTGCATTAGAGCAGACTAAACGGGGATCGGGTGGTCATGCTCTGTAAAGTGACGTTACATTGGACGTCGAACAAGACACTGGTTGCCAAAAAACAAAACATTTACAAAATCTTAACATACTAATCGTATTCATGACATACGACCCATGCAGGACATCGTGGGCACAGCAGGTCGAAATAATCAAACGCATATCGGAAACCTTTCCTTTTAATAAATTTGTGATTTAAGAACATGGTTACAATCACCTTAACACATTGGGTCGGGCGTTGGTCACAGATAACAAACAATAATGTATAAAATACTTTACCAAAAGATCAACATTTTTTTCCAAACAATTATTAAATGAGACTGCTACATGTATATAAAATGAATTCTTTATATCGTTAGTGTAGAAAGACTTGTTTGTTTGTCCATTGATATATTGTAGAACAGGTCCATAGGGTACGATCACACGCAATTGGCCGAACATGGCCACCAAATTCATTAACTCGCTTCTCGCGATCAGCAGAACCCGGAATCCCCACGTGACATAGACGTACATAATGGTAGTCAGTAAGGGGGGCATTGGTAGCCCAGTCGCTATGCAGAGTTGCGTCCCTTGGGCACGCCTGAAACCTATGATTACGGGTTCGAATCCCGGTTCGCCCCGATTATGTTTCTAGATTTGTCACCATACCCGTGCTCGTGGGTTCACCAAAGTGGTTCACGTCTAAAACCTGCATCATTTCGGGCTTTCCTCCCACATTAAGCTGACACGCCGTGATATAAATGGAATACTGTTAAAAGCGGCGTTGAACCCAACCCACTCACTCACCCACTCACTCACTCATCACCAGTACTTCATGCTCACACTCTCGACACCCGGTTTTGTTTTATGTCATGAACCGGTGAAGATCCAGGTTAGAATTCACCCTCAAAAACCCATGCCGAACGTAAGAGGCGACATACGGGATCGAGTGGTCTGGCTCGCATGAATTCGTTGATGCATGTCATCGTATCCACATTCGCGTAGATCGATGCTCATGAAGTCAATCACTGGATTTTCTTGTCTAGACTAGAGAATTTACAGATCGCCGATATATAGCTGGATTATTGCTGAGTGCGTCATAAAACAACAATTTAATAAACAAATTATATGTAATGACGCCCAAAGAACACACGTGCGAGCAGCAGAAATCATAACGTCAGCACGTCATGTTACGTGCGCTTCACTTAATATCCACGGTGCCTTACGACGTTCTCATTCACTTGGTATTGTTATTGTCCTACCGTTCGTTCAAGATGACTGACGATCGATGGGTGGAGTGCTCCATCCCCGGGCTATAACCTGGACACATTTTCTTGGCTTTGACTAACGTTAGGAATTCGAAGAAACAAGGTCAGAACAAAATCTAAATTCCACGACAAGAGACAGGCATGGTTTTACAATGATACGTATCTTGTTATTGGAGGGATATGTGTTCCTTTATCTTGTGCAAATGAAACAGACAAGAAGTTGTTACAATTATCGACTTTTCGTGCCGATCGTTCTTAAACCGTGCCTTCAAAACAAGCTGATGTAGTTGGACTGTATCTGGTGTACATTATCATTTCTGCGTAATGTTGTCAATACACATGTTGTATTGTGATTAATGAATCGGTATCGACCAGTATGTTATACATTGATTTGTCCACACACGAACCTCACTAATTAAACAACGCAGTATATCATATGATCACTTGTGTCGTGACGCACTCGCTAAAATCACCAGAGGTGACAAGGCCAAACCGATACAGCCAGACGCCATGTTTGTTTACGTTTGCATGCAAATTAGCCATGACGTCACATGACAACGTGATTAATGATAAAATAATATAAGAAGAAACAAAAAGGACATTTGTATCGCGCCATATCCATCCCCCGAGTGCATGCCCATATTATAAAATGGATATTAATAATGACTTGTCGTCAGGCAAAATAAGGGCTTGATCACATAATTACAGTGCTTGCATTATATTTCAAAACGTTGTACGATCTAGGAGACCATGTGGACCAAAGTATAGCCCAAGTTGACCTTGGTTGACCAATGTTAACACATGTAAACTGATTTTATTACTTCACACCTCGCTTCACCTACGTTGCCCATACCGACACTTGTCTGTTTGTTTGTTGTTTAACGCTGCACTCAGCAGTATTCCAGCTATATGACGGCGCCCCGAACATAATCGAGCCTGGACCAAACAATCCAGTGATTGACGTCACGAGCATCTGCCAGAAGTGTGGCAACCTCAGTTGAACTCATTTTTTTAATAATCGAAAACAGGTTGTGATATTAACATCTTTTTTTGTGTTCACATATTCAGAGATTATTACATGGCAGTGTTCTTATCATACCCCGTATCACCCCGAGACACCATAGTAGCCTGAGGGGCCAGAGGGCTGACACAGGGGGCCGAGGGTTGATTATAGTGTTTGATTTGAAAAATTACATACAAATATCATTTTTAATGTGTACCATAGATACAAATGGACATAATGGACACCCCAAACCCCCAACCTACCCCCCCCCCCCCCCCCCCCCCCTGAAACCGCCCCTGATTGATTGCACTCCCAATGTGCTTCATGTCATTGATAGGTAGATTTAACGCCGAAGGCCAGATATAGGGGTCGAGGATTGATATCAGGAATGATATGAAAACTGTCAGACACAAACTTTTTTTTAATCATGAACCAGAACATCAAATTGTAAAATGTAACTATTTGCATGTGAATACAATCCGAGTTCACCTTGTTTGGAAGACATTGTCACGGGTGAGCTAACCGAGAACACGAAAGACGACGCACCGGGGAACTAACTCCAATACCTTCCCACCTGGGCTGACATCGATCGCCCATTCATAATGCATTGACTTGCCATATCAGTCCTGTGGGGGTGTAATACGGGTCTGGCTATTACAACCCTGTCATATGGCCGTCTCTAAGTTGACTGTATCGCACATGCAAAATGCCGCATATAGTTGATAACTATATGATATGTATCGATGTTCCACCTGGTGTCTTGGACATACCTGTCTGTGCGTAGATCGACCGGCCCGCCTCCCGCTCGCTGTGTTCAAGTTGAAAAGACACGTCGCTATGACAACAAATCAACAGAAGCCGTGTGTGAGTGTGTGAATACCTGCACACTGGCAGTTGTTGTTTGGGTAGCAGCTCAACATGTGCTTATTATGGTAGTGTGTTAGTATATGTGCTATGTTCTGTGCTGTGTTCTGTGCTGTATATCATTTATACACAACACAAAACCTTGAGACGTCACTATGCCCTTACATATGGTTCTTGGTAGATGTGCAGTCAGCCATGGCAGAATTGTAACCAATGGGAGATTAACTAACTATGTACTGTTGCAATACTCAAGGCCAAACTGTAATGGTAACCACTGTAATCTACCATATATTCATGAAACACATTCTAATACATACATACATAAATACATACATACATACATACATACATACACTCTGAGTAGAATTTTTCAATTATTTTCTTTTATAAATATATTCATACATAATTTGCATAATCTTGTGAAATATGATACATACCACACACACTCTCTCTCTCTTTCTCTTTCTCTCTCTCTCTCTCTCTCTCTCGCACAAACACACTCTCTCTCTCACTCACACACAAACACACTCTCTCTCTCACGCACACACACACTCTCTCTCTCACACACAAACACATTCTCTCTCTCACACACACACACTCTCTCTCTCTCGCACACACACACTCTCTCTCTCTCTCGCACACACACACTCTCTCTCTCTCTCTCTCTCACACACACACATACACACACACACTCTCTCTCACACACACATACACACACACTCTCTCTCTCTCTCACACACACACTCTCTCACACACACACACCCTCTCTCTCTCTCTCTCTCTCACACACACACACACACTCTCTCTCTCTCTCACACACACACACATACACACACACACTCTCTCTCTCTCTCTCTCTCTCACACACACACACACACACACTCTCTCACACACACACACCCTCTCTCTCTCTCTCTCACACACACACACACACACACACACACTTTCTTCTCATTAGTGCCAGCCTGCCACCAGCCTGGATCTGGAGCAGACATCCTCCTTAATAATGTCCACGAACTTGTAAATGTTTGGATGGTTGGGACCTATATTTCTCTGTCTGGAGTGCCAACCCTCTAAGTGGTTGGTGGTGCTGGAGCCGTTGGTGTCCAAATGGTTCTATACATTACGCACATCAGCTTCAACCCACTGTTCAGTCACATGATTTTAACATATTTATTTTCACAAAAACGTGAAAATGGATTGGTAAACAAGCGAAGCGCTTATGTAATACCGCTCCATAACACATACGACATGATACAATTAACACGTCAGTGAAGGTTTAAATCTGCCAGTTTTTAATATGACGTTGTTGAATAGAATCTGATGTTTGGATGTGATCTTCCTTACCCAAATATGAATTTCCGTATAAAACTGTTTGTAAAGAGTAACATGTTGGTAAAAATACGTTTCATTTCGATGAACATAGTATTTTGTACACACAAAAAGGAAGTGTTAAGTATCTTCGGTATAATATCTACAGGAACAAGTTTTAGTATCCAAAATATGTCTATTATGCTGATCTGCGTAAAGATCGCTGCAGTCAAGCCTGAGATGACTGTGAATAGTCTGACATTACCTGTTTCCATAATTGTAATCCCAGTGAACAATATTATCTCCCCTTCCATGTAGCAAGTTCTTAAATTGTGTAACGGTCTCTGCCACCGTTAGGTTTTCTGGTGACGAATTCTAAAGTTGTGTTGTAGCTTATTTAAATGATTCTGCGTAAGCTTTTGTTTTACACTTCACTGTTTGAAGATTAATTTAGTTAAGTTATAATTTGTGTTTTCCGAAACTTTGTTAGGAATCAGCCTACAAAGATATTTAGGTGAGAGATAATTATTCATTTTGTAAAACATTACCAATTTTGAATTGTATCGTCTGTCTTTACCGTTTGTTTCATTCGTGGGTTTTTTCTAATAAATTAGCATGTTCATTAGTACAGTTATCCTTAATATGACAACAGTATGTCCGCCATGTGCATTGATGACTGCCGTGCAACGTCGATACATGGGATGGATGAGGCGGTTGATGAAGGCCATAGGCACTTGAGCCCACACTCTCAACGCCTGACGCAGTTCAGCTGCAGTTGTCGGCCTGGGTCAGCTTTGATTCCCCGGATGGGTACAATGTGTGAAGCACATTTCTGGTATATCCCGCTGTCATCATTGCTAAAAGCGGCGTAAAACCATACTCACTTGAGAAGAATTGGCAAAGTAATTAGAATTAAGTTGTCATTGATACCAGACGTCAGTATCAAGGATGCAGATGGATGACCTCAAACAGCATCAATCGTGCCTTGTTTCAGCTCATGTGGTTGAGAAGGAAGGTTCTAAATAAACCAATGTAATATATTTGCAATCTTGGACAAATTCGAAAGGATGTAACTCGGTCAAGTAATGTTCATATAGATAACAACAAAGGGTATATGTTTAACCGTTACACCAGCAACACACTAAACGGCAGTGTAAGCCTTTGAAGATGACGGTTTTGAAAATAGCAAAGTCTAACTCAATCCATCAATCGATTCTGGATAAGGAATCTAAATATGTAATACGTGTTTGTCAGATTACAACATTAATCAGTATACCTTGTTGGTAGGTAGAATGCTGTGCTGTTTTGGAGGATATATTTCTTCTTTTTCTATTATTACATAAACCTGTTACAAATGTAACATTTCTAATGGATCAAATGAACATCTTTGTTTACAAAATGTTATGAGGAAGTACCGTTACTTAATTACTTCAGATCAAACAAATTACACACGCACACAACAAAACTGTCCATACATCTGTCACATGAAACGTTCAACAACATAATAATTGACAATCTTAAACAGCCTCTACACATTTCTTTAAGTAATGGCACCGTGTCCTCAAATGATTGTCTTTTGTGAAATTCCTAAATATATTTTGTCAACAGAATAACACAACACAGTGGCTAGAAAAAGGTGATTTAATTACACAACAGTACATAATTACATGAAATGCCATGACACAATAATAATTGACTTTTCGGCGTGTTTCTTCTCGTTGCCTCGTACGTCGCTATATGGCTGCCACAATGCTGATGCGACGTTCAATTTTAACTCACTATTGCCTCATTTTAGGAAAATAAATTACATGTGCAATGTCATAAGTAGCATGCATTTTATCGTAGCTCTCACATACGTACATGATTATAAATACAAAATGTATATAAATGGTGGACTTTTCACATGTCTTCTATTCGTCAAATATTTACATAATATCATAAGAGTAGTACTAAACAACTGTAAAATCTATTACAGATAAGCATATATGTAGAATGCTTATCTTTTCTTTACATCACATATAATTTGTTGCTGTTGTTGTTTAACGCCGCACTCAGCAATATTCCATCTGTGTGTCGGCGGTCTGTTAACAATCGAGTCTGGACCAGACAATCCAGTTACTGACACCATACGCATCGCTCCACGCAATTGGGATACGATGACATGCATCAACCAAGTCAGCGAGCCTGACACCCTATACCGTTAGTCGCCTCTTACGACGGGCATAATCGACTTATACGACAAGACACAGTATATCACAGATAATTACATTTAGTACTAACTACTAAATGACTTTATCGCGCGTATCCAAACCATGGGCTAATTACGTCTGTAACCCAATCACCCCCCGTAACTCAATCCCCCCGGGCCACCACTCGGCACCGTGCCCGGGGAATAATCCCGCGCAAGCATCATCCCGCCTTTGTTAGTCGGTCATTCGCGAACAGCCCTTCCCCAAGTACACACGTGTGTCACTGTATCTAATCGCTTTTGCTTTGAATACCACCTATTTCAGTGGAATACCTCGACTCACCACCTCGACCTTCGTGATGCCTCCCAAGAGAAGAGCACCCGTCAACCACAAGCTTGTGAGGGGAGCCAAGCAGGCCAGGACAACCAGAAGACAAACCCCGGGAGTGCACATTATGCAGGAGGCAACAGCTGATGGTGAGTCTGCCAATTACGGAAATATCGAAGGGGGCAACAGAATTAACGTACAATCGGCGCAGTTTGTAAATGCCGCGCAGGCTGCCAACTCGGCTACCCAGGTAAACGAGCAACTGGAAAAAATACTCCAGTTGCAGGAACATTCAGCGCCCGGCCCGGTTAGCGCAAACCAACAGGTAAGGCTTGGTTTTAGTTCTCCCGCCATTTCGCCCAACATAGGGAGAATCCCCGATGCTTACAACGAGGTATTCATTTTCATCGTAGTGTCATAGCGACCGAATTGGGACAAAGACTAATTACCCTGCAGCCATGATGTGTATATGTCTAGAATCTAGAAATGGATTAGTAAACAATCGAAGCGCTTATGTTAATACCACTTCATTACCCATAAGACACGATGCAATAAATACATCAGCGAACGTTAGATTAACAAATGAATTGCACATGCCAAGCTAGATCTGTGTATATGAGAAATATATTTGCAGTTTATGTTAAACAATTCATTTAATTGAACATCTGCCAGTTTTTAATACGAAGTTTTGAATAGAAGCTAATGTTTGGATTTGCTCTTCTTTACTCAAATGCGAATTTCTGCATAGCACTGTGTGTAAAAAATAACCTTGTTGGTAAAAATACATTTCATTTCGAAGAACTTAGTAGTTTGTACACACAAAAGCGTAAAGCATGCTCGGTATGATATCCACAGGAACAGGTTTTAGTATGCAATATGTCTATCATACTGATCTGCATTAAGATCGCTGCAGCCAAGCCTGATGCGAATCTGAATAAATTGACATGCTAATTGCCATTGTTAATCCAGAAGTATTGTACATGGACTGTCTGCCATCCTGAACGAGCCGTGCAACTTTGACATTGTTTATTAGCCAATCACATCGCAGGATACGGGGATTCCCTTTCCTTCCATGCAGACGGAAAAGACGCGCACGTCAAACAAACGGTGAGGGAAAAAATCTGGCGTGGTGAGTATGTCGACCTCGGCACAATCCTACCAGACACCGAGGGAAGTCACGAGGACGGTACGATTACCATGGCGTACGAATCCCACAGGTTAGGTAATTTTTAAACCAATAAAGCAGCAACCAAAGCGCCTGTCCCTGGCAAGCTGGACTTCAGCTTTCCACATTTTCATGTGTATATATGTTAGTAGGCACTCCGAGGTCCGCACAACCCAGGGGTTGCTGTCCTACATGGAAACCATAAGAACGGCGGCACTTCGATTCGGGGGGGTGCCTGGTCAACCTACGACCAACAATTCCGACACAGAATGACAAGGGAACCCTCACGACGCTGGGACAACATCGACGGGGAGTTGTGGCTGAAGTCCATGGTAACACAGCCGGTACTACAACCAGAATCAGGCGGACGGGGCGCAATGACACGCGTACAGGGGGACATCGCCAGTCAGGTATGCTGGGATTTCAATAAATTTGGCTGTAGCAGGGTCAACTGTAAGTACACTCACAAATGCGGTAAGTGTGGCAAACATTCCCATAGCTCTAGGACCTGCTTTCGAGGGAATGGGGTCCAACCGACCCCATACAAGCCCAATCAGCCTTTTGCCTAACAGAAAACCAGCCGTCAAGGCAGGTAAATTCAATGGCCCCTTCCCCCGTGGATCTCAATGAAATGGCACCCTGGTTACGCCAATATGCTAGGGTCAATTACAGAGATGCAAACTATTTATGGGTAGGTTTTAGCTCTGGCTTTAAGCTCGAGTTCCAGGGAAGCCGCACGGGTCGCCTGGCACGAAACTTGCGATCAGCCACGCACCAAGACACGGCAGGCTACGTGAAACAACACTACAAAACGAAGTCGACCTTGGCGACATTCAGTCGGCCTTTAGAATTATACCAGTCCACCCATCCGATTTCGAGCTGCTAGGCATCAGATTCGAAGGTGAGTTCTAGTTCGATAAATGCCTACCATTTGGCTGCTCCATATCTTGCGCCATATTTGAAACGTTTAGTACCTTCTTGCAATGGTGCATGCAATCGCATCTCCCAACGTGTCCGATCATGCATTACCTGGATGACTTCCTAACGGGGGGCACAGCAGGCACCAGCCACTGCTCAGACAACCTCAACGGATGCCTGAATACACTAGAACAGCTTGGGGTTCCTACTGCGCACGACAAGACGGTGGGCCCCACAACCAAACTGACATTCCTAGGGCTGGAAATCGACACCATTGCAATGCAGATCAGAATCCCAGAGTCCAAGATCAAGGAGGCAACAAGGGAAATCCAAGACATCCTGTCAACAGGTAACATCAAGGTCACAAAAAGGGCCCTTCAGTCCCTCATAGGCAAGCTTAACTTTATGTGCAGGGCTATACCAATGGCAAGGGCATTCAGCCGCAGGCTAACCGATCTGCTTAGCAGAGGTAAGCAACCATTTCACCACATTAGGATTACCAGCTGGGTCAAGGAAGACCTACAAATGTGGTTAACATTTCGTACGAGTTATAAAGGCATTTCAGTGTTTCAGGACCAACTATGGGTGGACAGCGATTTCCTCCAGCTGTTTTCAGACGCAGCGGGTGGCGCCAGCTTCGGGGCCTACATGCAGGGCAAATGGTTTAACGGCGCATGGCCACCCCAGTAGGTGACGGATGGAACTACACGGGACTTGACGCTACCTTGACATGGTGGCATCAATCCTTCGGAAATACAACCCCAGCTTCCTGACACCAAGATCATCGTATCCTCAATGCTGCACAGGCGCTACTGGCACGATGCCAGGGACCCACTAAAGATCGAGGGGATGCGGAAGAATATCAACCGTCGACTGGCCAACCGAGTCAAAGAGCTCGGCGGTACAATGGTGCCACATCCCCAGATCCTGGCATCAGACAAGACATGGTACGCCTGGGAGGGCGTCCACCTCAGTGACAAAGGACTGTGTGTGTTTACGGACAATTTATTGCATGCCCTGGCGCTTCTTATCTCCACAGGTTTGTGTTTCCTTTCAGTACATAGGCAAGCCGGGCAACAATGCTATCTCCGCGTATCGCGTGGCCGTGGGTGTGGGGTAGCACTCTGGTGCTTTGTGGCGGGGTTCTTGTGGGCTACACTGCTAGTAACAAATTAACTTGCTTCCAAATTAATACTCGTGCTTAAGGCTACCTGCTTTTCAGCGGGAACCTTTCCGGGGTTACCTGCTTCTCAGTGGGAACCTTGTCTTTCCCGACTTTTCAGCCGGGGAATCGTAAAATAACATACGTTGGGGCAAACAATTGCCACGTATATGGGCCCGGCGGCGGAAGTCGTCTTGTCAAGCGGTAGCTGACAGTTGGGTCCGCGGCGTGGGAGCCGCACAATGGTTTTGCTAATGGGGCCGGGCAGTGGGATCTGCTTTGGCCGGCTACCTGGGGCCGGGCAGCGGTAGTCTGACTTAGGCCAGCAGCGTGGAGCTGCTTTTGGCAGCGTGGGAGTTGCCAAGCAATGGTAGCGGTTAAATATGCTACCGTGGGGGCCGGACAGCGGAAGCAGTCTCAGGCCAGCAGCGCTAGCTGCAATCGCCGTTGGCCACGCGCGTGGCCATGGCAACGGTAGCATTTTGGTATACACAATTAGCAGCTAAGTAGCCCACTAGTACCTGCACACCCTCGGCCATTTAACCCAATCTCATCTTCTGTTTTTATTTTAGGCACGGGCATCCACGGCTCGGTGGCCCGTGCCTCTCCTTGGCATATCGCGGGATAACTATTATTTACAGTGCATATATTGTACAGTTATCACACATACACAGTAAGAGCATCTCTACTCAATCTGTATTTTTTCACTCACAAAACCGAAGAAAAGTGCACATGCATGTGCATGTATATTATCTGTATCTCATATTGCCAAATAGAGTGAATATATGTTACGTTCTTAGGAACGCCCAAACCCTATGATCGTGGGTTCGAATCCCGGTTCGCCACGATTTTGTTTCTAGGTTTGTCAGCACCATACCCGTGCTCGTGGGTTTCACCAAAGTGGTAAACGTCTAAGACCTGCATCTCTTCGGGCTTTCCTCCCCCATGAAGCTGACGTGCCGTGATATAACTGGAATTACTTGTCAAAGTGGCGTTGAGCCCAATAACTCACTCAATCAAGTCGAAATTCTTTCTTTGATACATCATGACGTTCCTGCACCTAGCCTTGTAATTAAGTTCACAAAGCGAACACATACGCCTAACATCAAATATAGAGCGAACCGTAATTTGTACAAGTGAACATGTTGTATTTCAGCAACTTCACTTTTGGAAAAATATATTTCAGTGCAAATGTCATGAATGGCTTGCATATTGTCGTATCTATCACATATTTACATGAGTATAGAATATACATAAATAGTGTACGTATGTAATTTTTCTTGAAAAAATAACATCAAGAGTAGTACTAATCTATTGTATCTATCACAGAAGCATGTATGGACACAATTATAATTCAAACCTAAATATATCAAGTCTTATTTAGAGTCGTGTGTGTGTGGATCTCAAAAGATATCCTCACTTATTTAGTTATAAAACGCTACAATGAAGTCCATAAACTAACAATCAACTGTATCAGTGTGTAATGTGTTTGCGCTGGGGAGGTCGGGTAACGCGGGTACACATACATGTATTATGCTACAAACAAAAAGAATGGAATTATGTCCTATCTGATACTGTGACCCAATAAATGGACCATAGCTACATCTTATAGAGTTGGACTTCAATAGAATGGTGCGCTACACAACAGACACATTGTTAATTACATGTGTGAGGATTCCCTTATGCAAGTCGTCCTCTGTCAAGAATTCATCCAACGATGCCCCGAAGGTTATCGGTGTTTGTCATGGGATATACAGGAGGAGAACTTCATAGAGTTTTGACCATGTTTTACAGTTTGTCAACAGCTCGGCTGAACTTCTTGAGGTCATCAAAACAGGAAAGTTGAAGGTCAGTCCGCAGATAGTTGAAATAAAACTCAGGGGCCTGAAGGTATAAAAGTTGTAGCGTATTTTACAAACACAATCCAATATTGTACTGAATTCTCCGAAACAAATCACAGCGTTAGAAACTTTATGATGTTGGCATCTCATTAACACGTATCAAAGAATGCACATGATATTTATTATCTTGTATGTTGGTCGGTGGAAACTAAAGATATGATTGTGGTTGGAACAAAACGTCAGAGCTAAGGCTAATTCCAATTGAGTTCGAATTAAGACGTCCGACTGTATTCAGTAAAGAATGAAACATGCCATATAGCTCACCCTGTGAGATATGTCCCGAAGAAACATCAGGTCATCCCCGGTCATTTTGCGTAACAGCGAGTCACTGTAACAAAGGGATCAGCAGTGCTGTTAGCTATTACAATCTAGCTATAGTTAGCATACATTTACCAATCCAAATTATAGATATAGGAAATCCGAATGCGTAAGGATGCCATAAACAGGGCTCATACTGTTGTCACACCAGACAGACATCGTTGTTTCGAAGTTGAAGTGACTTACGTAAATACTTCGAGTTATCCGAGGTTCGACATAACCGAAAATGATATATATAGGAATAAACCGGGACCATGCTTTAACTTCGAGACAACAGTAAGTTCGACACAACTGTGTACCAAGTGTGCACGTACTTTTTTAATCCTGTCTTCGTGAGCCAGTTCTGGACATCTTTCACTGACCAGTCGGCAAGTGACTGACCTCTTGCAGCGGCTAGAGGAGCTGTTTTTACAACAGGAACTATCTTTGTCTCACCCTGAGGATACAAAGAACAATACCGCTAACCAGATGTGATGGGGTCATGCGGCATTCTAAAGTCGATAGATATTTGTAATTAATACCAAGTTTTACAATTAATACAAGGTATTTGCATGCGAATCAGACACCGAAGATCGTCGTATTTACCGTTTACTCTTCATCTTCATCGAAATAAGAGTATTAATTCAATAAGCTGCAAGCTACTTGTAATAGTAATAGTAATAGTGTATCACCTTGTTGAAAGATGGTCCTCACTTACATTTTCCTGCTCAAACCAGTTTGAGTTTCTCTTGAATGCTTACCAAACAATTCATTATCATTATATTAACACAAAAGCTACCATTACGTAATAACCTACATCAATTTCATCGATGAGTTGCTGCATCTTCCCGTGTTCGCCAAGCTCCTTCGCTAGATCAGTCAATTTCTGATCATATGGGTATTTTCCACTAAAGTCGAAGAAAAGTTTTGTCCCTTTAATCATACCCAACCACCCGTCTGGTTTATACGCCCTCTGCGTCAGTAGCGGGACAATCTTCTTCTCTAAGGAAAATGCATACTCAGCTTCTGGAATGCACCATAATAAATAGGTCAGTCTAGTCACGGGCGTGTACAGCTAAAGGTACAACGTTCACGTTTAGCAAGAACAAGAAACATCAGTTTATTAAATGGATTCGTGAAGTGTCATTTTCTGATACAGGCCTCACCTGATCTGCAATTCTGGCTCAGCTTGTATCTCTCCGACATACACACCAACACCACAGACGCGTTCTGCACGGCCTCCGCCATCGCCTGCAGTGTGGAGCCTTCCATGTGATCAACGTCCATCCAGATCTTGTACCCTTTCTGGCGCAGCGAATCCTTGATCTATTGTCGACACATGCTCAGAAAGTAAATAACATTACAATTAAAGTAATCTATTTGATCAATTCAGAAAACAAATGTTAACATACCTTCAGGACGAGCTTCTGGTCCGACCACTGATAACTGATCATCACATGACCCCTATCTGATCCGTTCCTTCCGTCGACACCCTCTGTTGAAGCTGGAAACATTATTTTTATTTTTTATTTATTTTTATTTTTTTATTTACTTACATGTATGTTCTAGTCAATGTACATAATACATGTTAATACATATATGTGATATTGTTTTCATCACAGAAGTCAGCAGGGTTTTGTTCCAAATGATACTAATGGAAAAGGGCATCTTTGTGTATGAAAAGTGAGATGATATTAAAAATGACAATAAGATATATGTAAATATATTACTAACAAAAATTAGGAATAAGAAAACGATTGTAATAATTGGTAAAACAAAACGGACAAAGAGAAACAAACACCACTAGAAAAAGAAGGTAACAAAACGATTGGTTCAAAAGTTACTGGTAAGAAACGGAGAAAACATATTATCTGAGATCCGTGATATTACCCATGGTGATATGAAGGTCTATGTACATCTTACTCAGGCTAATTATGTGTCTGTTACTGAGGCTTGATGCTAAAACTGATACACATGTCACCATGGTTAAAGTATCTGCTACAAATGCTTACATGTATCTGTCACTAATGTCATTGTACATTACAATACGGCTTTTGTTCCCAAACACAAATTTCAGCATTATGTATTACTAATAGTTAAGGTTAGTGTACATGTTTCATCTACGGCTACCATACCTGTTGCTGAGGCCAATGTTACTCCTGAAGGCTCTGATCGTGAACCTTTTAATTATTTTGACTGGTGTTCCTGTTAGTTTGGCTAACGTACCTGTCACTAAGGCCAATCGTAAGGCTACGGTTCATCTGTACGTACTTGTATTATTGTTTTCTTCCATAGTAAGCACCCACAATGCTCCGTCTGCTGCTTTCGAAATGCCTTTACAAGAGGATGACCTGAGTTCCTGAAGCAGCTGCTGCAGCTCCTTATTTCCCTGCAAGATTAGTCCAGGGCTACGTACAAGATCCTACATGTATAGCCCTGCTATGATGTGGCCCCATTATACACATTGACACATCATTGGTTTCTCGCCTGACATGATTCTATTTGTAGTGACTATTGGTTGGTTGTTGTTTAATGCTGCACTCAGCAATATTTCAGCTATATGACGTAGATAAATAATCGAGTCGGGACCAGACAATCCAATGATTGACATCATGAGCATCGATCCACGCAATTGGGATACGATGACATGCATAAACCAAGTCAGTGAACCTGACCACCCGATCCCGTTAGTGGCCTTTCACGACAAGCATAGTCGCCTCTTACGGCAAGCATGGGTTGCTGAAGACCTATTCTACCCCGAATCCTTACGGGTCTTAGCCTGTTCCTTCGTTCATCATACACTACTAGAGGACCGACATTTGATCTTATTCTGGGGGGCCTGGGATTTTGCATGGAGGTTAGATATTTGTCACCTACAGCTGGTATGTTTTTTTTATTAAAACCATGAATATTGTTTCAGGAGTACACATTGCAATTTTTGTGTCATACAATTTCTTTTTTTCTTCAAAAGTCTGAAACATACATTTTTTCAAGAATTTTCAGGGACACTTTATTTTTTAGCCTCCCTTCCCCACTCCCTCCCCCTGAATATCAAAGGTCGGTCACTGATGAACTACATGTACTTATAAATAAGATACTCTTTTTTATAACCAGATCATAGTGTACGTTGTTTAGATATCATCGTGTGGTACACTTGAAAACAACACATATGTTTAGTTCTTAACTTTGACACATGCTAATGATACCGATGACCTTTTTTGCGCCATCAAATGAAGTTACAAAAACCAAACAAATGACTGGCAGGCTACTTACATTGAACATTTCCTTGTTAGTTTTATCAAAAGACAGTTCCCAAATACATTTCACGGCATACTCTTTCTCCTCGTCCGATCCAAATTTCATGATCTCCGTAAGAATTGGAACGGCTCCCTTTTCCCGCAGTACTTTCTTGTTGCTGTCATTTTTGGCTAAACCAGTCATGCCGTCAACTATCTCCTCCACACTAAAACCAAGATGGCGGTGTTCATCGTCCGTCCACGCTTCCTTGAGTATGTCAAACAGGTGATCAAACAAGGTGTTGTCAGCCAGAAGATGTTCATTTTCCGTTTCGTCCACGATGTTGGCGAGAGTAAACAATGTCTGCAGCTTGCCCTCTGGAACAATCCATGGTATGGTCATGACTCGTCTTTAACACTAATGTTCACATTATTAGTACTTGACTGTGTGTAAGCAAGAACTGCACATTCTCCTAACTATAATGTACTTATACCGTAGAGAAAACGTTGGACATGTTCAACAGTTAATGAGCAATTGATGCACAGATTATACAGGCACATAGGATTTATCCATAATTATCACAACCTCGCTTCTCGGGCAATGATCTAAAGGCAGTAAAACAATATCTCCAAGTATACATTCTTCTTCTCTTGTATTGGAAGTGTCTTTTGCTACTTTTAGACATCATAATCTACTCCTATAATATTGTAGGAATTACGCCGTTAGAATACGGTTTCATTTTTGTTTATTTACGTAATGTGAATCACAATAATTGTTTAGCAAAGTAGTATAAAGCACAAGGTCAATGGTTGGCCCCTAGGATTTGTAAACTTTATGAGTGAGTGAGTATAGTTTTACGCCGTCTTTAGCAATATTTCAGCAATATCTTGGCGGGGGACACCGGAAATTGGTTCCACACATTGTACCCTTGTCGGGTATCGAACCTGAGGCTTCGGCGTGACGAGCTAATGCTTTAACCACTAGGCTACCCCACCGCCCCGTAAACTTTATGAAATCAGCAAAACATTTAGAAAATGTCCTGAAGTATATCACATGTGTTGATGTGAGTGAAACGTAGACTTTATTCATTTTTAAACACGTTGATACTGTGGCTATGTATACATTAAAATCTATACGTGTGGCTACAAGAAGTAGAAACTGCTGATTTTTTCACTTTGTTTTGTTTGACCCAGGTTAGTGTTCTCAGGAGATGCATATCAAATACAAAAATATGTTTACTTTCAAATTCACTCATATTTAGATGCTCGTTTTCAGGTTTTACCCATTTTCATGCCATATGTAGAAACATTGCAGGCATCAGGAAAATGATAGGCTAGTTGTAAAACATTTAAACATGTCTCATAATTTTCATACAATCATTTCAAAGTTTTCAATAACTTTGACATTAGCCACTTTCAGTTTCGTATAACATGTCCTTTGCAGGCCTTGTTTTTAGGAACTGCCTTTAGATCGTATACAAGTTCACGTTGAACACGTCCTTTTTAATATTACTTTTAAATTCTTTGTTTGAGGTGAAGTTTACCGGTGGTTCGTTATTTCTTGCCCAAAGCATGAAATACTAGCAACATTTGCTTAGTCACATTTTTCTCTGGTTCAAATCCTAAATTTCAAATAAATTTTGCCATGGACCTCTTAAATATTGTGTACTGTTTCATTTTCAGGTTGAAGTGAAATGTACTAATTATATTACAGTGAGCACAATAAAAAGGCTGTGATTAAAAGGTTACCAGTTTTAGATTTGTAGGACGCTCCTGAGTAACTTTGCCATCTAGTATTAGTTAGATACATCCATTAATCACTATTCCAACACAGTCATCATTCTAGTTTTATATTAGACTTACAGTAAACTCTGACTTTGCGGGAAACAAATATTATGTAAGTAATATTAACTATCTCTGTCATTTTGACGTTATCGTTCATAATTCGCCTAGATTGGCATCCTATGTCTAGAGTTTGGAATTCTCCAAACAATTCTCCTGATTTGGACTGAGCTTTTTTATCAGTGTATACACAAGGTCTAATTGTGTTGTGTACTACCTTCTGATGTACACTTGAGATACGGCAGCAGGACTGAAACTGTTCCGAGTTCCCGGAGAGGTTGCCTGGTGGCAGGGTTCCTGGAGCAGTTCTGGAGTATGGAAATCGCGGCTTCAAATGTTTGATCAACCTCCTGCAACATAAAATGATATAAAGTTATAACATAAATTTGTCATATAGCTTGAATACAGTTGGAATATTTACACTATGCTTAGTATATCAAAAGCCAAAGCACTACTTCAGGCTGTTACCCAATTTGACATCGTCATTTGATCCCACGGTATACATGTACACTCATAAAGGACGGTGTATTTTAGTGTGCTAATGGTAACAGAGTACGCGGGAATGTATATTTTGGGATAAAGGAAATCTGGACAAGGACGCTGCCTGTTTTCGGCGGCGGAAATTCTGTATCGCAAAAATTACGATTACAAACAGTCATCTTGGCATAAGCTTAAGGATGCTACTAACATACTTTATTTCAAATGAGGCCCTTAATAACCTTACTGCATGGTAAGACAGTAAGCTGCAACGTTTACAGCATACCGATATTCTTTCGTAGTAAATCTTCTGTTTTATGTAGTTTTTATTACAGTAATCAAGTATTTTCAATGAGAACAAATTCGATGACCCAGTAACTAGAAATAGTTACTTGTGTGACATAGGTATTATTCTTACGTAGGCAATATTTATGTGCTCATTGTTGTTGGAAGAAAGTTTATTAATGGTCGTGAGATTTCCAGCTCAGATTACCTCCCGAGTCAGAATATATCCCACATGAGAATCGACTATTCTAGGCTCCAATGGTCACAGGCTCTGTGGTTTGGTTGATAGGGTGTCATTGTATCTGGACGACTTGGATCGTTCACATGTTTTCAATCACTGTTTTAAAACTCGATTATTTATCGGTGATGACATCGCGTGAATATGCACTGACAGAAATAGATTGTAAAGTTTACTAAGTTAGTTAGTGAATTTCACACTCCACTCGGACACTAACATTTCAGGAGACTTTACTAATCAGTAAGTATTTTCTTTTACTAGGTGGCCTATCGTCACTAACTAAAAAGGTTAAGTATTAATCAGATATACTTTCATTTCAGCTTCCTGTATGAGTGAAATACCATTAAGGCATACAGCAAAAACACATTTGGATTGAAACCACGATGAGATTCTCCATATTTGACTTATAGCCTGATGAAATGCACTTCATTGAACACGTTTCAATTCGTTTAAATGTGTTTAAATTTTAAACATGTTTTGATTATGAGGATCTTGCATTTAGGTGGTGTTTAGGCTATGATAGATCATTTCATGTTAGCCCCTTAACGTGTTTAGATGCAACACACCAAATGTGCATACCGATTAGAATTGAAACACATTCCTAAACATGTCTGGTATGTGTTTACATTCTTAACACAGTTTTACCGTGTGGTTTAGGTAGTGCAGTATATTTGTTAAAATTGGATAAGTGGTGTTTACTAGTCTTCAGCGTCTTCGTGCAATCTACCAGGCAGGAGAGTAAATTCGTTGTTAACTAACATTCCGGCTGTTGTGACGTATTAAATTCGTAGAATTCACTTGGCTTTTTATCTCAGTGTGGCTGATAGCGCCGTTGAACAACAGTCACTCTTTTTACCATCTTTTGGGACTAATCGATAATGGTGATACCTGACAAATTGTAATTCTCTGTTTTAAAAACATATAATGTCTTTTTAAAAAAGGGTCTTGATAGATAATTATTTAGTGTGTGTGAATATCTCACTGACCTCATCATCACTGGCGGCATCTTCAACTTTCATCTCTTTTAAATCTTCAACAAAATGTGTCAGCATCCCAGCTTTAGAAACCTTTTCAGCAAAACTAAGACTACCGTCCGTGTTGTTCCACACAATCATTCGGATCAAGGACAACTTCTGAGCATTAATAAGCTGTGTCTTGTCTTCAGCGCCCAACACCATAAGCGCCATACATTTCAACCCAAGCGACTTCAGCAGTGTGACAAATGCTGCGTTCAGCACTTCAGCAGCCTCAGTCAAAGCAAAGTAATCACCCAGCTTACGTCGGTCTGTATCATTGTGGTGCTCGAAACCCAAAAATGTCCAATTGTAAAGTTTTGAATATTTTCCATTCTTCGTAAAAGCATCATCCTTAAGTTGTTGTATAAAAGCCTCAATTTCATTAAACTGCAAATTTAAATGTGGAAAATTCTCCTGCAGTTTCTTCATTTCAGCCTCTGTGTCCACTCCAGGAGGTACATTGTTTACCGTTGGCTCAAGAGCGACATCAGGTTTTCCTCTTTCAGTCGATGTGTTCCCGCCAGAAGATACAGTATTGACCGGTGGCTTCTGGGAGACATCAGGTTTCCCTGCCCCAGTCTTTGCTGCATCCGCGGTTTGGCGAGGCGGAGGCCTCTGCATGCTGCTTGTGCTGCCCATCTGACTATCTGAAACCACAAGGAATCTTTAAGGCGAATTTAACATCGTTATTTGGTTATATTTGGTGGTGAGATATCCTGATGGTTAAACATTCGTTCGTCGCACCGTAGGCAAAGGGCTCGATTACTCATATGGGAATTTTATGTGAAGCCGGTTTCTGGTGTTCCTGTCTTGATATTGCTGAAACACGGCTAAAGCGTCGTAAATTTGTCCTCCTTGATCAATATGTTCATCACGGGATTCCTGTCTCGCGTGTCAAGGATATTGTACGAGCGCTTCAATCAATGCCTCCGGGTTTATTTCGCCAAATTTGTAACACTGATCGTTTAATACGGCAATGTAATGCCCACTAGTACCGGTTTTCATACTTGCATAACAGTATTTAAGGTCCCCACATTTCAGCTCGGAATAATGATACAAGAACGCATGCAATGCATGCCACTAATCAATATTCAATACATATCGATTTCTTCTTGGAAACATTTCTCCTTGATTTGGCTGTTATTCTATGTTTATTACACTGCCGACAATTACCCCGGATGTTTTATTCAATATGCTACAATCGACAAAATGTTTTTTTTCAAACGGATGTTGTACACCTCCTGTTGCTACAACATTGCAACAAAACGATTCAGCGTGCTGTGAGCCCGACATTAAATGACAACCAAATCACAACCCCCAAAGTACAAGTTCACTGCTTACCTCATAGCCTGTGGCACACGGCTACATATTCCATGTGATTTGAGAGAATATGTAGGTCAAAAATGGCTGCCCGCATGCTTTTCCCCCCAACACAATGCTGACAAAAGTACCGTTATGTGTCCTCCTCGCCATGACGACGAGTATACAATAAAGCTCTGACAGATCCGTTAGGGGTCAGGGACCACGTACTCGAGTAGAGGGCAGACTTAATATGCGGTTCACAATGTGTTTGTTTACATGTGTGTGTTCAGTGTGTATGGCAGTGTTATACATCAAGGACTATGCGAAATGTTCGTAGCGTACTCACAAGACTCAGATTGCATGTGAAGGGCCGATCACCGCTTTTGGGTGTCCGTCCTATGAAGGGTTAATTTCGTAAAGCCAGGCAAATGAATATGTTTTGTTTGTGTTTGTTACCACGAAGGTGTGCATTTCATGCAATAGATTTTGGAACAATTGATCGATATTAATTTAATAATTTGAATACTAAATTAAACCCATTTGGTTCCCAACTTTAGGCGCGTTAAGTGGGTATGTGTTGGTTACAATGACTGTTTTAAATGGATGTGAATAGCAACTCTTTGGCTATAGATTTGCTATGTATCATTTACTCGACGTCCCAGCACTCATCCACACATAGCTCATCCACTGGCAACTCAACCACTTATCCACGCACAACTACCCAACATTTCCACGCCACACACTCTCACACTGGCCGACTCATCCACTGACTACTAAAACCACTAACCCCTCATCAATCATTAACTCATCAACTGGCCCTTAAATCACTCATCCACGAATATATACGTCCGTTCATTCATTCACCCACTCACCCATTCATTCGCTATCTCATCCACTGACCACTCACCTACTTATCTATCCACTCACAACTCACCCATATTTCCACTTTACTCACTCACTTACATCGATTCAGCAACTCATCCACTGATCAATCACCTACTTATCTATCCACTCACAACTCACCCATATTTCCAACTCACTCACTCACTTACATCCATTCAGCAACACATCCACTGATCACTCACCTACTTATCTATCCACTCACAACTCACCCATATTTCCACCTCACTCACTCACATCCATTCAGCAACTCATCCACTGACAACACACCTACTTATCTATCCACCCACAACTCACCCATATTTCCACCTCACTCACTCACATACATACATCCAGCAACTCATCCACTGATCAATCACCTACTTATCTATCCACTCACAACTCACCCATATTTCCAACTCACTCAATCACTCACAAACATCCATTCAGCAACTCATCCACTGACCACACACCTACTTATCTATCCACCCACAACTCACCCATATTTCCAACTCACTCACTCACTCACTCACTTACATCCATTCAGCAACACATCCACTGATCACTCACCTACTTATCCATCCACTCACAACTCACCCATTTGTCCACCTCACTCACTCACTCACATCCATTCAGCAACTCATCAACTGACCACACACCTACTTATCTATCCACTCACAACTCACCACTATTACATGCCTCATTCACTCACTTATTCACATCCATTTGGAAACTCATCCACTGATCAATCACCTACTTATCTATCCACTCACAACTCACCCATATTTCCACCTCACTCACTCACTCACTCACTCACTCACTCACTCACATTCATTCAGCAACTCATCCATTGACCACTCACCTACTTGTCTATCTACTCACAACTCACCAATATTTCCACCTTACTCACCCACTCACATCCATTCAGCAACTGATCCACTGACCACTCACCTACTTATCTATCCACTCATAACTCACCCATTTTCCACCTCACTCACTTACTCACATCCATTCAGCAACTCATCCACTGACCACTCACCTACTTATCTATCCTGTCAGAACTCACCCATTGTCCACCTCACTCACTCACTCACTCACATCCATTCAGCAATTCATCCACAGATCACTCACCTACTTATCTATCCACCCACAACTCACCCATATTTCAAACTCACTCACTCACTCACTCACTTACATCCATCCAGCAACTCATCCACTGATCAATCACCTACTTATCTATCCACTCACAACTCACCCATATTTCCAACTCACTCAATCACTCACTAACATCCATTCAGCAACTCATCCACTGACCACACACCTACTTATCTATCCACTCACAACTCACCCATTTGTCCACCTCACTCACTCACTCACATCCATTCAGAAACTCATCCACTGATCACTCACCTACTTATCTATCCACTCACAACTCACCCATATTTCCACCTCACTCACTCACTCACTCATTCACTCACTCACTCACATTCATTCAGCAACTCATCCACTGACCACTCACCTACTTGTCTATCTACTCACAACTCACCAATATTTCCACCTTGCTCACCCACTCACATCCATTCAGCAACTGATCCACTGACCACTCATCTACTTATCTATCCACTCATAACTCACCCATTTTCCACCTCACTCACTCACTTACTCACATCCATTCAGCAACTCATCCACTGACCACTCACCTACTTATCTATCCACTCACAACTCACACATTTTCCACCTCACTCAATCACTCACTAACATTCATTCAGCAATTCATCCACTGATCACTCACCTACTTATCTATCCACCCACAACTCACCCATATTTCCAACTCACTCACTCACTCACTCACTTACATCCATCCAGCAACTCATCCACTGACCACTCACCTACTTATCTATCCACTCACAACTCACCCATATTTCCAACTCACTCATTCACTCACTCACTTACATCCATTCAGCAACACATCCACTGATCACTCACCTACTTATCCATACACTCACAACTCACCCATATGTCCACCTCACTCACTCACTCACATCCATTCAGAAACTCATCCACTGATCACTCACCTACTTATCGATCCACTCACAACTCACCCATATTTCCACCTCACTCACTCACTCACTCACTCACTCACATTCATTCAGCAACTCATCCACTGACCACTCACCTACTTGTCTATCTACTCACAACTCACCCATATTTCCACCTTACTCACCCACTGATCACATCCATTCAGCAACTGATCCACTTACCACTCACCTACTTATCTATCCACTCATAACTCACCCATTTTCCATCTCACTCACTCACTCACTCACATCCATCCAGCAACTCATCCACTGACCACTCACCTACTTATCTATCCACTCACAACTCACCCATTTTTCCACCTCACTCACTCACTCACTCACATCCATTCAGCAATTCATCCACTGATCACTCACCTACTTATCTATCCACTCACAACTCACCCATATTTCCACCTCACTCAATAACTCACTCACCTTCATCCATTCAGCAACTCATCCACTTGCCATTCAACCAGCTACCGTACCCGAATTACAAACATTATTACATTTTACATTTTAAAACGAATGTGTTCCTCTTCATTTATATTCCATTGTAAGAAAGTAAAACATTACACACTGTATTATTGTATCATGTTTTATTTGTTTCACGATATCAATCCTACATACCCCAAGTCTTTTTAAGTCCTCTTGCCTTAAACCCTGTAATAAAGTTTCTTTTAAACGGGTTTGTATACATATACCTTACGGTTGTAGTCAAGATGGTTGATTTGGTCCTGGGCGAAATTACATCAGTTTAAAGAGTAAAATATCTTATGTATTTTCAAACACAATTCATTCACACCTACGTTGAGGCTTTGATTACTCTGATCGGTAGCCATTACGTGTAGTGGGCCGACCATTACATAAGCATCAAGACGTGCACATATTTCTCTGAAAGGAGTCCGAACATAAACTGATGGGCAAGTAAAAGTATGCCGATTTTGTTCCTTAAGTAATTGAATATTGAAGGAACTGTTATGAAAAGTTATCTGTGGTTGAGTATTTTGTTTTGTAAACTTAAATTAGCTCTATAAAGATGAATCTTGTAAATTTGTGCCGAAAAAATCTTATTTACTGATTTTCAAAGATAAGGTGTATAGGATACCCATCAGCAGGTGTGTTTTATGCGAACATTTGTTTTTAGTGTTTTAAAAGTTTTAAAAACAATTATATTATTTTTTGAAATAACAATGTAGAAGTATTCTTTAATTGCTGACTAAGCGCCAGTACAGTTCATGTTTTAATATGAAATCGCTCATTTATTTTTTCAATTGCAAATCAAACATATGACAAATGTAGAAGAGTTGACATTGTATGCTAAATGTAGTAGAGTTGACACTGTATGCTAAATGTAGTTGAGTTGACATTTAATGCTAAATGTAGTAGAGTTGACACTGTATGCTAAATGTAGTAGAGTTGGCATTGTACGCTAAATGTAGCAGAGTTGACATTGTATGCTAAATGTAGTAGAGTTGGCCTTAGCTACGTTGAATGTGGTAGAGATGACCTTAGCTATGTTGAATGTGGTAGAGATGTCCCAGGCTATGTTGAAAGTGGTAGAGAAGACCCCAGCTATGTTGAATGTAGTATAGTTGACCCCAGCCATGTTGAATGTAGTAGAGTTGACCCAAGCTATGTTGAATGTAGTAGAGTTGACCCCAGCTATGTTGAATGTGGTAGAGATGACCCCAGCTATGTTGAATGTAGTAGAGTTGACCCCAGCTATATTGAATGTGGTAGAGATTGCCCCAGCTGTGTTGAATGTGGTAGAGATGACCCCAGCTATGTTGAATGTGATAGAGATGACCCCAGCTATGTTGAATGTAGTAGAGTTGACCCCAGCTATGTTGAATGTAGTAGAGTTGACCCGAGCTATGGTGAATGTTGTAGAGATGACCCCAGCTATGTTGAATGTAGTAGAGTTGACCCCAGCTATGTTGAATGTAGTAGAGTTGACCCAAGCTATGTTGAATGTAGTAGAGTTGACCCCAGCTATGTTGAATGTGGTAGAGATGACCCCAGCTATGTTGAATGTAGTAGAGTTGACCCCAGCTATGGTGAATGTGGTAGAGATGACCCAAGCTATGTTGAATGTAGTAGAGTTGACCCCAGCTATGTTGAATGTAGTAGAGTTGACCCAAGCTATGTTGAATGTAGTAGAGTTGACCCAAGCTATGTTGAATGTGGTAGAGATGACCCCAGCTATGTTGAATGTAGTAGAGTTGACCCACGCTATGTTGAATGTAGTAGATTTGACCCCAGCTATGTTGAATGTAGTAAAGTTGACCCCAGCTATATTGAATGTGGTAGAGATTGCCCCAGCTGTGTTGAATGTGATAGGGGTGACCCCAGCTATTTTGAATGTGGTAGAGTTGACCCCAGCTATGTTGAATGTGGTAGAGATTGCCCCAGCTGTGTTGAATGTGATAGGGGTGACCCCAGCTATGTTGAATGTGGTAGAGTTGACCCAAGCTATGTTGAATGTGGTAGAGATTGCCCCAGCTGTGTTGAATGTGATAGGGGTGACCCCAGCTATGTTGAATGTAGTAGAGTTGACCCAAGCTATGTTGAATGTAGTAGAGTTGACCCCAGCTATGTTGAATGTGGTAGAGATGACCCCAGCTATGTTGAATGTAGTAGAGTTGACCCCAGCTATGGTGAATGTGGTAGAGATGACCCAAGCTATGTTGAATGTAGTAGAGTTGACCCCAGCTATGTTGAATGTAGTAGAGTTGACCCAAGCTATGTTGAATGTAGTAGAGTTGACCCAAGCTATGTTGAATGTGGTAGAGATGACCCCAGCTATGTTGAATGTAGTAGAGTTGACCCACGCTATGTTGAATGTAGTAGATTTGACCCCAGCTATGTTGAATGTAGTAAAGTTGACCCCAGCTATATTGAATGTGGTAGAGATTGCCCCAGCTGTGTTGAATGTGATAGGGGTGACCCCAGCTATGTTGAATGTGGTAGAGTTGACCCCAGCTATGTTGAATGTGGTAGAGATTGCCCCAGCTGTGTTGAATGTGATAGGGGTGACCCCAGCTATGTTGAATGTGGTAGAGTTGACCCAAGCTATGTTGAATGTGGTAGAGATTGCCCCAGCTGTGTTGAATGTGATAGGGGTGACCCCAGCTATGTTGAATGTGGTAGAGTTGACCCCAGCTATGTTGAATGTAGTAGAGTTGACCCCAGTTATATTGAATGTGGTAGAGATTGCCCCAGCTGTGTTGAAAGTGATAGGGGTGACCCCAGCTATGTTGAATGTGGTAGAGTTGACCCCAGCTATATTGAATGTGATAGGGATGACCACAGCTATGTTGAATGTGGTAGAGATGACCCCAGCTATATTGAATGTGATAGGGATGACCACAGCTATGTTGAATGTGGTAGGGATGACCACAGCTATGTTGAATGTGGTAGGGATGACCACAGCTATGTTGAATGTAGTAGAGATGACCCCAGCTATGTTGAATGTAGTAGACTTTACTTATAGCTATGATGAATGTGGAAGTTTGACATTCAACTGCTAAATAGGATTATGTTGACGTTTTAGATAACCGTTAACTGATAGCATTGAGATAATGTTAAATATGTATGTGGAATGTTCCGATCGTTAACGCTGTTGAATACGACAGTGATTGCATCTGAATTTAGCCATGCCTATTGTTACTGAGTCTATAGCGATGCGGAATGTGTTGTTGTGAACAGTGGATTGTGCCAGGACGAGTATCTGATGATGTTCATTGTGAATCCATGGAAAAGAAGCCATTCTGATTATGTCGCCAGAATCTCTGGTTATCTCGAATGTGATTCCATGGCTTTACTCTACAATTTATGTGTGCTAAAGTCATATCTGTGCTGTATTAATTAAAGGTCTTGTATCAATTACTCAGCAATACGTTTGTTTATCTGTCGTGTTATGCACGTAGAAAGGTTTATCATATAATGGGTAGGTTCCTCGGCAGGATAAAGAATTAACCATCGGGAATCTGGATAAACTACAGAGATAATTGCTATCATTATCAAAAGAACAGTCTAATATACTGAAAATCAGTGTCTAACTGTGACGTAGCTAAGGCATTTTATAAGTTTTGGCAACTTTGGAGAAACAATTTTGCGAGGGCACGAGGCCTAGCCAAGCGGGATCAGTAGCCATATCTGTGCTTGTAGACCTCTGCGGCTTGAAACCTTCTCCACAAATTAAAATAGTTGGATTTGGCCGAAATATGTTTGAATTGTTACCTTGTTTCGTTTTGTCGCTGTGTGTACATCTGACTTCACAGCTTAACGTTATGACTGTCAACAACGTCTGACTGTGGCCGTGACGTCTCGTAGACTAGGTTTAGAGTAGCTTCCCTTTGACAAAGGGCAGTTTATCTAGCGGACAGACCGATGGATTGCCGCGAAAGGCAATTAAAAACAATTGTTGTTTTGCGTATATGTTGCTTCGCCACTGTATAAGAAACAGATTTCAGTTGGAACTATACTAGCCACATAAAGAAACTGTGCACGGAGAAAATATAGATATCAGGGCACACCGTCCATATATGATAGGTTTGAACACAGCAATTATTTGAGACATTCAAACGCTCATGCACGTGCCATGCGATATGATCTCATTGATGGGGGCCTATGGACGTGCAATGTGTTACTGCACGTGCATCCTGTGCAGCTGTACACAGCATGTGCAACTCAAAATTCGCTGTCACTTTGGAAAGCATGATCTGTGGTCATTCAAAAATTCAAAACTTCTCAGGCGCAGACACAAGCATATCACAAGCAAATCATGCCAAGATTGACAGCTGCACAGCGTCATGAAGCCATTGGAATGATCCGAGCTGGAATGAGGCAACAACAGGTGGCAACACATTTCCAATGCCATCGTAACACGATATCGGCATTGGTGAGGCGTTATCAGAACACAAATGACGTTGCCGACCACCCACGTTCAGGACGTCCCCGAGTAACGACGCCAAGACAGGACAGATGGATTCGAGTTACACATCTCCGACACAGGTTCCAAACGGCAGTAACGACGTCCCAGACAATCCCTGGACTGCGCCGTATCCATCCCAACACTGTCAGGAATCGTTTACGTCAGTACGGGATTCGACCACGACGCCCTGCCATACGTCCCATCCTGACACACCGTCATCGAGTCAACCGTCTAAGATGGTGTCGAATTCATGATCGCCAACCTCGAATATGGTGAAGAAATGTTGTCTTTACAGATGAATCGAGGTTCAACATTTCCCACAGTGACGGGCGCCAACGTGTCTACCGGCGTTTGGGAGAACGTTATGCACGCAACTGTATTGTGGAGAGGAATCGTTTTGGAGGTGGCTCTGGGATGATTTGGGATGGGATAACAGCACGGCACCGAACCCCTTTGGTGGTTGTTCAGGGCAATCTCACCGGTGTTGGCTACAGAGATCAGATTCTGAGGCCTGTGGTAATTCCTTTCCTGCAACGTCATGGCCCGGGATTGACATTTCAACAGGACAACGCTCGTCCTCACACGGCTAGGGTCGCAATGGATTTCCTTCACCATAACAATGTCATGTTACTGCCATGGCCTGCAATTTCTCCAGATCTCTCCCCAATAGAGCATGTGTGGGATGAAAAGGAGCGCCGTCTGCGTCGTCTTCCACATCCTCCAGATAACGTCCGTGACCTGGCACAGGATTTGAGGAGGATATGGCAGGCCATTCCCGAGGCCTTCCATGCCCATTTGGTGGACTCCATGCGTCGCTGATGCACTGCTGTGATTCACGCACAGGGTGGTCATACCCGTTATTGACTTTGTGACTTTGTCGTTTGACCCTCTACTCCATTTTGATCTTCTGACGTCATCTCAACAGATGTTGTTCAGGTCCCGTTGACATTTTCTTATGGTCCGATCATTCAGCTGCTACAGCGTCTGCATCATTTTGTTCTTGCTGTGTTGTATTTCAATCCAGAATATATTTTCTCCATGCACAGTTTCTTTATGTGGCTAGTATATATTGGCTACTGTCACTGTCCGACTGACACATCACTTACCCTGTGACGTAATAAATATTAATGGGCGCATTCCAGGAAAACTCGCAATGTTTCGGTAATGTTTATGAGAGAGGGAAAGCGATTTTGAAGCACAGAATTAAAGAATGACATTAAATGATAAAGAGGTTATCACGCTTGTGTGTTTGGGGATGGTAAATATCCTGTATTAGGAATAAACACTATGTATTTAATTAGCTCGCCAAGGCTCGCTAAATACAATGTTTATTCCTAATGCAGGATATTTACCATCCCCAAACACACTCGCGTGATAACCTCTATGTCTTCGCAGAGTGTGATACACGACAGTGTGTTCCAGACTGTTAAATCCTGACAGATCAAATGGAAAGAGAAGTATTTATGTTGACAATGATCAATAGTGGGCTTTCATAGAAAACCAAACGAAATCCATAATTTATCAAATACAACGCCAACACAAACTACATGTATACAAATGCACGTCATTCCCGTCAAACAGCGACGTGCATTGACGTGTAACGACAACTGGATCTCGTTATCAAGCTGAGCATCACATCAACACATATAAATGATGTACAAATAGCGGAATTAACATCCTATCAAACATGATAATAGCTCTGTTACAAATGTAAACCTAACACTTGTATGTGCTCTATTCAAATAACATAAGAAGCTGTAAGTTCACGCTAGCCGGGCAATACGTGTGACCCAGGTAACGTGGCGTAACGTGTGTAGCCTCATTAGCTGGCAGTGAGGATTAACTATAATTATGTGTTATCAATATGATCACATCGGGCTTTCCTCACCCATTAAGCTGACAAGCCGAATACTGTTCAAAGCGGCGTGAAACCCAACTTACTCGCTCACCCACTCTCTATGCATATCAGAACATGAACCGGTTACAGGTCTAAGCAGCTATACATAAACCTCGATATAATATTAACCAGCGCTTACTATACATAAAGATACAGCAGTTTTCTTAGATCGCGCCCGGTATTTACTTTCCGACGAAATGCATTTTGTTTTTTGTTTACAAAGATAAATACTAAAACCAAATCATTTATGTAATGTTTACCTCTTCCATGGCAATCGTTTTTTGAATACCTCTACTCTGTTTCTTGCGGGGCACGGTTGACCCAATCGTCTAAGGAACCGCAATACGCGTCCCTCGGGCACACCAGAAACCTATGATTGTTGGTCCGAATCCCGGCTCGCCCTGATTATGTTTCTGGGTTTGTCAGTACCATAGCCGTGCATGCCCAAAGTGGAAAACGCCTGAGACCTGCATCACTTCGAGCTATCCTCCCACATTAAGCCGATATGCCGCGATGTAACTGGAACACTGTTTAAGGCGGCGTAGAACCCACTCACTCAGGCCTCTGCTTCCTCGTACCAATGATAGGATTCACGAGGGCCTGTAGGTGAGGTGAGGTGAAATGGGGTTTAACGTCGCGTCCAAGATTATTGCACTTATATAGCGACGTGCATGTACGTGTGTGTGTGTGTGTGGCTGCTTGTACTAGTCCGGACTGATGCCGATTTATAGTGCTAGCTCACTGAGTTACCATGCCGCGGTTTACCATGAATACCCCACTCAGACACAGCATACTGACTCCGAGCCGACCAGTCCTTGTTTTAGCCCCTTAATGTCGAGCGCCAGACAGGGTAACAACAAGTACCATCTTTTAACGTCTTTTGGTAAGACGCGGCCGGGGATCGAACCCCTGACCTTCCGCTCTCCGGGCGGACGCTCAACCACTAGACCACGGAGGCGGTAGGTGAGGTGAGGTGAAATGGGGTTTAACGTCGCGTCCAAGATTATAGGGCCTGTAAGAACATACAGCGGTCTTACTTTTTCATCAGGTGTCGATGGTATCTTATACATTCACCAAACCGAGGCCATTGGCATTACATATTTCCAAACAATGTTCCGAATAAAAGCAAACGTAGGAGGTGTGCTTAACCTTTTTCCAGGTACATGATTAATAATGACATCTGTTTGAGTCTTACGATAGACGTGCACCACATCGGTAACAAGTGGTGAACATCTGCAAGACATCGGCGTAATCAGTTAAGACGTTCGACTGCTTCGCTGAACCGCCTGATGTCTCTGAGGTCGTTCAAGTGAAGATCACCCTTGACATAGGTGTAGAAGAACTCCGGTGCCTGTGGACAATATTGAATATGTTACACACACAGTGCATTCCAAGTACCATTTGGGTATGACATCAAATACACTGATCATTATGGCGTGAGACAAGTGAAACCCATCATCCAGGGACAGACCATCAATCTTAAACCGCTATGATAACGTGACGCTATTGTTGATGCAGTTGATTCTGAGCCAAGACATTGCTGGTCGTTCTGAACGTGCATTTTGTGCAAGTAAGCCTGACGCAACTACACTTATGTAGCGACGTGCATGCACGTTTGTGTGTGTGTGTGTGTGTGTGTGTGTGTGTGTGTGTGTGTGTGTGTGTGTGTGTGTGTGTGTGTGTGTGTGTGTGTGTGTGTGTGTGTGTGTGTGTGTGTGTTTGTGTGTGTGGCTGCTTGTACTAGCCCGGAGTAATGCCGATTTATAGTGCTTGCACACTGAGATACCATGCCGCAGTTTCCCATGAATACCCCACTCAGACACAGTATACTGACTCCAAGCCGACCAGTCCTTGTTTTAGCACCTTAATGCCGAGCGCCAGACAGGGTAACAACAAGTACCGTCTTTTAACGTCTTTTAATATGACGCAGCCGGCGATCGAAACCCGGACCTTCCGCTCTCCGGGCGGACGCTCTACCACTAGACCACGGAGGCGGTTATATCATTGTGATAAATTATAGAGAAAATATACATCAACTATGACGTGCCTTAAGTCCGAGAAATCGATTAATTTCTCCAATACATCATCCTTCAAGTTAAGTTGCACAAGTGGTTGTGATGACCATGTTCTACCATATGACGTGTTCCGTTACATTGCATTAACTAGATAGCATGACTACAGACTAACTTGTGGTATCAATTGAAATATTCACACTTTTCCTTCCTTTGAACGGTCAGGAATGCATCGTTTTAGTGTGGAATTATTACTGCATGGTTATTCACATTATAGAAACGCGTATGTATACGTGATTTTGTTGTTCTGAGTTCTCATACCTTATAAGAAAGCTTCTTAAGGAACACCAAATCTTCACCGGATAGATCCTTCAGCGAGGAATGCCTTTAATGGAGAAAGTAGATAATTGTTCACTTTGTTAAAAGCACACTCAACAACACGACACACGGGACAAACTACTTCAGAATCGTTATCCAGTACAAACCTGTTGACCCAACAGAACGCGGAGTCACTCGTCAATTGTATCTGCCCTATTCACGTCGACATAATCACTCCGCGACATAACTCGTGAATAGGGAGTGAATAATGGCAGTCAAGTAATGTAGTTTCACAGGACAACGAAACTGGCGGCGATAACATTTATAGAGGTCTCAGACGTTTACCAGTTCGGTGAAACCCACGAGCACGGGTATGGTGCTGACAAACCTAGAAACATAATCGGGGAGAACCGACGTTCGAACCCACAATCGTAGGTTTCTGGCGTGCCCAAGGGAAGTAACACTGCACAGCGAATTGCGGCGCCTTAGACGTCTGGGCCCCCTGATTATGTTTCTGGGTTTGTAAGCACCATACCCATGCTCGTGGGTTTCATCAAAGTGGTAAACGTCTAAGACCCGCACTACTACGAGCTTTGCTCCACTATCAAGCTGACACGCCGTGATATAACTTAAATATAGTTCAAAGCGACGTCAAACCATACTCACTCATATATGTGGGTTTCCAATATATACTACCCATCAAAAGTTTAGACTCACCAGTGTAAATGTAGCCACTCACTATACTCAACTGTTTCAAACCAGATAATGCCAAATATTCTAAACTTTTTACAGGTACTGTTAACACATGAACTGTTGTGGCGTAAAACCAAATCTGTAACGGTGAAAAGATTAGAGTTTTTCGTTCATTAATTGTTAAAACTCTGTGAAATGTCGCACATTTTTAAACAAAATTCGCACCAAAACGCAGGTGTTCACATGCACGATAATACACGTGTTTTAGCAGCAATTTGACGCGGGATACTCGTGCAATTCATCTTTATAAGGATTGCAGTTGGCTCCTCTGAGTTAGTGGAGAAATTCTTCTTTGATGCAAGCATGGGTAGAGGGAGAAGTCTCCGTATTGAGCAACGACACCAAGCCTTGGCACTGCTACAAGATGGCAGATCACAACGGTATGTTGCCAGACGTCTTGGCGTATCCCAATAGGCAGTTTCCAACCTCTGGGTACGCTTTCAACAGACCAACTCCGTCCAGGATCGACCCAGGTCGGGTAGGTCAAGGGTAACATCAGAGCAAGATGACCGATGCGTCTTTTTGCTGTTTCTCAGTGGCAGAAACATTACAGCCACAGCAGCCAATAATGCTTTCCAACAAGCTACAGGACGACGTGTATCTGTATCAACAATACGCCGCCGATTACGTCACTACGGACTGCGGGCACGTCGTCTAGCTGTAAGACCTCTTACACCACGCCACCGTCAGAACAGACTGGATTGGGGAAATGGACATTTACGCTGGGGTCCCCGCAGATGGGCAAGGGTACTCTTCGCGTACGAATCAAGGTTCAATGTGCATTTCAACGATGGTCGGATCCCAGTCTATGGACTTCAGGGAGAGCGGTACGCTGACGTTGCTGTTGTGGAGCATGATCGATTTGGAGGTGGATCCGTTATGGTCTGGGGAGGTATCATCGTGTCAGCTTGTTTACAACAAAATGGGGTGAATCGAATGGATTAGCGAGCATTATCGCCCGATATGAACCCCACTGAGCATGTTTGGGATCTGCTGGGACGGCGTGTTTATGCCAGAGTTCCTCCCCCTGCTAACCTTCGCCAACTTCGCAATGCATTGTTTGAGGAGTGGCAAACATTCCCCAGCGGCAGATTGAACTGTTCTTTCGTGGTATTCAACGTCGATGCAATGTCTGTGTTAGAGCCAGGGGTGGTCATACCCGTTATTAAATTTTGCAATTTCACTTTTGTATGGTACTAGCCAATACGGCATTCTGGTTCACTAATCATCAATGCACACGTCCTTGTGAACAAGGATATGAAGACCTAAATGAATGATTTTGTTATTTTTTATTGGTAGCTTTCACAAATACGATTTTCTTACGAGATATAGTGAGTGGTTTCAGTGAGTCTAAACTTTTGATGGGTAGTATATATGCATCCTGCATCACTTCGGGCTTTCCTCCCATATTAAGCTGACACGCCGTGATATATCTGGAATACTGTTAAAAACAGCGTTAAACACAACTCACTCACTCAGAAAACATAATCAAAGTAAACCGGGATTCGAATCCACGAACATAGGCTTCTGGCACGCTTGAGGGACGCAAATCTGTTCAGTGATTAACGCCCCACATATACATTTTACGCCCCTGTTAATTGCGATGTAAGCACCTGCTGAAGCCGGACTTCACAAGCCAGTTGTGCACGTCCTTGTTGGACCACGTGGCAGTGGCGGGTCCCCTTGCTGCGTCCACGGGTGCGGCCTTCAGAACGGCAGCGGACGTCCTCACCTCACCCTGTCGGAACATGGTACAATGGTAACCGTTATCAACTAGATATCGTTAATTTATTTCACGGCCTGGAATTCCTTTGTGATCTTCACATTTCTAGGACGTAATTTTCAGTACTTCTCTGGATAGTTTTCAGTAGTGAAGACAGAGCAGACAATTTCATAAAAATTTCCCGAAAAATATTCATGATCCCTAACTTTTTTTGTTCAATGTATGTGCAAACATCAGTAATAGGATCTAAACAGCAATATCAGTTGAATGGAAATCAAATGCAAATCCACGGTGTTTGTCATTCAGCTTAAGTTTTAAATGGACCCACTTGTACATTATATCTTTAACAAACCCCTTTCTAGCCTTATGCAAAGCCTAGTTTGCTATTCAATTCTTCACGGTTATGATCATAACGGTCCTCTATACCCTATACACGAATTTTGTACAGAATATTTTTATATCGTATGAGAACATAAAGTGAAGTGCATCGTTTGAACCATGACTCTTGTGATTAATGGTTCAACAGAAGCACTTCACTGTATGTTCCCATATGATGCCAAGATAAACTTACGTCAACAACATCAGCTTTAAGCCCTTTGCCCTTTTCTCCTAATTCTCTGCTCAGCTCTATCAACTTCTTATTAAAGTCATATTTTCCACTGAAGTCGAAGAAGAGTTTGGTTCCTTTTATCATCCCCAACCAACCATCTGGCTTGTACTCCCTCTGCATCAGTAAGGGGATGATAGTCTTCTGTAGCGAGAATGCGTACTCTGCCTCTGTAGCAGAAGGGGGAATAGTACCCAGAAGGATAGAATGAGCGTGTTTAATTATTTCCAATATTTGCACACGATTTTCAATGCTGATTTGTCAATTGAAGCCATGTGACGTCACAGTACTACATTGTTTTAAAAAATACGATCTGACGTCATCCGTGGGTCATGACGTCACAAATTGATAATATTACGTCACCTAAACCATAGGATACTTTCAGTGAAGTTAATATATAGAATTTAACATTTCATACGTATGTTCTTCATTTTCTCTCTTAAAATATAATTGAGTAATATATAGCATAACCTACTCAAAACTCGGAATTACGTATAATCAGTCCCTCGTGAATTATGTAAGTCCTTTGCCGAAGGCTCAGGATTAAAGCTTCTCATTCACTCGGGACAGATAATCCGCAATACCGCGTAGCTGGTTAGTTAGTCTGTATATGCCAATATAAACTCCAGGGACACTTGCCAATATAATCTCCAGGGACACTTGCCAATATAAACTCCAGGGACACATGCCAAATAAACTCCAGGGACACATGCCAATATAAACTCCAGGGACACATGCCAATATAAACTCCAGGGACACATGCCAATATAATCTCCAGGGACACTTGCCAATAGCAAAGTCACAAGATGGTGATGTCAGGATTGGCATGTGAAAGACATGTCAGAATGGACAGCAACACACAGTACAGATTCGCGCACCTTAAAACACGGATCCATTGGTCCTAGGTTCGAATCTACGATAACGATATTTGGTCTACTAGCACCATACCATGCCCAAGGCTATACAGAAAGTGCCAAGACCTAGAACCTGCATCTATTTGGACAGTTAGTTTTCGACAAACTCAACTTGCCCATTCAATCATTCGACCTTCATACCATTACAACAATTCGAAGCATTGGTTCACTTATATACTTACCCCATACAGTTGTTGATATGGCTATATGGCTCACATTACTACAACAGTTGTATGACAATGTACGTAACCAAGGCTTACCTGATCTACAATTTTGGCTCTCTTTGTACCTCTCCGACATGCACACCAACACCACAGACGCATTCTGCACGGCCTCCGCCATCGCCTGTAGCGTGGAGCCCCCCATGTTGTCCACATCCATCCAGAGCTTATAGCCGTCAGCCTTCAGTAGTTCCTTCACCTGACAGAATATATGAAAGTGTAAACACTGACACATCCCGTATTGTAACTATCAATATATACGCGGAAAGACAATATCTTTTCGATATATGATTATAAACGTGGATGTTTAACTTCTTTTTGGATATGCATTTGAAATAGCAATGCAAACTCAGCATTACTGGCAATTGTACATACACACACATTTAACAGTTATGACTTGTGATGAATAACTGTTAAATGCGGCGTTTAATCCAACTCACTCAGTAATCGTGGCGAACCTGCAATCGAACCCACGATCATAGGTCTCTAGCGTGCCCAAGGGACGCGACTCTGGGCAGAGCCTTAGACGACTGGGCCACCCGTGCCCCCTCTGGATACTTAACGTCTATTAAGTTGAACTTAGCCATTGAGCGTTCTTTCCAAGCCCTGCTGTATCCCTAACTGAGGCAGGTGCCACCAGTAGGACGGGACGTGCTTATCCTTTTGGGGAACACCTGGTGTCCTCACAGATTTTCAGTGATCCATTTATATAAATTTCACCACTATTTTGACTTTTACGCCAAACAGAATCTGTTTAAACAGATTATTCTCTGGCGTTGACGTTTACGTTGACAATGACGTTATATATTAATAAAATATATTACGGTGCTATGCTAAGTGTCACTAGGTTATAACGACGGTGTCGTATTTCATGAGACAAAATTTAAGTATTTAGAAGAATTGTGCTCCTTAAAATTAATTACTGTTATCTTGATTTTGGTCACTCAAACCATAAATACAAGAACATACCATGAACTTTGTCATAAACTGGTGGCAAGAGAAACTATACCACTCAGTTGTTTGATTTCCTATTGAGGTATAGTTAGCGATATTATATCCAAAACATGAACTGCGCTGGCGCTTAGTCAGCCTTCAAAGAATACTTCTACATGCATTGGTTATATTTTTTTAAATATGATTTGATTTAAAACTTTTTTCACACATACAACATATTACACAACTCCTGTTTGGTAGCTTAGACATCTTGCCTCTGAAAATCAAAGTTTGTTCTTGTTTCGGCACGAAATTACAACATTTCAAGCATGGTTGGGGTTATGTGGTTGCAAATTCATTTCTTAACCAAATCTTCACTGAACCAATTTATTTTTACACAAAATTACCCTTTTTCACAAACTGTTGCAGGAATGAGTGATGTTAAATAGACATCGTCAAATTACATTAAAATGAACTCGGTATTTTTTTATTTTGCCCCTCTGGTTATTTGAACGGAATTACTTAAAGAAGACTACGTTTCTTTTAATTTATGCGATCTTTATGGATATACACAATGTAGATGTAATTACATCGTAACAATATTTATATTACCCACACGAAGAAATCGATTCCAGATTTTACCATGTTATGGATTACATACAGCGTACATAATTGAAACATCAGATTCTCCAACAGTTATCTCTACTTACCTGAAGTAGAGTCTTCTGGTCGCCCCACTGGTAACTGATCATCACGTGACCGGATATGTCCACTTGTTGTTCTTTGTTACTCTTCTTGTTTTCTGAGGGAGATAAAAGAAACCACGATCAAAGAAGTAATACTTTGTCCGAAGAATCTGCCAATACTCACAATCTTCGTAAACCTATTTTATCGACTGAGTAACAAAACTGCACACAGTGACTTACCACTCCCATAGCCAGTACCTTTCTGCCAACGTTGTACCTCTGGCACAGGTCAACAAAATGTTTCGATTCGTCACATCTTACTCAGTCCATTCAACAAACTACTTATATTTATCATCCATTGTATTTCTAAAAAGTCGACACATTTAGATTAACATACGTCACGAATTGGTCAATTGCTTTATAAAATATGAAACGCGAACAACTATTTCCATTTGCGTATGTTCTATTTGTTTACAATACGGTTCCATCGTATCCCTTTCGACAGCAAACACTACGATTATTCTGATATTCCCCATCGACGTGGCTGTTGTGAGATATCTTTATAATTAAGCAAATCAATCTGTAAATCACACTAGACTTCCATTAGCAAGACCAGCTCTGATGTCGGTATACGCGCCGTTGGAAACACGAAGAGAAAAGTCTGGTCACGTGGTATACCATTGAACTTGAGGCAGTGAACTCGCGCAAAATCATCACTGCGCGAGAGTGTGAAGTACTCTCCTTTCTAGCGGAACTATCGATACACCAATATCGCGATACGGTTACGTTACGATTTCAAGCTCATGGTAGAACCGTGGTACTGATCGAGTTAAAGGTATTGTCACCTTGGCACTGTTTTAGTCAAAGAGAGCGGTCGTACCGTGATAGTAACAGTTTACCATGGCGGGAGATTTGCCCTACTGTCACAGTGCCGCAGTAAAGTAGGAAGAGCTTTTGAGCAGTAGTGTATCCATCATACCGTCTTTCGTCTTCATCTGTAGGACCCAGAGAGCTCCTTCTGAGGCTTTAGCAACAGCGTTATCCGAGGAAGTCTTTCGCTGCTTCAGTAAATCCATTAGCTCTTTGTTTTTCTGAAAAAAGGTTAAACCAATTTAAACAATGCTCTTCTTTATTAATTATTTTATTATTTCAACTTCATCAACAGACAATTTTCAATACCATTCATATTCGTTTCTAGGTCACGAAAGAATAATTACCATCGGTCAATACTAGATGATAGTCGACAATCAAATCAATTACATGAAATAACCACTAGTTCGTACAAATGTGTTCTTAACCTTCAAATACAGAAGCCAATTGGATTTGGATTCATAATTCTCCAGGTTAAAGAAAGTGCGTGAGCATGAATTGAGGCCGCTTGTAGCAATATTCGAGGAATGAATGCTTTAACAACTAGGCTATAAGCCACCTTCTCCATGTTAAACGACTGGCTCAGTCGTAGTGGCCGTCCCGGCATGTTTGAAATGGGCTGATTTTCAAATCATTGTTGACCCTAATAATACACTGATAATGACAATGCCCCGGTGAAACAAACCATCAGACAAGCGACGAATGAATGACCCAAAAATAGGGACCATGAAGTCTAGTCTCACGTCTAAAGGTATTTAAAGCACTAACACAACGATTACATTTCTTTAGTTCCCATTAAACACCAGAATGATACAAACATTAAAATCTTTTCTGTTCTCTTCGTCAAAAGCCAGTTCCCAAACACACTTGACTGCCTTCTCAATCTCCTCATCGCTGCTACTGTCCCTCAACACATTCATCAACCTCGGCAACACGCCCTTCTTCACAAGTAGAGTCTTATTGGAATCATTCTTGGCCAACCCTGTCATTCCATCTATCACTTCTTCAACACTGAAGCCATCAAACCGATGACTTTGATACTTCCAGGCTCGCTCCAATATAAACAAAATGAAGTCAAACACGGAATCATCGGCAAGCAGAAGGTCGTTTTGGTCTTCATCCAGCATGTTAGCGAGAGACAGCAGAACCAACAGACGTACCTCTGGAACATAAGGAAATATAGGGCTGCAACGATACACCTTATTACGATACAATATATTCAGAGAATGACAAAAACTGATTATCTCTCCCAAGTGAATTAATTTTGTAAGTCCTGATTGGAGAGGACGATTAGCAAATAATCTGTTATTGATCGTAATTCTTGGTATTCTTTGTATTATCCATAGTCTGTTTTTCAGGAAAACGTGGGTTCCACTGGAGACATCGGAACATGATGGAACATCACATAAAATCGTTTTGACGTCATGAACAATGGATGATGTCATCTTCAAAGAGTTGCGACAATGCGTTCATATGAAGTCAAGTTGATAGGGGCAAGTCTTCTTTGCATATTTGCAAACAATAAAACATTGGAACAATTGGAACGAACTTGCTAATCAGCATTAAGCGTTACTAAAATAGTTTCACCTATTGTCTGTTCTCGTATTGGTAATATTATACGATATTAAGGCTTCGATACGTTACATGAAAACTTCTAATTCCGTTTTAAATCATTAATGGCACAATTTGAGACCTAACTCAAAACATATTTAATACGTTACGGTGAACTAATGTGAGAACTGTTTGCAAGTTCTTTAAAAATTTATATGTTCTTCTTATTTCGTTTTGTATCGTGACAAAAGTATTGATATACGCGGGTGACATTAAGGCACTGCGGGGGAAAATATTGACACTCGCCACAGAGTAATTATGTTCTCGATGTATTTAAAGATTTTCATTCATAATTAAATCCTTTGCGTCAATATACACATATTTGTTATTCTTACACGTGACTCGATGTGCTGGGAGCAAATACATATAGACGGTCATTGTGGCCAAGTTTCCGTTAAGCTGTACGACTACCAAGTAACGACAGCATTTTGTATACATTTGTATCACTAAAATAGAAACGTTAATGATTTGTAGCTAAAACTGTGGCACCAACACAGTGGAATCCAAAAAAAACCACAAATGTTTCTAAGCAGACATTTAACATTCGTTATTAACCTATTAACATCATCTAGTTACATCAGGACAATGGTTGTGAACGAGTCAGTGTGTTGACTTTAACGCCGCTTTGAAGATCAGTTCAGTACTATAGTTGCGTCTCGGCTTCATGCGGGGTGCACATCAGATGTTTGTTTGTTATTTAACGCCGCATTCAGCAATATTCCAGCTATATGACGGCGGTCTGTAAATAATCGAGTCTGGACCAGACAACTCACTGATTGGCATCATAAGCATCGGTTTACGCAGTTGTGAAACGATGACATACATCTACCAATTCAGCAAGCCTAACCAGCCACTTCCCGTCAGTCGCCTCTTACGACAAGCATGGGTTGCTGAAGACCTATTCTAACCCGGATATTCACGAGTAGATGCACATCTGAGGACGCATGGCTTCACATCACATTTCGGCGCTTTAGACAATGTACTTACTTTCAGATTTGGATTTAAGGAATGGCAAGAGAACAGACACGGTGTCCAGTTTCCTTATTGTCTGTCTGATGGCAGGATTACGTGCCGAGTTGTACAGCACTCCGATAGAACCGACGAAACAGTCGTCGGGCACCTTAAAGAGAGTTGTGACAATTCAGACATAAGGTCTGAATCAGTTATATCATGTTTAATCTGAGAACCGTAATACTTTAAAACCTGTCAAGAATAAAAGAAAATCCATTGCATCATAATTAGGACATGTACGACTGAATTCGGATTGGATTTTTGTTATCAGTGTTCATTTTCGATTCACAAATTGTGTTTTTGCTGCATGTACGAAAAAACAACGAATCTTTATGGCTTGGATCTCAACATGACCACATTAAAACATTTGTATTCGTGGAATTGTAAGGAGAGTCTTGGAAATGTAAAATTGATATTTTAGAATATTAACTCGAGAGATGAAAATATTAAATCGATATTTGAGAATATAAACTCACATCATCGAAGTCTTCCAGATGTGTACGGGATTCCTTTAGATCTTCAACGAAATATTTGAAGATACCAGTGTCAGCGAGTTTTTCACAGAAATATAAACTAGAATCAGTATAGTTGAGTAGCACTGATCTCAGCATGACGAGGAACCCGAGAGGGGCATCTGCTTGGTGAGATTCAACAGTTCTGGCAGTGAATGCTGTCAAACCCGCCTCCTCTAACGCATCTCCATATGCCTCGGCAAATGAACCAGCAGCTCTCAGCAGGGCCATGTACCTCCCCAAGACCCGCTTCTTTTTATAATGCTTAAAATAAGAAGCTTCCATGCTGGATTCGATACTTTCCTGGAGATCAAGCCACTGCCATGTTGACTTTTGATTCTCCTCTAGTTTCTCAATAAGTGAGTGCATTTCTTCAAACACATAGAACAGCTCGGGGTGGTCTCTCTGTAAGTCTTGGGCCGTTTTGACGTCGTCCTCGTTATTTGCTGGAAGAAGTAGATCCATGGTCTGTGTCTTGCCAGCGCCAGCGGTTGATTCAATGTTTTCCGTCCCATGTCTTGGACGTTGGGTGGAAACTGGCTGGTCTTTGTGGGTAACACTGTTTGGCTTCCTTGCAGCGCTGCTTGAACTGCCCATAGTGTCGTGCTACCTTTCAATGGAAATGAAAGTTGGTACATAAACCAGTTAACTCAGCCAATACCAGCAGACAACTTCACCCATTTTCTTCCGAAAATTCATAGTTTTAATAGATATACTTTATCTTTTGCCTTGATGATTGGTGTTGGTGACCTTTATGAACATACGAATAACCTTCCGATATAATCCGTGATTCCAATAGCAATAATTAAACGATAGGAGTTTACTGTTTCACTTACCAGGAAACCAATACCATCTTTGCACGTTGCCAAGAAATACATAAGTATGTTTTTTAAATCATAGGATGGCAGTTACGCGGGCATGATTTTGTTTGAATTGGAACTTTATCGAAATATGAACCGGTTCCTAAACATTTTCCTCTTGAGCTAGGCACTCTAGTGTAACGTGTTTACTTACTACCTTCAGCGTATGCGAAACGTAGTCTGCGGGGGGTTACATACTTAATCCATACCGTATACATATCGCCCCAAAGCATTCACGGTCAGAACAAGTTCCCAGTAATCTAATAAAGTATCGTGGTAGGAGGCGACAGAGTGATATGGCTCGGTGACTGGTTGATTTCGTGTCATCGTACCCCGACGACATGGTATGTGGCTCGTTATATCAATCAGTGGTTTGTCTAGTCCAGACTAGATCATTTTCAGGCCGCCGCAGTATAGCTGGACTATTGCTTAGTGCGGCCTTAAACAACAAACAATAAAGAAAGCTACATATCCAAGGAACGTGGCTTCACACAATATATCCTGTGACACATTATCTTCAAAGTGTGTATTGAAGTCAAATATTTCAAAACACTGGCTACTACAAAGGAAAGTCATTACCCAAATAACTTATAGATTCCATATTTGTTTCACTAAAGATCTAGATAACATATATAATTAATATCATTTCTGTATAGCCGATTTTATCTGCAACAGTTGAGGTTGTAGTTCGGATACAGTAATAGCCGTTCCATAACCACGCACAAAACAAACACCTACACATCGAAGCTTGATGTAATGACATATATTAACTTTACCTATGCAGGTAGACTCGCGTATGAGCTTACCTGTGCGTGTTCTTTCATGAAAAGTCGTCAGTTGAGAAGGTTATCAACGTCCTGAGCACATGTCCACCAGACATAACCCATCCCAAGCATTTTATCAACACTCTACAATGCCATGTCTTGTTTCTCAGTTAAAGAAGTAAGGCACCATGACAACATGTACACAATCGATAGCCCGAGTTCAGAGCATGAATGCGTCCCGCTCGTCTCGCATTGTGGACTGCTCCCCCTATCTGAATACTGTTTGGATTGAATTGACGATCCACACGCACGTCGGTTTCCCGTAGGTAGTCCGTGGTGTGCAATCTGTTTCCAATCAGTTTATGTGGGCCATTGGTAATCGATAAACGACTAGTCTGGTAATGATCGGATATTGCCGATATGGATGGATGGAGAGATTGATTTAAACCGGTTTTCGTTGTACATGGATCTGACGTGTTTTCTTGTCGACTCAGAGATGACAATTACTGCAATTGGATTTTAACGTTAAGCCCACGCGACTATTCCGAACACACGGGTGCATTGCCATTTACCCAGATGCTCAAAGTGATTAACTTTAACTCGGTTTAGGTATATCTATGTTCAAGTGAGTGAGTGAGTAGGTATGATTTGACTCCGCTTTTAGCAATATTCCAGCAATATCACGGCGGGCGATGGGTCCCAGAAATGGAAGCCTGTGAATATCCGGGGTAGAAAAAGTCTTCAGCAACCCATCCTTGCCGTAAAAGGCGACTAACGGGATCGGGTGGTCAGGCTTGCTGACTTGGTTTGATGCATGTCATCGATCCCAATTGCGTGGATCGATACTCATGATATCAATCATTGGATTGTCTGGTCCAGACTCGATTATTTACAGACCGCCGTCATATAGCTGGAATGTTGCTGAGTGCGGCGTTAAACAACAAACAAACACCAGAAATGAGCTTCAAACATAGTACCCATGTATGTGTATGTGTATGAGTTTCCATAATCTGCACTGTCCGCCTGGAACTGGCTTGTTTGAGTCCCCGTCAATGAGAGTGAAGGGCCTAGGACAATCCGGGTTCGATTTCCCACCGATACAGAAAGGTATATTTTGCTTCATTAATAAGTCATTTCATTTACAACGCCGCTACGTCTCTCATATGGACTGCCGGTGTGAGATAACAATGATCAAACAATCAACGGTTTATCGCTATCCTTTGGACACCGCGTTTACAACATTTGTATGTCATGAAAAGGCACTTCACACCCAGAGAAGGGTCTGTTCGAACAATAAATCAACGTATTATTTGTTATTATTTCGATCAATGTTTTTACAGCATGTGCACGCTATGTGCATGCACTTCAAAACAGCGTCATGGTGATGGTGGTGGGGGTTGGTGATGGGGAGAGAAGATATTTCTGGTATTGTAATATTTAGCTTTTCTCATTTTAATTTAGATTTAACAGATTTTGACTTAACTCATCTACAACGTGTTCAAGCGTAAACTTCATGATAATCGAAAAAAATGGTAACTATATTGTCTTTTAACATACTTGAATACTTTAAGATAGGTATTGTATTACAATGTATACAGGTAACATAAGTCCTGTTGTATTTTAGTGTCTAGTCAAGCCTAGTCTAAAGATGACCGGGCGATTAATGTTGTGATGTGATGTGATGTGATGCGCTCTCTCTCTCTCTCTCTCTCTCTCTCTCTCTCTCTCTCCTATACCCTTGTGTCTCTTGGTGTCAATATCAAATTCGTCATAATTTTCAAGTGTACATATAATTATATATGCACATGTCTGAAATTGTTTCGAAGTTGGTAAAGTGTTAATTCAGCGTGTGCACACTCAGAGTATAGCACATTAAAAAATGTTGCAATTTGACAAGCAACTATTTTCAGAAGTTTTTATCTGTTGGAATGGATAAAGTAAATTATCAAAATTATTTAATTCCTATAGGTTTGTACTTTCGTGAAGATCCGGGGTAGAATAGGTTTTCAAGAATCCATGCTTGCCGTAAAAGGCGATTATGCTTGTCGTAAGAGGCGACTAACTGGACCAGGTGGTCAGGCTCGCTGACTTGGTTGATGCATGTCATCGTATCCCAACTGCGTGGATCGATGTTCATGATATCAATCACTGGCTTGTCTGGCCCAGATTAATTACAAACCGTCGTCAAAACAACGGCGTTCAACAACAACAAAAACCAAAAACAAATGATATGTTTGTTCCTGAAACAAGTCCATATGACCTAACACATCAGGCAATCGTAACTGTCTTAGAGGGTTTGTATTCTTTGTCAACTCATGGCAACTATATACGCTTGTTTGTGACAGATGTATGCCCAATACAGGTAAAGTTACATCAGTGTGTCAGAGTGTGTAGGGTTGTATGTAACTTTAAGTTATGCAATTAAGAATTGAACGTCAGTTTGGATGGGTTCATTGAAGTGTGAACGATTTAAAATCGCTGGTTTAACTGTGAACCTCCGAGCTTGCGAGTTGCATCAGTGTGTCAGAGTGTGTAGGATTGTATGCCATTTTAAGTTATGCAAAAACAATTGATACGCCAAGAATGTGTGTGACACATTTCATCCATGTGATGATTCGAACCCGGGTCATCGGTGTCGTATGTAAACGGTTTGACCACCTGACCAACCCAATCGCCCCGCAGATCGCAAAAAATATGATGCCACTCATCATGTATAATACATTTATGTTTGACATTCTACATGACTTGGTGACGAAGTGGAGACTTCATAAGGCTAAAAAATACCCCGTTTTTTCGAGGAGATCCACTGTAGTGGGCGTTAACGGCGTCCTGCTGTACTGTTATTTGACATGTCGACATCGCTCAAACTATGATCTTTCGGCTTGTGATTACATCTCGACACAACGGATGATTAATCGAACGAAGTATGGTAATTTCGACACGTCGAGTTACTCCTGCACCAGTGCTGGTAGTTCGTACTTTGTTCACACCCTAACATGTCGGAACCGAGCGACACGCTATATTTCAATGTCGACATGTCGAGTTCCTCTGCCCGAATGTTGATTCAGTGACCTGATGAATAGTGTGTCCAGTATGCAGTCGTATTGTTATGTCGACATGTCGAGTTATCGCTGCTCGAGGTATATGTTCCTTTGTTTGCACCTGAGCACGAACAAAGATTAGATACAGTCATCTTGCTAGTGTTCCCTGTTCGAGTATTGATTCAGGTAATTCATATTAAGTGTGTTGCAAGATCTGTTACAAATTCTCCACAGCCTCGCTAAAGGTCATCAAGTCTTCCAAATTGCTCAAATGCAGGTCAGTCTTGATGTAATTGTAGAAGAATTCTGGTGCCTGTAAAGAAAAGAACGTTATCATTTAGCTATAATCGATACATGTGAATCTTCAGAATGTCCGTGTGAAGATCCGGGTTAGAATAGGTCTTCAGCAACCCATGCTTGTCGTAAAAGGCGACTATGTTTGTCGTAAGAGGCGACTAACGGCATCAGGTGGTCAGGCTCGCTGCCTTGGTTGATGCATGTCATCGATCCCAATTGCGTGGATCGATGCTCATGTTGCCAATCACTGGATTGTCTGGTCCAGACTCGATTACTTACAGACCGCCGTCATATAGCTGGAATATTGCTGAGTGCGGCGTAAAACAACAAACAAACAAACGAATGTCCGTGTTTTAATAAAGACTCAAAGGCTAACGTTACTGTGATTATGACATGATTGTTTTTACACAACTTTAATGGATAGAGTGGTAATGTCATGAGTAGGTTGACAGAGTGGCGCTGGAGCCTTGTTCATGATACCGATCTCTGGGTTGTCTGGTCCAGACTCGATTGTTTTCAGGCCACCGTCATATGGCATGAATATTGCAGGGTGTGGCGTTGGGCAACAAACACCTACTGTTTTTTGTTTTAGCCCCTTAATGCCGAGCGCCAGACAGGGTTATAACAAGTACCATCTTTTAACGTCTTTTGGTATGACGCGGCCGGGGATCGAACCCCGGACCTTCCGCTCTCCGGGCGGACGCTCTTCCACTAGACCACGGACTCAAATATGAAGTCATCATGATGAAAAGACTATACTCAGCTAATTTACATGATCTTGATTTAACAAAAATTGGAGCAATTAGAAAGTAACACCTGAGATGCTCTTTCTAAATACTTGATTTAACCTTAATTTGTATTAATAACACATAACAAGGCAGAATTCCAATTTGACCTTTTTAAATAGTAATCATAAAAATAACGATACTGTTGTTTTAAGAGTATAGGGTCACTAATTTAAAGATCAGTTTACCTTACAGATCATTTGTCATGAGAAAAAGAATAATATATAAGACAAGGATACCACATTTTAGATAATACACGACGTAGGAAGAGCGTAATAACTATTAAGAATCGCATTTTTATATTATGAATTTTGTGTTTTTGTAATAGCCACTTCAATATATTCAGCTGTTTACCTTGTATGAGATCTTACGGAGAAACATCAGTTGCTTTCCGGTGAGACTTTTCAACGAGGAGTGTCTGAAAAAACAAAGAAATGACCTTTGACCAAGTAACCCAAAACAAAGCAGAAATATTCTGAAACGTGAACACCTATCTAATGCATTCACTTCAGTGATCTTGGATCTGGATAGAACCACAACACGTCCAACTTGTTGATCAGGGGTGCGTAAAACCTACTGAATGCGTGAGTTTGGTGTTACAGCACTGTTGGAATATAGTTCCACATGACGTTTACCACTTTGGTGAAACCCACTTTCAGGGGAATCCACAACAGGTTCTGGAACAACTATGGGCCGCAAATCTGCCTCGAATCAAATCGAAATTATTGCCTGACAGTGTCATATATATAACTTAATATAAATAACAGGGATTTATCAACGGAGAGGACGACAAAGATTAAATATTATGATTTTGTAAACTTTGTATCAACCACTTACTTGTCCAAGCTCATTTTACAAAGCCAATTGTGAACGTCTTTGTTTGACCAGTTGGCAGTACCATCCGCACCCCGTGCAGCATCAGCTGGTTGAGACTTCACAATTGCAGTTGTCTCCCCCTAATAACAAGTTGATGAAATCTGTTGTAATAAGTTATGTAAACAGAAGCTGTGTACAATGAAACCCTGATAATCCGGACGGTGCAGCTCCAGTGAACTTGTCCCGATTAAAAATATCTCGATTGCCAGAATCATCGTTTTAGAGTAATATTTTTTGTACACGCTTCTGACAGAATCGTCCGGAAAACGAGGTCTCCAGCTGCAGAGTTACCAGGTTACACTGTATCAATGTCATGACAAAGTTTACAGCGCTAATGCTAACCAGCTGCATCCACGTGTCCTTTGTCAGGGAAGGGTACACTGATGCAGTGTAAGTCTAGCTCACAACTACGACAATCACGAAAATTCTAAACCCAAACCATTTTACTGACAACACGCATGAATGTGGTATTTTCTATTATTCCTAAAGATCAAAGATAAAATTTTCAAACTTCTTTTTCCTTTAGGGAGCAGTTCAAAAGTTTAAAGCGAAAAAAAAGTTACTTCCGTGAGTTTGGGGGCATTACCATATATTTCTAAAGTAGGGCATGCAGCGTTCAAGTACGTCAAGTTGGCTCGAGTTGTCGTTCATTTTTCATTGTGAAATATGAAACTTAGACCTGCTTTGAAATATTAAACCCCAGAAAGGTTTACTTTGTCGGATGTAAATAAGACCGTTAAGGAAGCTTAAGGAAATATGATTGCAGACCAAATGTCTAATCAGTCAACGCGTCCTCCAATATGCTGTCACTCACGTCAATGCTATCGGTTGATGATCCAGCCTTGCCCCGAACACCCAATTCTTTTATCAACTCCGATGCTTTCTGGTCAAAAGGGTATTTTCCACTGAAGTCGAAGAAGAGTTTTGCCCCTTTAATCAATCCCAGCCAGCCATCGGGCTTGTAGCCTCTCTGGAGAACGAGAGGTATGATGGGTTTCCGGAGGTCAAAGGCATATTCAGCTTCTGTAATGTGAATTCGTTTGTGTCAGTTTTGATGTGATACATAGAGGTGTGTGGGGGATGGTAAATATCCTGTATTAGGAATAAACATTGTATTTAGCGAGCCTTGGAATAGACCGGAAATAACTGCCCCTCAATGATAAGATCGGTAACTGTCCCTTCAAGGATTAGACCAGAAAGGCTCATTCCATCATCACTTGATTCATAAGGGTGTTAGATCTTACACAGACATGTAACTACGACTTAGTGAGGAAGTTTATCATCCACCTTATTACTCGTTACAAACTGGTATGTATGGACTAAACTCGATTATTTGTAGGTAGCGAATAGGATCTAAAGCTGCTTTGAAGAGTATTTCAGTTTTATCATTGATTGCCAGCTAGGAAAACCTGAGGAGATTCTGATCTTCGATGTTTGCCACTTCAGTGAAACTCACCAGATGTGATGCTGACAAATCAACTTAATAAGGACGAATCTGGGATTCGAACCCACGAGCATGGGTTTCTGAGTGAGTATGGTTTTACGCCGCTTTAAGCAATACTCCAGCAATATCACGGCGGGGGACACCAGAAATGGGCTTCACACATTGTACCAACGTCGGGAATCGAACCCGGGTCTTCGGCGTGACGAGCGAACGCTCTAACCACTAGCCTACCCGACAGCCCCTCATGGGTTTCATAGGTGAAAGAGATGCAGTTCTGTGGTGCATTAGCCAACTGGGCTACCCGTGTCGATACTTGTTAGCATCATAGGATAATTCAAAAACTGCTGATTGCAGCGTAACGTAAACTTCATTTGTTTAACCATTAATACTGGTCTGAATATTGTGTCGCACGGGCCAATCCCTATCAACTAGAAATAATACTGAAACTAGTTGTCGTCCTACCTGATCTGCAGTTCTGGCTCAGCTTGTATCTCTCCGACATACACACCAACACCACAGACGCATTCTGCACGGCCTCCGCCATCGCCTGCAATGTGGAGCCCTCCATGTTGTCGATGTCCATCCAGACCTTAAAATTGTGTTTTTTCAAAAACTCCTTGACCTTAAACACAAGTATATGATTAAGATAACCTTAGAAATTATCAATCGATGTGTTTACAAGATTCGTAAGCTTCTAATGGCATGAAAAGTTTGATTTAAGCGCGTTCTTTTGTGGGATCAATGTTTTGCACTGTAGTTTACCAGAGTATGTGTTCTGTAATATGGAACAACATATGGTGCGACGAAAGTGAGTGAGTTTGGTTTAACGCTGCTTTGAACAGTTTTTCAGTGTCAGATTGCCGTGGAAGGAAAGTGGCACTGGTCTTAGACGTATACCACGTTCTTTTAACCCATCAGTAAGGTAGAAATATGATTAGGGAAAATCGGGATTCGATTAATGTCAATAGGTTTTGGCTTGTCAAAGGGACACAACTCCACAGCGAATTACAGAGCCTTAGACGACTGGCTCATCCGAGCCCCCGAAAGACACCACAATCATGTATTTAGTTAGACAGAAAAGAACCATTAGATTTATTTCATGTCGAAGTATAACAAGAAACATACCTTGATAAGCATTTTCTGGTCCGCCCACTGATAACTGATCATAACGTGGCCTGCATCCTGCACAATTTCGCCCTTCTTGACTGCATCTTTCTTCTTAAGTTCTGCTCGAAATGAAAGGGGAATACATTCTTCATAAACATTGACGAACTCTCACGCTTCGTGACTTTAGCCTCACTTTAAACAGATTTCAGTTTCAGGGGTGACAGTTGAATGTTAGAGAAGAGCCCTTGGCATCTTCCAGAGGCAAGGGCGTTAACTGACTGTAAACGTCCAGTTTCCACCCTTGCCGATTTAGGCTGGAATTTCTGTGCTCGATCGTTGCTCGTTGATATTACGAGTTATGTCCCTTCTATATCCTTCTATTGACCAATCAGATTCCACCTCTCATATCACTTATTTTTGGCTCGAAACGAAATTGCGGTGCCCAGTTATCTGATCGATAATCAAGATCTATATTTGTAATAATGCGGGTCTTCAAATAACGTGAGGACCTTGATTAAAAACATGAAAAGATTTGTAAAATGTCTGTTGACGCAAAGTTAACGGTACACGTGATTTGCAAATCCTGAAATGGACCGAAATCTGCACCTCAGATTACGAATCGGATGTCGATTTCTTTACGCGAGTTTCATTGGACTATGCATAAACTCGTATGTCCAGTCAAAATATAACTCCATAACTCCAGACAAGTTACACGAAAGCGTGTGGTATCATGTGACGCACCAGTTAACAACTTGGGGGAATGAGGACCAAGGAATTTTGGTTAGGATATTTTTACGGCCACTGCTACAAAACACGCATGTTTTCTGTGAAAGGGGGAGCGTAACACTTTAATTTTATTTAATTTTTATCTGGACATCCGAAATTTTCAGTAAACAGTTTCTTTTTTTCAGTAACGGACCTGAAGGCAAATTATATTATTTCATTATTTTATATTATGCAAGTTTTTTTTTTATCGGTAGTAAATAATGTGGGGGTTTTTTTAAAAGAAACAAACACACACAAGCAAGCACGCACGCACATACAAACCTGAGAAAAAACACTATATTTTCGCAGTATTTTTCGGGACAAAACAGGGTTCAAAAACAAAATGTCCAAAAAAATATGGCATGGTCGTTCCCTTACTCTTGTTCCCTCGCTTCTCCTCCTGAGTGATGGCCCACAGAGCGCCCCCGGAAACCTTGGACAGTTTCTTATTGTTTTGTGATTCGTTCATTTTCCTCAGTATCGCCATCAGTTCAGCGTTTTCCTTAAAACCCAAGCAGCAACAGAATAGATACAAACAAAAAAACGTTATTGTAGTTGTGCTGTCAAAACAACCGTCACGCCAAATCTCAGGTTCGATTCCCCAGATTGGTAAATATTTGGTGTCAAATCTCGTAATATTTTAGAATATTGCTAAAACAGATTAAAATCCTTATCATATCACTGAAATATCAATTCAAATAATTATTGATTGGATAATGGAGTAGTGTTGACGCCCCTGTGAGGCATACAACACCCATTTCACGACCAGAAATTGGCTTCACGATTTCAGGCCATGTGAGGAATCGAACCCGGGTCTTCGACGAGCAAACGCTTTAACCACTAGGTTACAATACCACAATCATTAACCCACGTGTCATTCTTCTAAGAAAAGGTTAAAGACTACTTTTGTAGTAAAGACTATACTCTGTTGATATGCATAACTGTAGAGAAAGTGACGTTAATCCTTGACAAATTTCACTTTAACGACCTACCACAAATATTCGCTGATTTTCCTTATCGAAAGCAAGCTCCCAAACACACTGAACAGCCTTCTCTCGCTCGTCATCTGATCCTTCCTGCATGACAGTCATCAACACAGGGATCGCTCCCTTCTCTGTGAGGATCTTCTTATTGTCATCGTTCTTCGCCAGTCCAGTGAGTCCAACTATCAGCTCAGACGCGGAGAAACCGTTGCAACGATGACGTTGATCTCTCCATGCAGACATTATCATGTTTAACATTATGGTAAAGACGGTACTGTCTGCGAGTAGAGCTTTATTGTCATCCTCGTCGATTATGTTCGCCAGCAGCAGGAGAAGCATCATTTTCATCTCTGTTGAAAATTCAATGACAGACAGACAGGATGACAGAAGCAATGTACTTTTACTGATGGCTTGGTCTGGACGTCCCTTTCATACTGAATAACACAACATACTTTTGTTAAAGTCAGATTAAGTAGTTCAATATAACGCATCTAAGTGCAACATCGTTGATTTATAATAAGGTGTATGTATGTAGCAGTAATTTTACTCTGGTTGGTTTGTGAAGCGGGTACCATGGTAAACGATTTAACATCAAAAAGTAACATCAAATGCCTTTGAGGATACGATCCTATCTGGCAAAGCGAGGAATCATCATTCTCCCAATCTGGTCCCAATCTGGTCCCAATGTGTCGCCCAGTTGATGATATTGATGATTTGTCACTAACGGATTGGGATAGTTAGTTATTGTTTGGTTGACGCAGATCTTTGTTGTTTGAATGAACTGACTCACATTTGACAGTACAGCACATGATTTATGCCCGGAACCCCGTGGTACCTTATGGTAACATTATGTCCTGCATGTGCAGCAGTCCAGAAAATACACACGCTCAGCATAGTCTTCAGTTTGTTTGTTGTTTAACACTCACTCAAAATATTCCAGCTATAAGACGACGGTCTGTCAATAATCGAGTCTGGACCAGGCAATCAAGGGATTAACATCATGAGCATCGATCTGCGCAATTGAGATACGGTCCATGCATCAACCATGTCACAGAGCCTGACCACCCGATACCGTTTGTCGCCTCTGACGACAAGCATATGTTCTGAAGACCAACTGTAACCCTGATCTTCACGTCAACAGGAATTAATATTATTTGTTTGGGAGGTACCATTGTTAACTATTTGTATAGCTTCGGGAATATACAGAAATATAAGTTATCTATTGCATTATTTCATTCCTGTTGATCCCACTCACCTGGGGCGTCACCTTTAAGATAGGCCATGGCTACAGACACTGTCCCCAGTTCCCTGATGGGTTGGCGGGTGACGGGGCTGTTGGAGCAGTTGTGGAGGACGCCCCTAGCAGACCGGAACATTGGGTCAGTTGCTGACACCTGCAAAACAAGGATGAACAACAGACTGTCAACACATACACTCAACACACTGTCAACACAGACACACAACAAACCGTCAACATAGATACACCACAGACTGTCAACACAGACACAACAGACCGTCAACACAGACACAACAGACCGTCAACCCAGACACAACAGACCGTCAACACATACATACAACACACTGTCAACACAGACCCACAACAAACCGTCAACATAGATACACCACAGACTGTCAACACAGACACAACAGACCGTCAACACATACACTCAACACACTGTCAACACAGACACTCAACACACTGTCAACACAGACAGATACACAACAGACTGTCAACACAGACACACAACACACTGTCAACACAGACAGATACACAACAGAATGTCAACACAGACACAAAACAGACTGTCAACACAGACACACAACAGACTGTCAACATGGATACGCAACAGACTGTCTACATAATTACACAACAGCTTGTCAACATGGATACACAACAGATTGTCAACACAGACACACAACAGACTGTCAACACAGAAACAACAGACTGTCAACGGTGATACACAACAGACTGTCAACACAGCCACACAACAGACTGTCAATACAGACACACAACAGACTGTCAACACAGACACATAACAGGCTGTCAACATGGATACGCAACAGACTGTCAACGCGGATATACAACAGACTGTCAACACGGATACACAACAGACTGTCAACATTGATACACAACAGACTGTCAACACGGATACACAACAGACTGTCAACACGGATACACAACAGACTGTCAACACGGATACACAACAGACTGCCAAGACAGACACAACACACTGTCAACACAGACACACAACACACTGTCAACACAGAAAACACAACAGGCTGTCAACATGGATACGCAACAGACTGTCAACATTGATACACAACAGACTGTCAACACGGATACACAACAGACTGTCAACACGGATACTCAACAGACTGTCAACATGGATACACAACAGATTGTCAACATTGATACACAACAGACTGTCAACACAGACACACAACAGACTGTCAACACAGAGACACAACAAACTGTCAATACAGACACACAACAGACTGTCAATAAAGACACAAAACAGACTGTCAACACAGACACACCAGACTGTCAACATGGATACACAACACACTGTCAACACAGACACACAACAGACTGTCAACACAGATACACAACAGACTGTCAATATAGACACAAAACAGACTGTCAACACAGACACACACCAGACTGTCAACATGGATACACAAGAGACTGTCAACACAGACACACAGCAGACTGTGAACAAAGACACACAACAGACTGCCAAGACAGACACAACACACTGTCAACACAGACACACAACACACTGTCAGCACAGACATGGATATACAACACACTGTCAACACAGACACAACACACTGTCAACACAGACACACAACACACTGTCAGCACAGACACAACAGACTGTCAACATGGATACACGACAGATCGTATATACAGATACAGAACAAATCGTTAACATTGACACACAATTGTCTTGCAAGTATAGTTTTTTATACTTCGGTGTGAAAGACTGGGTTTTCTGAAGTTGAGAAAAGTGATTTTTTCTTTGCAGTGAAAACTAACGTTGATATTCCGCTGCTGGGAACAGAGCACGCTGACGGAAGCATCGTACAAAAGTCCCCTCCCCGTAAAGTATCTCCTCTCACCCCTGACACAAACTGTTGACTTCCTTTTTACCTTAGTTCTGCAGGGACTAGGCAAAATAATGACAGATAGTCATTTGTGGAGTTAATATCTTTTCTGGCCGTTTGTTAGTCTTTTGAAAATAGTTCGGTATAAACTGTAAAGTTATCATTTAACTCATCAATCGAGGCTGTTCGTTTCGCAAAGATAACGTTTGTTACTTTGACCAGCGTGTATTCTTTTGCTTCCAAAAGCGGTCTCGTAGATTTCAAGAATATCTTTCGTTGAAGATGATTTTGTATATAATCATATCCAATGTATGGTTTCATTTTATTGACCTCAAATATATTTTGTTACTTTTTTTCATATTTTTTTTAAGATTTTGCATCACGAAACTTCTTTTTAGCAATTATTACATTTTTAATGAAATAATTTAATTTTCAGGTAAAAGTATATAAAACATAGGATATTCAATGTGTTAAGTGAAATATTATGTTTGTCTCATCGAGTGACGGGGGGGGGAGGAGATATTTTCACCAGTGGCATAGTAGCCACTCTTTTTCCTCTTTCATCTCCTTTTCCTCGCCACTCGATGAGAGAAACATGCTATTTCACTCGGCACATAGAATATCCTCTATATAATAAGTCTTACCACTGTTTTGCCAATATGTCATTGGTTGTACCATATAGAGTCTTACTTCGGATATAATACAGTTGAAGTATCATTTAACACTTGAATTAAAAGAACAGATCAATTTCCTCCTACAAAGATTACATACTCGAAGTGATAGACACGGACATTAGTCCACTTTGTGAAAATTTAGAGGGACTAGTTGTTTACTCCCCAAATCTAGTATGTTACATTAAGCTACTAGTCTGATATGACCTGCGGACTCGTTAGATATGACCAATGGTGTCTACCTCGGAATCTTGCATCAGGTTGCATTACAATTTGACTACCGTCTGTTTTTCGACAGCCATACTACAATTGTGTTCAGCTTGAATACATTTTTATATTCTGTCAGTTTGGTAGATATTGACAGTGAGATTCTGTGCCAATTTGATATTAGTTTGCAATGTTAAATGCTCTGTACTTACTTTGGCAGGGCTACCAGCTTCCTTCAGAATAGCCTTCAGGTCCCCCACAAAATATCGAAGGAGGCCACTGCCGCACACCCTCTCGCTGAACTGGACACTGGCGTCCGTGTAGTTCCACAACAACCCCCTCATCTCCCGGATAAATTGGTAGCTCCCTTCCTCCGTCAGCTGTGCTCGTGATACTTTCTCCGTCAAGAACTCAAGTTTCCTGGCTTTAAGATACGAACTATACGTCTTGTACATAACATCAGCAGCGCGCGTGTAAGACAGGTACTCTGCAAATACGCGTCTGTGGGATTCATCCTTGTTCACGTATGAAAGTCCAATTGTCTTATGTGCGAGCATTCGAATCTGTTCCCCTTTGGTATCCAACATAGGATCTTCTTCGAGAGCGTGTATGAAGGAGTTGATGTCATCGAACCCAGACTTTAACCGAGGGTATTTGGTGACTAACTGCTGAGCCAATTGCAAACAGTCTTCGTTGGTGGCAGGTATATCCGAACTCATTGTGGAGGATAGGACTGGGGTCTGATCAGATGGATTGGTAGTGTGAGGGAGACCCGGTGCCTCTGGGGTCTGTATCAGCTGAATGTCAGATGTACCTTTTACCAGCTCTGTGGTTTGGCTGGAATGGACAGCTCCATCAAGGCAGTCCGCATTGAAACTCTCGCTGTCGTTTTGCTCACGAATGTGCGGTTTTTCGACTGTCGGTGCGAAATTGCTGTCTTGTGGAATTAAAGGAAAACTCGTTCCACATCCCATGTAAAAGAGTATGTTCTTGTAACAAAACACACTGAGTCTACTGTTTTCTGTCTACTGTCTCTGCTGCTTTCTGGGGAAAAAAAAGATTTTATATTTGTGTCCGGTTCACAAAATACAACGTCAAATATTAACGTCAAGGATTTTCAACATCACTTTCGAGTTGTCATAAGGGCCAATACGTGACAACCTTGGTCATTAAATTCAAAAGACTAAATATGATGTTGTAATTACATTATACTATTAATTATATATATTTAACTATACATAATCACTCAATTGCAATTAGTTGCAACAAGAAGCTAAGCCCCAGATTATCGTGCTAATTTCTAATTCTCCTATTTATTGCATTAAACATCGTAAAGACTGATATACAATCAGGAATATGTTAATCTATCAGTTTATGACAAAACGTACAACTTTATGGATAACAACTTCTGTTTTTTGCATATAGTGACGTTTCGATGTAGATTCTTACACCCTTATCAAGCTTGAGTATCGGTGTCAGAATCTACATCAAAACGTCGCTAAATGCAATAAACTATAGAAGTTGTTATCCATAGAATTGTACGTTTGGTTATCTACTAACCAACTTCTAGAATGTCATAAAACAGTTATCAGTTTACGTATAGGTTAGACCACGAGGACCCTGTGTCTAATCGTGGAAATGGTCAACTAAACCATGAGGCGCGCAGCGCCAAGTGGTTTAAGTAACCATTTCAACGATTAGACACAGGGTCCTCGTGGTCTAACATACATAAACCATGTCCAACATTTATGGCACCTAAACTGCTTAAAAACATTGTTTTGTGAAAGGTATTTCGAACGATTTTCAGGAACTCTGTACTCTGATCAAGATAATTGTAATTTCTTTTCTCTCTGTTCGTTTCGTTAAACGAAAAGCTACAAAATCACAAGTACTGAACAAATACTAGAATGCATAGAGTAACATACTGTATAAACATTGCATAAAACACATTTTGCGTATCATAAACGGATAAGCAATTAGTACTGATGTAAGTAAAATTTAGTTGTTAATTTCATACCCTTTCTCCATGTCGTCGTGGCAGAAGACTACCTTCGTTAGCCTTCAGTGCGGAATTCACGGGTTCGAATCCCGCTGGCGACAAACGTTTTTCATGAAATTGTTCTATCATCAAGGTGAATTATGAGGGGGAAAAGAAGTTCTGTCATTGCAAAGGGGTGTTTAACTGACAATTCAGTAAGTTAGACCACAGACAAAGAAGCCATGGTGTATATTTACAGCAATCTATGCATAGACTGTCGACTAGAGTGAATATAAATCAGGGCGTCTTCAGTACATTTGAACAGAGTTACCTGCCTTTGACCACACTTTGCTTGTCTGGGAACAGCTGGTGATGTGTGGACAGTGACTGGAGTTGAGAGATTGTCGAAGTACTTATATTTTATACATTTATATTATACCATTGATGTCCATAGCCTGTTGTACTGAAATATATCAATTATATTTGTACTGGAGAGACAGGTAGGCATCATGCCTGTTTTCATTTGATGAAAATAAAATATTGTTTAAACAAAAACATATACTTAAAATATCTAACACAGCAAATAAAGATACATATCTGAGATTTATAAGTGTTAACTAAATCATGTGTTTAAAGTACGTTATAAGTTTACTGATTGTATACAATTTATAGTTAGATTGTGAACTATGGTATTTGGTTAAGTGGCGTGACTACCCAAAGCAGGTGTCGTTCAGTGAGGACATCTGTCCCCGTGCAGGTATCTATCCCTACCTTCCTGAAGAAATTATTCCAAGTGTAGAAATCAGCACTGAAGTTTCAAACCTTTTCATGAAAGAGCTGGCACAGGTAAAACGTACACATCCAGAATTCTCTCATATCAATATTGTTAATACACAGTTAACAGCATACAGTTATTGCAACGTGAACGATTAGAACAACATTTTCGGAGTATTTGTTGTGAGCTTTGGTTAAACTTTGCAAAACAAATTCAGGTGCAATATTAAGGAAGTATTTGACAAACAAACTTAGGATAGCAATTTGTATGCACGAGGCTGAGACATACTGAATTGGCAGATCAACAAGACAGTTGCAGAATGGAGTTTGTACTGTTCTAATCTCGTTGTTTCAAGATCGTAAAGCCCCCAGTTTGATTGCAGGTGTGACAGTTTAATCTCACGGGGCCCAGGTACGCAAATCATAACTCGCGTTATTTACATCATAACTTTCAAATGGTTGAGTTGTGTGAAGTTGTTATTTCAAAAGATATACTTGTAGCCCTAAAATCTCCCCGTGAGTCTGAGCCACGTACTATTGCGATCTCGAGACATCGCTGACAAAGCTGGAAATGTAGAATATTGTTGTTATAGTTTGTTTGTTTATTTGTTGTTTAACGCCACACTCAGCAATATTCCAGCTATGTGACGTCGGTCTGTAAATAATCAGACAATCCAGTGATTGATATCATGAGCACCGATCCACGCAGTTGGGATACGATATGACTTGCCTCAACCAAGTCAGCAGCCTAACCAACGATCTCGTTAGTCGCCTCTTTCGACAAGCATGGGCTGCTGAAGACTTATTCTAACCCGGATCTTCACGGGTCTTATTATAGCAATATCATAACCCATAGCAATATCATAACACAATTATGACACAAAAACTAGGCAGTTTAATTTCAGGATGTGAGTTTATTTCATAGCTATGCCATTAGACTCCTATGCAGAAAATGTGCTTACGTGCTAAACGATTCACAAATATTTTGTTGCATGCAACAAATTGTATACAACTTGTACCGTGTGGTTGAGCTTTCATTAGTTATGTGGCAGCCGGAGCGTTTGGCGCTGTGGGGCCCAGATCACGCTTTCTAACTGTCCGGGGCCCAGGACAAGCATTGTATCTTCCCAGAACGATAATACTTGAAACAATATCCGGCTATGACAGGTGAACAAATAGCATTATAATTTATACTTTATAAGTAACACAGAACGAGTTATCACTCACCTCACAGAGCCTCGTGTGTTGACAAGAGATTTGATCTGTCCATTCACTGTCGATCCTCCAGTGTTCTGTGTATGTAGTGATGTGATGATTAATCCTGTTGCATGTTTCATGTTCACTGTCCCAGTTCATAAACAAATGTGCTCACAACGTGTGTTTATACTGTTTTGATTATTTGTCAGCATAAATCTGTTTACTTCTGAACACCATGGCGACAAGGGAGATAATCGCCGGATAATCAGTCGTGCAAGGACAAACAGTCATTTTGCCTGCGCTTTGGGGCGGAGCATGTCGTTCTTGACCGGTTCTTGTCATTCCGGGACACGCTGAATCTACTTGGAGGTTACGGAAAGGGGCGAGTGGTGACGAATATTGAAACAGGTTTGCTGTTTGCGTCACAGATCAGAATGGCACTCTCACACAACACACACATCACTAGACCAACATCGCACTCTCACACATCACATATGTCACAGATCAGAATGGCACTCTCACACAACACACACATCACTAGACCAACATCGCACTCTCACACATCACACACATCACTAGACCAACATCGCACTCTCACACAGGTCACAGATCAGAATGGCATTCTCACACATCACCCAGGTCACAGATCAGAATGGCACTCTCACAAAACACACACATCACTAGACCAACAAACATCGCACTCTCACACATCACACAGGTCACAGATCAGAATGGCACTCTCACACAACACACACATCACTAGACCAACATCGCACTCTCACACATCACATGCGTCACTAGACCAGCATCGCACTCTCACACATCACATGCGTCACTAGACCAACATCGCACTCTCACACATCACTAGACCAACATCGCACTCTCACACAACACACACATCACTAGACCAACATCGCACTCTCACACAGGTCACAGATCAGAATGGCATTCTCACACATCACCCAGGTCACAGATCAGAATGGCACTCTCACAAAACACACACATCACTAGACCAACAAACATCGCACTCTCACACATCACACAGGTCACAGATCAGAATGGCACTCTCACACAACACACACATCACTAGACCAACATCGCACTCTCACACATCACATGCGTCACTAGACCAGCATCGCACTCTCACACATCACATGCGTCACTAGACCAACATCGCACTCTCACACATCACTAGACCAACATCGCACTCTCACACAACACACACATCACTAGACCAGCATCGCACTCTCACACATCACATGCGTCACTAGACCAACATCGCACTCTCACACATCACACAGGTCACAGATCAGAATGGCACACTCACACAACACACACATCACTAGACCAACATCGCACTCTCACACATCACACACATCACTAGACCAACATCGCACTCTCACACATCACATGCGTCACTAGACCAACATCGCACTCTCACACATCACATGCGTCACTAGACCAACATCTCACTCTCACACATCAGAGATGGCACTCTTACACATCACACACCAGACCAATATAGCGCACTCACACATCACACAGGTCACAGATCAGAATGGCACTCTCGCACAAGACACACATCACCAGATCAGTATGACGCTCTCACACATCACTCGACCAATTGCAGCATGGCACCAAACACATCACACACGTCACCAGACCAACATGGCACTCTCATATATCACACATTGTAACCACCTTACTTCAATAGAGCATCAAACCATACATGCAGGGGTGGTAGATAAAACATTATCCAACAACCATTGATCCATTTTCAGTTCAGTCACTGTCAGTTAATCGGAATTTGTCCATCATTTCCCGAAAATACTATTTAATAACCTTTGGACTAGCGTTTTAGACTATGCCCTGGTAAAAGTCCAGTACAGATAGTCGACCGGAAAGTATGCAATATGAAAACATTATGGCGAAAATGTTGTGTAAAAACATTTCTGTGTGTCGGGTAGCCTATAGTTGTTAAAGCTTTCGCTCGACACGCCGAAGACCCGGGTTCGATTCCCGATTTGGGTACAATGTGTGAAGCCATTTCTTGTGTCCCCCGCCGTGATGTTGCTGGAATATTGCTAAAAGCGGCGTAAAACCATACTCACGCACTACACACTCTATATGTAGTGGCATAGAGAGAGTGGGTGAGCGAGTGTGGTTTTACACCGCTTTCAGCAATATTCCAGCAATATCACGGCGGGTGACACCAGAAATGGGCTTCACACATCGTACCCATGTGGGGAATCGGACCGAGTCTTCGGCGTGACGAGCGAACACTTTAACCCCACAGCCCCTAGTGATATATAAAAAAATCTATAATCACTGAGTTCAGAAATAAAGCCATGTTAACTTAAACTTCTAGTGATGGAAACGCCAGGATGTTTGGGGTGGATATCCAGCTAACAAGGACATTTTGAGAATTGTCAATATGTGTTGTGAACTTCTTGCTAATTCTTCCAACGCTGACAATAAGCTATACAGAAAATAGTATATAAATCTTGAACCCTCCAAGAATTCAAATATCATAATCCACACCATGGAAGCAGTTTATTCATGATATATAAGTTAACGTTTTTACAATTAAATGAAGATCATATCTAATCCAGTCAAAATATCCAAAACCAGACCGCTTCCGAGACAGACACACTGGCTTCTGAAACCCATGTCATTCGTGATATTCGTCGTTGACAATCAGCCAATGAGTGATGGTGTAAGAGCACGTGCAGATATGTGCTCAGGTACGTCTGCGCCTGAAAAAAACAGCGACTGGAGAGTGGTGATGATATTCGTGTTTCGGTGAGTCCAAACAAACGTTTTGGTGTCGACTATTTGGTGTTCGTTGTTATCAAGACAAGGAATGGTTGAACCAGTGCCGTCTATGCGGGTACCATTTTCCACGAAGTCCATTCAAACTGTAACTGACAGAAGCGCCCTTACAATATACAATACTACCTAGCTGTATTTTGTATGGGCGACGTTTCATTTACTGTGTAATTCTGATATAGATTCATTTGTTTAGTTCATTCATGTAAATAGTAAGAAGGAAAAAATAAGTCAAGCTATTGTTTCAAATGAAACTAACTACAAAAAACGAAACAATGGTTGGAATGATTAGTCTACAAAGAACAATGAAGTTCAAGAGACGACCTAGAATTCTGTTTGTCTAGAGGTGGTCTTGAGACACCTCTGTGATTGCATAGGTACCAAACCAAAGATGATATATGCAAAATCAGAAAAAAGACTTTGTTTTCAGTTAATTTGGTATAAAAACATTAAACCACTGATCATGCCAAATATGTGGCTTACTAATAACAAGAGACAGAATGTTTATTTACGCTTACCGGTATATTAATAATAATAATGTGTGTACTTATATTTCGCTAAACTCCCAACACAAGGTGTATGCTCAAAGCTCTAACAGTATCTCCCTGGTCAATAATTCAGTGTGCGCTTGGTTTTTTTTGTATTTATTCTCAGCTCCCTGGGGAGTATACAACCCAAGCTGCCTGTGAGGAGTTCAAAGCCAAGAATTAACTGACATCTTTCCTTTCAGTAAAAAACAAAAACACTGGCAAGTCAATTAATTATTAGGAGTTTTGTTGTTAGTAACTTTCTATAAGTGAAGGTGTGTAGAGTATGATGCGTCCTAACAAGAAGGATGGCAGGTCATTCTTAATGGCTTAAGATACAGACTAAATAATACGCAACTGACATGCGTCCACTGGAGATGTGTAGATACAGGATGTTCTGGTAAATGTACAGCAGTTTGTTAGAAACCTGGTTGTCAACAAGACAGCCCTGAGGGCTCATCCTAGTCCTGCACCATGACTGTGGAATATATTTATTTTATTAAAAAAAACATGCTATGTATACTGAAGCAAGTCTAGCCAGCTCTAGCTACCTCTATTTCACATATGAAATCAGCATCAGGAAAATTATTTGTTTAATTTTAGAGTCGAGAAGGGCATTGTGTAATATAAGATTTCATAGACTATATGTTAGTCTACCTCACCCCAATTACTTAACCCTTATCCAAGTGGTACAGAACTTTGAAAAAGCTGTAAGGAACAGTTCTTATAAGTGTTGAAGAGTATTGCTGTACTATGAGTTGACTATACTATGATATGTTATATTTGGTCATTATATATACTGAATACATTCAACTCTCTCTTATTCTTCTTCATCTTATTTTACATGGGCCCATCTCCTTTGCTTCTGAAGGGGTCGGCTTATTACCCCTCTCGTCACTGGTGCATAACTTTGTTTTGATAACACTGTAGCCAAATTGAACCCTACCCTCTCAGCCTCCCTGAAGGAGCTGTGCCACAACATCATTCCTCATTAATTACTGTTGTATATATATATGACTTAATCTTTGTCAGGTGACCGTGGCTACATAAACTTGGTCCTGGGAGGAAAGGAACAGAGCCTCCAAAGATACCCTAATATCATTATACAAGTCAATAATTAGACCCAAAATAGACTATTGATGTCAAATTCTCAACACTCTTAACTCAAAATTAAACTAAACTCGCTCCAATACCAAGCACTCAGGTAATCACACGCACACAACAGGACACACCACGTACAACACTGCAGGCTTTAACAGGCCAAATCCCTCTGGATCTTCACCAAGAACAACTTACAATGAAATTTTGGGCCTCCAACCGAGATAACCCACAGATCCAAAAAATGCTTAACAATAAATAAAATACTCCTCCAAGCACTAGTTTGAAAAAAAACTCTATTGGTTTCCAACGCATAGTAAACTACTTAAACACACACAAACGATTTAAAACTAAATACAGCACCAAATAGCTCTTTTATAACCAAACTCAAAACCCCCAAAATAGACATAGCTCTCTCTACCATACTAAATAAATTGACCTAAATACCACCAAATATATGACACTAGCATACATACATGAAATATTGCCAAATTGGTGTCACATATACACAGACAGGTCCTTTGACCCGGACACAAAACGTACAGGTTTCAGCACCCACATCGACAAACCTACAACAGAAACCAAATCCTGTAGGCTCCCCAACAATCAATCAATCAATCAATCTTCACAGCAGAATTAATGGGAATAACAGCAGCCCAACACAGCGTCCAAACTAAACAACACCAAAAAACCTTTATCCTTACAGACTCATTGAGTGGACTGCAGGCAATGAAAAATAAAAACATTAAAAAACGTCCAAAACCAATACTTCAGATACTTAGAAGTGCCAACAATCTCATCAAACTCAGCAAAGAGATAGAACTAATATGAATCCCTGCCCACATCGGTGTGTTTGGCAACAGCCAAATCAGCGCTAAAACTAGAAGAAATAAGCATTAACCTACCAATATCTAAAACCCAAATTAAAAATATCACTTAGGGGAAAATCTTCCAAAGTGGCAAAACAAATATCAGAAATCAAACAGAAAATTAAAACACTTGCTACAAAAGCTACTCAAAAACCAAAAATCTATCACAGAACCAAAAGAATTAACAGGGCAATAACAAAACTTCAAACAGGCCACACTAAATTAAACTCATACCTACACCTAATGCCCACTTTCCACCACCTCACTAAATGGCCTGGCGGGCACCGTGTTCAAAATATGCATAATGTTGGAAAGTGCATGTTAAATCTCCAACAGGAAGAAAGTAAAGGAAGGAAAGGAACAGAATGATGCTTCAGAGCAAAATGGATATCAACAAACACCTAACATTACAAACACTCCGCAGCCTGTTAAAGAAAGCACAAATTTTTAAAGCCATAGACATCTTCCTTTATTGAAGGGGGACTTGGGTGGCCCAGTCGTCTGAGGCGCCACGATTCGCTGCGCAGAGTTGCATCCTATGTGAGAAACCTATGATTGTGGGTACGAATCCCAGTTCTACCCGATTATTTTTCTAGGTTTGTCAGCACCATACCTGTGCTTGTGGGTTTCACAGAAGTGGTAAATGTCTGAGACCTGCATCACTTCGGGCTTTCCTCCCACATTAAGCTGACACGCCGCGATGTAACTGGAATACTGTTAAAAGCGGCGTTAAACCCAACTCACTCACTCCTTATTAAAACTGGCCTTCTAGGCAGTAAATAATAACACCAAACAAAAAATCACTGCCAATCTAAAACCCAAAACAAACAAAATAAAAAACAAATCACACCCGCCCAACTCTCCTTCATCCCTCCTCCTCCCGCAAAATTCCAAATTATAAATTCTTGAAAAACTGAAATATGCCACCCTAACACCCTCTCAGGTTGCTTCTTCTCTCGGACAAACCTTCCATTTTTGTCAAACCACACTAAATGGCCTGGCAGGCCAGTGTGAGAAATACGCATGATGTTGGAACACAACACAACAGCCACTACAACAATGTGCTGACTGGCACATTCTGCTTCTTGTATATATGTGACTATGCTTGTCGTTAAAGGCGACTATGCTTGTCGTAAAAGGCGACTATGCTTGTCGTAAAAGGCGACTAACGGGATCGGGTGGTCAGGCTCGCTGACTTGGTTGATGCATGTCATCGATCCCAATTGCGGGGATCGATGCTCATGATATCAATCACTGGATTGTCTGGTCCATACTTGATTATTTACAGACTGCTGTCATATAGCTGGAATATTGCTGAGTGCGGCATTAAACAACAAACCAAACAACCAAATCTTGTATGAATCTACCTGTATAAAATAAATTTGTATATACTACAAGCCATCAACTCGATGTTGTCACTTCCTACTGAGAATCAACACAGACGACTCGCATATTGGAATATGCAAATAATTCTATTCATCATGACATGTGTCTATAACTCCTGCAGCATGCATGTTGATAGTACTGGTTAACTATATTACACATACTACTGATCTGATATCTCCTGAAATATGTTTCTCACAAAGTTAAAAACTTCAATATCTATTTGAATGTCTCAGGTTTTAAGATTACAGATAATCATTTACATGTGAACTACTGAGGGATGATTATTTAGATGCAAAAAAGATGAATTTGGTTGAATTGGAATTGTGTGTTCATTCATTCATACTATGTTTATTACGTTTTAATTTCATAACTTTATCAGTGACAAAGCAATTCCAGATAGAAGGTTTTAAATAATATCCAAGTTGAATAAATGCTTATATTAAGTTACTAAGAATGGAAAATATCCTGTGAAACATTCATGCTTCATGTGAATCCCATCCATCAACAGTTTATGTACACAGTTGCGTTGAACATTTTATTGGAAAAAATAGTTATAAGTAAAATGTCTCCTGCAATCACGTCCACTAAAAATTTGGATGAAAATCTAAAAAAATTTTTATTGTGGCCTTAGTTACATATTACTGATGTTACCATGTGTAATTATGTATGTATTTATTTATTTTATGTTTGAACATATGAACAACATATAATATCAAACTAAAAGCAAATTGCCACAATTGTTGCAACTTATATTTTGACCATAATTCATCATTGCAGGCAATAATTGAGTTTAATGGATCATCTGATGTGTCTGCGCACTCACTATTTTTGTGTATTAGAAAATTATGTTACATAAAATAAAACCATAAAATATCCCCTGAATGAAATTTATGTCATGAATTCAAGTTTGTTTATTTTTTTTGGCTAACCTTATGGGATGGTGTCATGAGTAAAGAGACAAATATTTCTCAGTGTTGAAGTGAAGAAAACCGACTGCCTCGCTTGTTTGTCTGTCTTATCAAGCAAGCATATGCACTTCTCACAAACCTACTTCACATAATGTCCCCCTGAAGTAAATCTACTTTTACACATTATCAATAGTTCATACGGACATTAGCCAGCCTTCTGTCAGGTAGCAATGAGTGATATCCACCCCCTAAGGACCACTGAGGAGAAATCAGCGCGCGTACATTTCAATCAGCACTAGGCTTGCAGTTGCTTCACAATAGCCTGTCTATATTCATGTTTACAGGTACATGCCACCTTCACGGTAACGCTTAGTGCCTATTATTAACCCATTTACTGCCCACAGCTATCGGAAGGCTAGAGACGTGGTTCAGTACAACAATGACCATGTCAAGGGATTGATTTTGAAATCTACAAGTGAATAGACTGATAAGTACAGGCCTGTGGTGGTGAGAGTGCAGCCAGTGAAGATAATATGTACATTGCATGACTGAAATGAAAGTGTTTTACAGTGACATACATCCATCAGTGTGAGACATTACTAGCGTTGGGAGGTGATATTCAACATGTTTCGTGGAGGAGGGATTTAAAACAGGACAAGTAAGTAGAACATGTCTATATTTATATAAACCTTCACTTGAGTATTTAACTCAGGTGTTCAACAGTAAATCTATCAATATATGAGCAAAACGGTAGGCGTAAGGACATAAATTCACAAAGGCGAATATATTTGTGACATGAGATGTACATAACTAGTACATTACCAAAAAGTTGATATATCAATTGGGTTTGTGACACTGAAATGTGCTTCCAGTACACACATGTATAGAGGAAAGAGAATATGTTGCATTCCGAGGGTCACAAATATTCATTGTATCAAATTTGTGACAAGAAATATGAAAGTCTGTAGTTAAGGTAATTATCAAATATTACAGTACAGTTCACTACACCATTTCATTACTTTACAGATCTCTCATATTGCCTGTAAGGATTCTTAAAATTAATTATAACCCCTGATCAAACCATGTAGACTGAAAATATAAAATCACATTTCTTAATATATGTCAAGCCATCTTTATGTCCATGGATGAATGACAGATGCAGTTGAAATGTTGGGGTGGTTTGTGGACTGCCTGGGTTAAGAGTTTAGGTTAGAACTGATATTCAGAGGTCAGATACATACTTGAAGCAAGAAGTTATTTCCGAGTTAGGACCAATTGATTGAAATTACCTAGAAATCATGTTTGGGAGTGTTTAGGGTAAGTAAGGGCGTGAGGTCTGTGCTAATTAAGTTACGAGGCAGAGAAGAAACAAGCATAATTAGATGTAACATTATTTCTATTTTTGTCATAAAGAAGGTCCACCAGACAGATTATCAAAATCAATGTAGTCTTTCCTCCAGGGGATATTACATTACATGCTAGTGTTAATTCTGAACCTGGTAGGATTTATTTATCATGTTCGTGATACGGATACATGTAACATACATCTGTTATTGATGAGGGTACATGTAACAACATCTGTTATTGATTAGGTTACATGTAACACATCTGTTATTGATGAGGTACATGTGACACATCTGTTATTGATGAGGGTACATGTACCACTTCTGTTATTTATGAGGGAGGGTACATGTAACATACCCCTTGTAAGGTTACATGTAACACTGTTATGATGAGGGTACATGTAACACATCAGTTATTGATGAGGGTACATGTAACACATCTGTTATTGATTAGGTTACATGTAACACATCTGTTATTGATGAGGTACATGTGACACATCTGTTATTGATGAGGGTACATGTACCACTTCTGTTATTTATGAGGGAGGGTACATGTAACATACCCCTTGTAAGGTTACATGTAACATTGTTATGATGAGGGTACATGTAACACATCTGTTATTGATGAGGGTACATGTAACACATCTAATATGATGAGGGTACATGTAACACATCTGTTATTGATGAGGGTACCTGTAACACATCTGTTATTGATAAGGGTACATGTAACATACACCTGTTATTAAGGTTACATGTAACACATCTGTTATTTATGAGGTTACATGTAACACATCTGTTATAGATGAGGTTACTTGTAACACATCTGTTATTGATGAGGGTACATGTAACACATCTGTTATTGATGAGGGTACATGTAACACATCTGTTATTGATGAGGGTACAGGTAACACATCTGTTATTGATTAGGGTACAAGTAACATACACCTGTTGTCAAGGTTACATGTAACACATTATTGTTAGGGTTGGATGTAACATACACCTGTTATTCGTAAGGTTAGATGCGAAGAATCTCAAAGTATGTTGGTAGAGATAATGAAAAATCTTTCAGACATGCTAATGATTTTCATGCCAAGTCAAATTATTGCTCAGCCTCAGTCTTTTTAAACAATATCTGCTTATTGATGAGGGTAATATTTGCTTTGGAGGATAGAATTGTTTTGGATACACATGGAGATTGTCATAAATAGTCTTGTATTACAAGGACCAGTGACTTGTGTCCAGCAGGATCTACCTGTTAGAGGGGACTTCATCAAAACAACATTACTCATAGTTCGATATATTTACTCTTGAACCAAGATATTTCATAAATCAATTTGATTACTGACTCCAGCCATAATTTACTATATCAATATCTGGTTAAGCATGTGAGCCCATTTATCATGTGGAAATTCTTGTTAAGTTGGTGACACGAGACTTATGATCTGAAGATATCTCTCCGTGCACATCGCAATATTCCAGTTGCTGCCTGCTGTGGGTTAAGGTGTGATCTGTGTCAGCATATCTCTGTGTGATCAGACAGTTGATGATCTTCTCTTTCATGCTTCATTGGGTCTTTTGTCTTCTTTAGTAACAGACCCAGTGGAATGTGGTAAGCTTCATAAAGGAAGGGTTCAAATCACACGTATGCCTTTTATTGGCGCACTTGCATAATACATGTATGCCTTTTATTGGTAGACGTATGTCTTATACCTGTTATCACAAGTTTGTCTTGTTTGTATTATAGATACATGACTTGTACCTGTTATCACATGTGTGACTTGTATAATAGATTCATGGTACACATTTTTCAGACCCATAAAGATCCGGGGTAGAATAGGTCTTCAGCAACCCATGCTTGCCGTAAAAAGCGACTATGTTCTCATAGAAGTCCCGAATGGATTATTTACAAACCGCAGTCATATAGCTGGAATATTGCTGAGTGCGGCGTAAAACAACAAACCAACCAATTTCAGCAACCCATGGGTGCCGTAAAAGGCGACTATGCTTGTCGTAAGAGGCGACTAAAGGGATTGGGTGGTCAGGCTCGCTGACTTGGCTAATGTATGTCATTGTATCCCAATTGCGTGGATCAATGCTCATGATGTCAATCACTGGATTGTCTGGTCCAGACTCGATTATTTATAGACCGCCAACATATAGCTGGAATATTGCTGAGTGCGGCGTTACACAACAAACAAAAACACATTTTCATATGACTAAATGTACCTGTTCATATATATGTCTTGTAAGGGTGGAACAATACAAATCTCAAATGCACCACAAAACATGGTCCTCAATACGACACATGATATATATGGACCAGTATCGAGATAAATGATTATACAAAATACATAATTTTACTTAAATAATGAAAGATTAACCTTATCTTTGAAACGAGCTGTGTGCCAATTGTAAACCTGTCGCGATACACCAACTCACTAAACTTGTACTGTTTTTCATGTTCACACAATAGCCAATCGCAAGGATTAATACGTAGGGCTCTTCAACATGACTGGTTACACAGTCTTTGTTGTCATTACATGAACAATGAGGTCTGCCTCTGTTGTCTTGTTGATAGTGCATCTGAAGGCCGGTGGTTCGATTCCCAGCCACGTCATACCAAAAGCCGTTAAAAGATTGTACTTTCTGTTTCTCTGCCTGGCGCTCAGAATAAAGGGGATAATACAAGGACTGGTCGGCTTTTAGTCAGTATAATGTGTCATAGTAGGGTATCCTATGTTAAACTGCAGTGTTGAATCTCAGCTGGCCAGCACTATAAAACTAGCACTTGTCCGGGCTAATACAAGCACACACACATGAATGCATGCCTGCATCTGCGCACACAAACATGCATGTTGCCTTATAAGTGCAATATTCTTGAATGCAATATTAAACCCCCTCCTGTCTCTTGAACAATAACATTAACTGTGCCATTTGGAATGCCAAAGTTGCTACATGAGTCAGCAAGGTTTTGTGTTAAGTGAGGACAGTTATGAGAGGATCTTTTCCATCAAGACTAAGTGACTGTCTTGGAAGTGACTTTATTTTCGTCTTTGAATTTTAGAAACTTTAAAGTTCATGGCATTTGTGTTGTTATTCTGGCATACTGGGATTACATATGTAAAGCAGAGATCTTTCACCAATAGTACTGTTCCCATCAAAGCAAATAACAAATATATTAGTCTGTTTGCCCTTAATTAAAATCAACCACAACTGTTGACGAGCTTGTCTGATCCACCATAAGCAGCTCATCTGGCCATGTAATCCAGGTATGCTTGATTTACCTGAATGTCAACACAATAGTCTACACTATTGAGGCTTAGCAGCTTAGCAAGTTGAATCTTGTGGACTTGCTGTATGAGAGGGAGACAGGTGTGTCCTCACAAACTAAATATGTGGGCTTGTAATCAATAATTGAACTATATCTACAATCAGAATTATACACTGCTCCAAACAATCAGCCATGTAAGTCACTTGGGTCAGGACAGACAAGTCGTTTTGTTGTTTTACAGATCTACACCAGCTATGCCCTCAAATTTCACGTTTTTTCTTCTGGGAAACCACCTTGTTGCTTATATATTTTCCAAAGCAATATTTTAGGAATCAGTATGGCAACACAACTTCATATGAAGCAAAATTCAAAATGAATTAACACCAGGATTTAGATTTGTTGTTAATACCTTGTCAAAACATCAATTATGCTCTTTCATGGTCATAAGTTGAGTATTCATGACAGAATCCTGAATTTAAATATTTGTACTTATCTAAAGGTTATGTATGAGTTTATATGAGGTAGACACAAGGTGACTTGATGAAAAATATGGGTAACTTTTATTGAATTTGGTCACCAGACAGAGGGCTGCAATATGTGCCAGATGCATGCAGTCATTCAGCCATGACAGTTTTCATTAACAGTACCCACTGTGTTGTGAAATTATTGGGTGCGACCTAAACCCATAAGCTACGTCCATTTAAGAACTTCAAGAATGCCATTCACCATAAGCTGGATAACGGTTGAGACTGATAATATTCTTTCCATTTTCTAAATCCCAGGTTTATTTTGAGAATCATACACTTCATTAAGCATGTTCCAGGTTTCTTTTCCATAGGTACATCGACGGCCCGCTCCTCTAGCTAAGGCACAGCAATGCTACTGGTATGGCGGAATCCTGTGATTGTGGGTTTGAATCCCAGTCCTACCTGATTATGTTTCTAGGTTTGCCACCTTGTGCACACTAGTTTCACCAAGTGGTAAACACCTCATACCTGCATCGCTTTAAGCCTTCCTCCCACATCAACCTGGCTGGCGTGATGA